CTCTCCGTCTTCATCGCTTTCTCATTTCCACCTAACGTTAACTGTCACCAGATCTCGAACTTCACCTCGTGTACTTGTTCACTTAACATACATCCTGACACAGACTCATCCCAATCCTTCCCAAACTTGTTGGAAATACAAAGAGAGGAGTTTCCCAGAGATACAGTATTGCGTACTCCATTCTCAAATACCAGAGCTCAAGATGCGATTCATATGTCAAGAACCTTTGCGTGCCACCACGAAGGCCGTCATCCCACACCCTAACGTGTGAATGCTTTACTCCCTCACCGATAATCTGCTTACTTGTGTTCAAAGCTGCAACACTACTTACTGCTACATCCAAATACTTCACCTCATTCGAGTGGAACTGCTTTATACTCGTGACTTCTTCATATCCCAGACCCTTGAGCTGTCATATTGAATTCCAGGAGATCGCTATGTGTGAGGAATTCAGTGACCATGTCGAAGACTTGCGGAAGTAGTGAGAGTTTTTAGATCCTGATCGTGATTGTGTGGTTTGGGGGCTGTTGGCGGGTGAAGGGGGGCTTTGGGAGTAGCGAAGGTGCACAGGAGTGTGTATGAGGTGGGTGGATTTTATGTAGATTTTGTGGTAATAATGATTGGTGAGAGGGGAGGAAGAGGGAGACGATTATGTAGCGCTGATGGGAGTGGGCGTAGGCATGCTGCGGGAGAATAACTGATATGGTGAACTATTTCATTTCCACTTAATGACAGAATCTCTGGATCAGAGGCGCAGCTTCTGGCGAGGTCGAAACGGCTAGGTGTGGTGTAGAACAGGGGACGGTGTGGTCGCATATGTTGAAGTTCAACAAAATCTCGTAAATTTCAGAAGATGCTTGGATACTCATCGGTATCCTAAAAAGACAGACATTTCCCCACTGCGAATAGCGAATCGGTCTGGTCCATGCTTCTTCACAGCCAAAGCTGCGGCGAAGGTGAAAATGAAGTATATTCAGCCGGAGTTGGAGACGTCAACCTTTCTACATCTTTGAGAAACCGGTGGAGCAGTCATGACAGTGCGAGTTGACTAAAGTGGACCAATTCGGAACATCATGAGAGCAGAAGGCTGACAGAGAAGACGTAGAGCTTCGCTACGTATGGCCGCTGCTGCGGTCACATGAAGATGTATGGACACCTCATCTGGATGAAAGGCAGAACTTCGGGGACATCGCGGACGGACGTGCTATGTAGCAACGAAAATGCTCATACGTTAAGACCTCCTACAGACTTGCATGAGTTGTGCAAGACGCAGCTCACCACGCATCTCTAGTTTCCGCAGCCCCTCCCCATCCAGTCGCACTAGGTCCTATAGGCTCTCCCCAATCACCCGCTTCTGATGTTGTGGGCTCTCCCCAACCACTCGCCCCCAGTTGTTGCAGGCTGTCTCCAATCGTCGGCTCTAATTGTCGCAGGGTCAACCCAGGTGGCTCGATCGGGCGACGCTTTCTTCGGACAGCGCTATCATTGTCAGTGTCAAGTAGGAGACAGGTGTTCAATAGTTCGTACCGCAACAGTATGGCCAGTCTCATCGCAGTTTCGGCATTTGACCTTGCTCCAGTCTTTCTGCTCAGGGCAATTACGTGCGATGTGTCCTTCTCGCGCGCAGTTGTAACACGTGATGGTGCCTCGAGCTCTGAGGCGTGGGCAGATGTCCAAGACATGACCTTCTTCACCACAACAGGTGCAAGCGACGCCGTCCGGCGTAAAAGTGCGTCTATGGAGGTGTCAGTCGTATAATGGTGACCTTGAGAGAGACAAGACGAATGTAACTTACGAAATGCTCTCGACGCTTGTGGGCGCCTCGGGATATCCATGCTCATGGTACTTCTCACAGAAACTGGTCCTCTTCTTCTTGAGAAAGGATGTTGTACCTTTTTCCAATGCAGATAAAGATCCTGGGACAATCTTCCTCTCACGACAGCTCTCAAAGAGATCTGCAATGAACTCATTGGGCATGTCTTTCGAATTTGTTCGCCAATCATTGAAATTATATGCCTCGATCAACAGGTCTACGTGCAGTGTTCGTAGCAAAGATGACTCTGAGGTCTTTTCGTACAACTCGTGGGTATTGCAGAGGTTTACGGCCCACGTTTTGGTGTCCTTCAAGAAGTACAGCTCGACGGCCCTGTCCTTCAGTTGCGGCACCATATGGAAATCGGCGAACGCATAGATGTATATAATCTCAGAGCAGGAGAGATCGGAATCTGCGACATTGGAGGTATTCATGACTAGGCCCGTGTAGGCCCAGTTATAGAACATGCTGAAGATACTTCGAGATACTGTAGTCAAAGTGTGCACATTGGAACCGCCCTCCTTGAAAGGACCGTCGAGTAAGGCCTTGAAGTATCTAGAGTGGAAGCATAGCAATCCTCGATGCATTTGGAATCTTTCGTTACCGACGACGATGGTCATCATGCGGTCGAACACACTCCTATAGATTTAGGTCAGAAGTCGTAGTTGGCAAAGCCATTATTAATACGTACGGTGGCGGCTTTGCAGCAGGCTCTGAACAGACGATGGGACTAGCGAGGGCTAGTCTTGCAAGACCCTTCGCTATTTTCTCTTCGTCGCTCATCTTGCATGCAATGTCGTAGTCGTAGTCGTTGCGTGTGCGTGTCGCGAGCGCGTTTGCTATCGTCAAAGAAGACAGCGTCGCACTCAAATCCCTCTATCCTGCGCAAAGCAAGCGCGAGATGAGGTTGAGGAGTGTGGAGTTGTAAGCGTTGCGCTGCGGAGTAAGAAAAGGTGGGCTCCCCAATCGCGCTAGTCGTCTTGGCATCAAGTTCGGAAGGAGAGCGCAACCACGTGCTTAGTGAGAGTGAGACACCTAATACATGAAGCATATTCTTATACATCTACCTAACCACATACTCCATATCGTGCTTCCACATATCAAGCCCCCAGCGCCGGTATTCATTACCATTAGCTAGAATGCCCTCAAACGCCAACAGTGAACTCATAAGGATATGTAATGCAAGAGGTATCAGACAGCAGACAGCGAAGAAAAGAACATGCAAGTGAGAATGGGGAGGGAGAGGGAAAGATGAGTCTACCGTCGAGGGATACCGCCTAGTCCCATGCCGCCAGTCATTCGACCACCGCCGGCGTTGAGAGATTGGCGGACAATGGCTTCTGCGGCCTGCGCAGCGGCGAGACGTTCCTGTGAAGCTGTGAGCACTGCGATGATGAAGAGAAGTAAGTGCATGACGTACCTTCTGCCTGCTTCGATCCTTCAAGTACCGCTCCGCTTCGGGCCTCATTCTCAATATCCTCAGAATCATGTCGTCGTTGGGCTCAGCCTGTGCTTCCTTCCTCTTCTCCTCCTTTGCTTTCTTCATCGTGCCCAAGTTCCTCGACAGCATGATAGTCTTGTGCTTGCGTGTAGGCATACCCACCAAGCCTGCGGCACCGCCGAATTGATGACCCATACTAGCTGGGGCTGACATCCTGTTCATTCGAGCGTTCTGCTCCTGTGCTCTGCGTGCACTGGCGGCAGCCATTGCTTCAGATGTTCGGATAAGGTCCTCTGTTTGCTCAAAGTAGAAGAAGTTGAGATTCTGGAGCTCGTGGTATTTTGGCGATTTGAGCACGTCGACAGGAACACCGTCCACGTTACCTTCCTCATCTGCGGCGTTGAAGAACTCGAACAGCATCTTTAACCATTTGAAAACAATATCGAGCTCTTGCTGTGTAAGTGGGCGCTGTTGTGACGGTTTATCAGATAGCGGCGGCACGAGCAGCGATTCTATCGTTGCGAGTGCTTCCTTCCACAATCGCGTCATAACCATGATCATTGCAGCATCCGTGAGTGTTTGCTTCATAATGGCGAAATTATCGTCAAAGTAGCTAAAGAGCGGTACGAGTGCCTGAGAGACATCCTGTGGCGTGGGTCCCTGGATGACAGATTGAGGTCGAGCTGCTCGGAAGTAATTCGTCACCGATGATACAGATATGCCCTTATTTGTCAAAGCCCTCAACGTCCGTCGAGAAAGAATATCACTGATGACAGTAGATAGCTGTTTGAGTTAGCACAGGACTGGAGCGTTGTCCAAGAATACTCACCTTGTCTGTGATCTTCCGCGTCATATCGCGCTCGGTCCTCTTAAGTGTCCTGAACGACTTGCCAAAGTAGAATTGAATATCGTCGCGCTCACCCTCCATGCTCACTCGCAATAGCAAACGACCTTGTGTGTCAAGATCAAGCCAGTATTCACGTGGCATATAATCCCTGAAATGTGATGGGTCCAGTTTGAGCGAGGTGCGCCCAACACAATCGTGGTCACCAAGAGCATCCCAGTCCCAAATAGTCGCGACAATGTTGAGTGGCCCGTTTGTAGTGATGTCGATGGATTCGTCCCACCGAGGGTTCAGGTTGCCATATATGACTCTAGTCTTCGCTAGTCGCTTTTGAAACTCATCGCCTAGAACAACATAGGGATCACTAAGCCCATTGATGTCACAAGCCTTGAGGTCCTCAGCTTCGATGATCTTGATCGTGAACATGTAATTATTGTTGCGAATGCGTTGTGTTGGCGGCGGGCCATGCTTGAGGATAACTTCCGCACACGCGTCGACACCAATCTCATGTTCGAGCTTGTCGAGCTGATGCATGGCGTACTCGATGTTATTCAACTTGACGAGAGACTAATCTGTTAGCTATACAGACATGAAAGCATGGGTCTGAACTCACCTCAGGGTAGAACTGGAATGGCTCGACCTTCTCCCTTTGCGTGTAGAGGTCTTTGGCCAGGGAGATCCACTTCTCTTGCCTCGTTTGACGAGCAGCTGCTTCTTGTTCGGGTGTCATACGATCCATTTCTCTGCCAAATTTCTGCTCGACAAGCTCGCAGTACCGCGCAAGCGCAATACCAATGGCTTTGGATACGGCGGTCATAAACTTTGCGTACTGGAAGTCATCGTCCCAATGCAGGTCCACGATTTGCAAAATGCTCTGGTTGAACGATCGAAATATGTCCACCACTGAAACACTGTGTCGCTCGTCGTCGGCAGGGACGGGGTTCTGTGATTCGATTTGGAATTGATCTGCCTTGAAAGCATTCTCGACCCAACCAATCAAGTTTGCGTCAGTCATCTCAATCCATCGCCAAACAAAGTCTTGAAGGAGATCCTCAATCTTGAAAGCAAACTTCTTGTTCGGCAGAGCTTGGCCATGAATCTGGCGAATCTCAACAAGCTCTTTGTAGAGATCAAAACCATCCTGGATCGGGACTGTCTCGCCTTTGCTGTGGACGACTTCAAGTATCCGCGCTACCAGATCGCGGGCATCTGCGGCGTACGACGGGAATACTTCCTCCACGAGGCACATCATAGGGCTGACACCCATAACTTCTGGATTTTTGCGATATCGCTTCTGGATCTTCTCGCACAATTTGACTACTGCCCGTCCTAGTTCGATGACATGGAAAAATTCCCACTCGTCCTTGGTCTCAGGAATATGCTTTGCAAGAAGTTCGCCATACACGTCTGCCGCTTTTTGCTTCAAGCCCTGTTTGAGCTGCTCAGCAAACTGGTCAAGATCCTCGGGTGTTCCGGTAAATCCTGGGTCATCGTAGATGTGGTTTTCCAAGATGTACATTATGGGCCCCACTGCCGGAGCTTTGTTATCGTATACGTGCATGAGTAACTCGAACAATTCGCGCAACAAGGCATCATTGAGCGACGATAAAATTTGCTGATTGAGCGCATAGTCCTGCACAGTCCACTTGGAGCGATCAAATAGCGAATCTTGCTGCACGGGGATGTGGCTCATTCTGTTTGACTTCTTGTCGGTTGGCGGCGGCGGTGGCTCTTTAATGTAAGTAAAAGCTGCATCGAGGGTATCTAGCGTGATTTCCTGGTTGATGTACTTCTCGCGGATTACGTCCAAAAGTAGAATTAGTCTTGAAGATGGAGGTACTCGCCATCGCACGGCTATTTCGTTTAGCAACTCTGTGGACTGTTTTGATAAGAGCTTCATGGCTGGCGTATCGCCAGTTGCTTCGCTCGCCTGTAGCTGCTCATCAGCCAGATCGTACGTCAGGGCCTCCTTGACGATGGCTCGGTAGTAAGCCCGTGGGTCTGGCGGGATGAAGGTATATGAAGTCCCATCGTCGTCGTTGATGTCCAGTCCACCCACATCCACTGGCTGATCTATGACATACGATGAGCCGTTTTCTGGAGGATCTGTTGGGGACTGCGGCTTGAACTGAGGGACGGAATTTCCCGGAGAGCTCTTTGCAAGCTCTGGGCTGGACTGTAGAATGGCCAGAATCATTTGCGAAATGTCAGGAGCCTCCTGGTGCTTCCAGGCTTCGTATGCGTCATCCAGGTCGAAGTCATCACGGTTCAAAGTCTTCCTGGTCATGAGGCTGAGATGGGCCTGGTAGGTCTTGAGATCCTGCAACGCCGCCCTCTCCGTCCACACAGATTTGTATCTGTTGATGTCCGCCTGTACATCGGAGTATGAGACTGAGAACATGCGCGATACGACCAGTACAAGTGGCATGTCTTTGACCTCGTATGATCGTGGAACTTCGACCTCGACGGTTGTGCTGCCTGAGCCGCCATTGCGCTGGTCGCCAGAGGAGAGGTCTTGGTCGTGTACCAATAACTTCTTCTCCATGGTGGCTAATCGCTGAGCGAGCTCTGGTCGGTCCCTAGTCCAGTCATTGTCCTTTAGCGTAGAGCTGATGAGGCGGATAAAGAGTGCCACGTGGCGGTCGACCATGAGCCTCCAGCCGTCTTCTGTGGGCGCCTTCCCTTTCTGCAGCTCCTTTGTGGCGTTGGAGAAGAAAATCAACAGCAGATCCTCGACTCTCCTGTCCTTGTCCATGTTCTTCCGGAAACGAGGGTCCTTGAACTCGTTTAGGAATACGGCGAATGTCCGCTTCACCGTGGCATCTTTGTATTCTGGCATCCTCTCTGTGCCCATGAGCACCTTTGTGATGCGCTTGTCCAGCTCGCCCATGAAGCCATTTGGAAAGCGGGTGCTCTTCGAGTCTCGTATCAGGGAGATGTCCTTGACGAGATCTGTCACCGACGTCGACGAGCGCTGCACCGGCTTCGGGGCTGCAGGCACGTGCTGGACTCGTTTCTGGCGCGGTTGGAGGAGGTAGGCGAGGTATGCCACGCGGAGGGCATAGAGGTAGGCATCCTGGGAGGAGACGATGCGTTTGCTGCTGCGGGAGCCGGATCGGTTTCGCTGCAGGCGCTCCTGGGCCTGGATGCTGTTTATCCTGCGATTGCTGCCGCGCGACGTCTCCATGGCCGGGGGGTGGTGAGGGTGTGGCGTCGTTCAGGAAGTGCGAGTCTCGTTGGGCGCATGTCCAGTTGGCCGACTGATGCGGGCGTTCAGAGGCCGCAGCTGCCCAGTGAGATAGATGGTGGGGCCGATTCTTCTTCTGTGGGCTCTCGTGTGCCACCGCGACTTCTTCTCCTGCCTTCAATTTCTCGTCTTCAGTGTCTACAGCAGCGCGGGGAATTGTGGTCGGGCTGGGCGTCGTCGACCGTGTTCGTTGTGGCTGCAGCTCCACAGACCTGCGTCACTCGCTGGTGGTGGGTAAAGTTGACCAGGACAGGGCACCACCAACTTCCGCTCATGAAACAACACCTTTAATTACCCACCCGACCAAACAAAACAACCACATTCTGCACCACGGCCACGCGCGTCTACGAGTCAAAGTAGGTACAGCAACACTGCCTTCACTGCCAGGCGTGCTTGCAATCATGTTCAAGCCATGGGCTCCCCGATTTGGCACTATGCCGACCCCAGTCCACCAGCTCGACGTTCGAATCATCTCAAGCGAGCGACATGGTCAGCACGGAAACGTGCAGGAGCGACCCACAGACTAGCACGTGCGCGTCTTACGTCAATCTTCATGTGCGAATGCCTCTCGTCCGCGACGAACCTCGTGCTGTTTTGCTTCTACATACGCATGCCAGCGCCGGAGCCGGAGCACATGAGCACCTGAGCTAGGCATTCACTTCCGATGAACATCTTGCGGCCATGTCCTTGTCACCCATAGACAGTACCCTCACAACTGGCCCACTATACACACCACCACCTTGACAGAGCACAAGAACTAGCTTCACTCAAGCACTTACGCGCTTTCGCAATCATTCGTTATTGAACTGTACTGACCTACACTTGGAAGCACCATCTTCTCAAGGGCTGCGTCGCGTCAACACACTGCGACATCCGCTACACGCGTCGTAAACAAGGCCAATCGGCATTTACCTCCTGAGACACCCAAGTCCTCCGTCTTCCCAAGTCCACCGTCAGAGCCGACCATGGCAAGCTCCCAGAGCCCAACCAATGCGGCCGATCGCCCCCGTCTTACCGAGGCGCAGAAGAAGTCGAACCATATCAAATCTGAGCAGAAGCGTCGCGAGGCCATCCGGGAGGGCTTTGATCGACTTGCCTCCATCGTTCCAGGTATGGAGGGTCAAGGCCGCAGTGAGGCCGTTGTTCTAGATGCCACCGTCAGGTACCTTCGCGAGCAGATCGTCGCGCGCAACAACATCATCGCCGAGGCACAGGCTCAGGGCATCGACACCACTGGCTGGGAGCTATCAGACGACACTCTGAAAGCTTGTGAGACTCAGCTCAAGCGCGTCAAAGAGGAGGATCAGCAGAATGGAGGCGGGCCCAAGGACTAGACACTGAGTACGCGGGGGGATTGACTTCGCCGTAATAGTGCGCATGGAAGAAACTCGGTAACGCGCACAAACGTGCGCTGAGAAGACGGAACCAAGCAGCTAGGTACTCTTGAGCTATGTGCACCACGAGAAACTCATCGTTAAATCGATAGGGTCGCCTGGCTGGCTGGACATACATTTGTATTCACGAATGCGAAGAAGAACAGGGTCTAGCCATAGTTCGAGTTCCCCTCGGGTCTCGACACAGTATCCGTGGTTGAATACCACAATGTGTTCGCGGCTACACACTACACGGGTCAGTCGCATTGGGTACGAATAATCGAATCACATTTCGTTCATGCGCCTGAATGTGTGCTGCTCGGTATTGCGTTTGTTTGTTACGCGCCACATTCACTCGTGCACGCGCCATCATCGTTATCGATAAGCTTACAAAAATTCCCCAGTGCCATACCAGCTAACCATATACCACCACAATCTCAAAGTACCAACAAGCAAACACAGCCATGTCCTTCAGCTTCGGATTCTCAGGCGACGACATAGAAGAAGACCCAAACGATGTGGTTCCGCAGAACCAGCAAGAGCAAGGCCAAGCAACTGACGCGAACGGACCACCACCTATTCCAGCCAGATCACATGACTTGGACGAAATGGTAGGTACGCGACATACTCCGAAACCACCTTTACCACAAAAAACAATCAATAGAAACCAACAATGTCTAACACACTACCCAGCTTTCCTCCCTCCCCGATAAAATCTCCTACTCCACCCTGGCCTTAACCTCCCCCCTCGGCCACACCACCCGCCTCCCCCGCCGCGAACTCTTCGACGTCCGCCTGCAACTCATGGCCGAAGACGACAACTCCAACCCACACTTACTGTCCGGCTTGGATAACTCCGACCTCCAGACGAACATCTACGAGGGCGGATACAAGACGTGGGAATGCAGCCTCGACCTCTGCCGCTACCTGCTCGACCGTGGCCCGCGCAAGGATCTCGACGATTTAGCGCGCGTCGAGCACGTACTTGAGATGGGGTGCGGGAGCGCATTGCCTAGTCTGTTGGTGTTTCAGTGGGCGCTGAGGAATAGCTGGAGGGGATATCTCACGCTGACGGATTACAACGTCGATGTTCTGAGGCTGGTTAGTTTGCCGAATGTGCTGTTAACGTGGATTGCGGAGATGGGCGATGCGCAAAGCCACGTCCTCTTCTCCGAGAGCGGGAATCCATTAAAGGGCGCGGACGAACATGGCGATGTATACCTCACACCGCACATTCTGGATGCGTTTAAACAACATCTCACCAACCAGGGCATTATCCTAACGTTCATCTCCGGCTCCTGGACGCCGACTTCTTCCTTCACTTCCCTCATCCCGACAACGCCTGAATTAAACACATTCATCCTCGGCTCGGAGACAATATACAGCCCGGCGAGTTGCACGGCGTTTACGGATGCGATCACGCAGATTATGCGGCAAGTCAAGATGGGCAAGGCGGTTGTCGCGGCCAAGAGGGTGTATTTTGGCGTGGGTGGGAGCGTGGATGGGTTCCGCATGGAGGTAGGCGAGAAAGGGGGAGTTGCGGGCGAGATTGAGTTTGAGGGGTTGGATGGGGAAGGTGAAGGAGGAGTTAGGAGGTGTCTGGTTGAAGTGCAGATGGTTTAGGGCTTGATTGTGGAGGGGGTATCTATGTATGTGGTAACAAGTAGGTGGGTAGTGAAGTCGAAAACAGATCAGACTAGAACGCCAGAATAGAAACTCCAAAGTGATATCCAACACCACATCTACCGCTTCAGATCAACAACCTTCGTTGTCCCCGCCCCCGGTAACTCCCTCACATCACCGCCTTCCACACCGTTAATCCGCCTCCTCACGCCCTCCCCCTCAACCCTCAAACTCTCCCCCCTCGCCCTCCTCAACCTCTCCACCGTCGAATCAATAACCCCCATCTGAAACACCAACCCGCCCTCTCCTTCCCACCCAAGCAACTCCGGCCTGCCAACATCATCATGCAACACCTCCAGCTCACTCTGAATCTCCTGCAACTTAACCAGCGTCTGTGACACATGCGTGAGCGCGCGCTTGCGATAACTCGACACGTCGCGCAGGAGCGTGAGGGACTTGACATTACTCTTTACGCTAGCTTTGTTGCCGCCGAGTTTCGTCCACAAGTGGGATAAGAGCTCGTCGTGGTTGCGCGAAATGGTCGCGTCATCGTTAACGGCGAGCGAGAAGATGGTATCGAGGCGGGCGTCCATGTTGGTCAGGACCATCAACAGCGCCTGCGCGGCGGAGATCAGAGAGGCGATTTCCTCGCGGTTCTTGGTCACGTGCGCAATGTACTGGTCGTAGATGCGCTGCTCGAGGCTGCGCTTCGGCGACGCGGTTAGCGAACCCACGACGCGGCCGAGTAAGCCTGTGGACGCGGCGTCTTTTTGCAAGCCGTCGAGAACGGCGTACGTCCAGATGTTTGTGCCGATTACGCGGTCGAGGACGGCGCCGATGCGGGTGTTGTAGCGCGCGAGATCCGAGGAGGCTTCTTTGGCGGTGAGCACGAAGAAGTCGAATTCAACGGCAAGTTGCGAGCGGGAGGGCAGGTGGGAGGATTTGACGAGGGTGCGGAGGTCGCGGATGGCGAGTTCGGAGTCTTTGATGATGGCGGGGAGGTCCGAGGTGTCTTTGGAGGAGTCGAGGATCGATTCGAAGCGGCCTTGGACATTCATGAGTTCTTCGAATTGCGCGCGGCCTTCTGTAGGGGTGGAGGTGGAGCATGTGGGGATGAGGTATGAGGAGCCGGGGATCAGGCAGAGCGGTGCGAGGGCTGTGCTGATCTGCGAGTGGAGGGCCCGGGATGCCAGCTGGATGCCGAAGAATAGGATGGCAATGCCCATGATGAAACCGAGGAGGGGTTTTACAAAGTGACGGTTGGCGTAGCTGAAGATATCCCAAAAGTATCCGAGGAAAGGTGATAAGATGTTCTGGTAGAATGCATTCACATACCACCAGGGGCCGAGCTCTGGATCCTCCTGCTCCACTGGACGTGCAGTCTTAGAAGACCGGCGGCTAGATGTCTTAGGTCCTGGTGAGGCGCGAGAATCCTGGCGTTGTTTCCGGTTTCGAAGCTGTGAGTTGCGGGTTGGCGTACCATTCGCATAGTCATCCATCAAGTTGTCCAGTGAACTGTTCATAGGGGCACGAGGCATGATGAAGCTCGGCTCAACTGATTGAGGTGTCGAACGAGAGGACTTGATGGGTCGTGGCGTACTCTGTGACGATCCGTTTTGCGAATGGCGAGCTGTTGCCCTGGTTGGTGTGTTGGTCGGTGTCTCATGTCGCTGTGGCAGTGAAGCACGTGTGCTTCTTGACAGCAACGGTGTTGCTTTATCTGTGTACTCCTTGTCCGACTCCTCAAACCCCTCCTCGCCTTCAGAATTGCTGGCGGTGTGTATTGATGCACCATCCTCTGAAGAATAGCCGCCTTCATCCCAACTACTGCCTATGCTGCCCTGCATGCGCCGTGACCGAGTGGCCATGGTTGATGATGATGTAGAGTTGAGGTAGTTGATGCAAGGTAATCGTTTTTGGATTGCACCAGATGTTATTTCCAAAGGGCCAAGAGGTAGTAGGTAAGCTAGTATCAAAAGTAGAGCCTGGGAGTTGTAGTTGTGGGAGGCTGGGCGAGATATGGTGGCCACTGCCCAGGTGCCTTGCGTGTGACGTGATGCTAGCCAATCAGAACTCGCATACTTGTGTCGCTCTTCGCCGTGGGTGGTCGTTTATTATATCACCGGAGAGAAATACAACCACAGTTTCAAGCTTTTGATCCTGGCGCCTTATTCCAAGCTTTCACCATAGAGTGATTGAGTTCGCGAAAAGCTACGTCATATTCGAGGTGTCGGCTCTTATCGATAAGAAACAGCGCTAGCTCAGAAAGACGAGCTTCTTCGTCTAAGATGTGAATGAATTCGCTAAACGTCTCGATGCCACCACTGCGCCCGCTTTCACTCGCTTTACATGCTATCAGACACTCACAGCTGAAGTCTCGAGTTACACTCCATGATGCACGCGTCTTTCTCCGGAGCTGCTCGTGCTCTGCGCCTCGCCAGTTGCAGCACACGGTGACCGTCTCCTCCGAGGCGCCTGCAGATGCGCAATTGAACCCCACAACCGCCGACCCGCCGACGCCTCCTACAGATCATCGAACGCTTGCTCAAGTCCACAACCTCTTCATAACATCCCCGTTCAGCCCAGGGTCACCGCTGATCCTACCCAATGGCGCATACGTCTTCCAGAAACTACAGTCCTTCTTGAGGGCGCAGTATCCTCAATTTGGATTCCAAGAGGTCATCACACCCATCATATACAAGAAGTCATTATGGGAGAAATCAGGGCACTGGGAGAACTATGCCGAGGACATGTTCAGTGTGCAGGGCAGAGGCGCAACAGGACAAACGGAGAAGGCACAGGTTGGCGAGGACGAAGAGTTCGGGCTCAAGCCAATGAACTGCCCTGGACATTGCCTTCTGTTCAGAGATGAGATCAAAAGCTACAGAGATCTTCCAATCCGATACGCCGACTTCAGTGCGTTACACCGGAATGAGGTTTCGGGCTCATTAACGGGCCTCACACGGGTACGCCGGTTTCACCAGGACGATGCGCACATCTTCTGCCGACCGGATCAAATCCTGCCCGAGATTGAGCAGACATTGAAATTCGTGGGCATGGTGTACAATACGTTTGGCCTGGGCCCGTACAAGCTACTTCTATCGACCAGGCCAAAGGACAGCTTCATTGGTACCATTGAAGAATGGGATCGCGCGGAGAAACAGCTATCTACAGCTCTCGACAGCATAGGCAGCGAATGGGCGATCAATGAAGGAGATGGTGCATTCTATGGCCCAAAAATCGATATCATCCTGAAAGACTCGAACGGAAAGGAGCATCAAACCGCTACCATCCAGCTCGACTTTCAATTACCGCAGCGTTTCGACCTGCAATACCAGGCTTCGCCAGAAGAGCTGGAGGCCGGAACACAAACTACAATGGACACGGGCCTTGATCCGTCCCTGCGCCGTCCAGTCATGATTCATCGGGCCATCTACGGTTCAATAGAGCGCTTCATGGCGTTGCTAATTGAGCACTACGCCGGGAAGTACCCATTTTGGCTCTCCCCGCGTCCAGCGACTATATTGTCTCTGAATTCAGATGCCAATGTTCAGGCGCACATTGAACGTGTCAAAGCAGTCTTGTCTGGCCTACAACCACACGATGCACCATCAACCGCATCCTCGTCTTCGCCAAAGCCATTGCCACTTTCTACCATACATCTTCCGATCGACGTCGACATAAGTGATCGCTCGCTTGGCAAGAAGGTCGCGGAAGCCCGGTCAAAGAAATACAATCACATGATAGTTGTCGGCGGCAAAGAAGCGGAGAATGATGCGGTCAACTTGAAGGTCATGAATCAACCCAATAAAGCGGCGACGATACGGGTACTGGAAGCAGCCCTCGGTCGAAAAGTTACTGAGACAGAGATAGCGAAGGGCGTCACTCTCCCGCTTGATGTTGCCAGGAAATACTTTGAGGACTTGGCGAATACTTTCCTATGAATAACGTGGTATGAAAGCGTCTAGGCTTGAACGAAGTGATCATTCTGCCCACAATCAATGCCCCACTCCAAAAACCTATCCACCATTCCTGCAATGACTCTGGTATCGAAACACATTCCACGTGTTCTCTAAAGTTGACTTCTTCTCTGAAAGGAGCCTGCATATTTTGTTCTACTACACTACAAACACATCACTCACCTTCACTACCTGCCCAGTGGCTATCGACTTGTTCGCGCAGATACCTGTCAGTATCGATAAAGCCCCGTCAATATGACTGGCAGCTCGCATGTCCTGGTCGATCTCCGCACCACGCTCCCCAAACAAATCTGCTAACAGTACTTCGTCACCTCCACCATGCGCACCAACGCTATCAGGTATCTCGATGTCAACCGGCTTCTCGAAAAGCCTCCGCAGAGTGATGGTGCGGCTCTCAAGTGATCCTTCCAAAGATTGGGCACCGCCACTGTTCACATAGCTATTCTCCACGACTTCAACTTCAAGTCGTCCATCAGTTCCGTTGAACGATACGCGGAAGCCTTCCCACGGCGCATACGCGGTCAGACTGTAAGTAAGCACAGCGCCATTTTCGTACCGCACCAGCAAATTCATGGTATCCTCGATGCTGATGCCGTCGCCAAAGACTGACTGGTCGCGATAGTACGCATCTTCATGCTCAGCGTCAAGATACATTTTCTTGAGTTTGTCATTGTCCTCCAGATGCAAAGCGAACGGGTCCTGCTTCGCGACTTCACTTCCATGCGCCCGCGCGTAGAACTCAGTCACACCACGCTTCTCCGCATTCTCGCGTCCATAGAACTTCAAATCGCCCTGCGCATACACCGTCGCTGGCCGTGAGTTTAGCCAGAAATTGACGAGGTCGAAATGGTGCGTCGATTTGTGCACGAGCAATCCGCCGTTGTTCCGCTTATCGCGGTGCCAGCGCCGGAAGTAGTCTGCGCCGTGCGATGTGTTGAGCATCCACTCGAAGTGTATACTCGTCACTTCGCCTATGGCACCAGATCGAAGGAGCTCCCATACTTTGGTGTTGTGGGGTGCGTAGCGGTAGTTGAACGTCACGCGGACTTTGCGGCCTGTTCGCTCGACCGCGTCGAAGATTTCCTTACAACGCGGCGCATCGATGGTCATGGGCTTTTCAGTGACGACGTTACATCCTAGTTCCAGAGCGCGTACGATGTAGATGTTGTGTGTGCGGTCGATGGTAGTTACAATCACTTCATCTGGTTTTGTTTCCTCGATCATTCGATCGAAGTCCTTGGCCTTGTAGGTTGGTATAGAAGCGTGGCCGAGTGATTGCAGTTGTGCATTTGCGTAATCAAGACGTGTTTGGTTTGTGTCGCATAGCGCTACTATTACTGAAGTCGCTTTGTAGGTCGTTGCGATTGCGGAGTAGAAGAATGAAGAACGACCGCCGGTGCCAATCAGGGCATACTTCTTTTGCTTCGAGGCCTCTGCCATGAATGCGAATGATTGTTGAACCTGGAATCTACTGAAATGTTTGGATATTCAAACTGCACCTGAGACGACGGTGAGATGTTCAGCGCATCGGTGCTCGGCCGATAAAGGCCCGAAGCAGCACATCCTACCTCCTTTGACATGCGGGGAAGGCACTCATACCTACTGTGCACAGATGGGCTGACTGAGCCCCTGTCAGTGAGCGGTACCTTTGCACATCGGGTCGCATGCCGGACGGAGCTCGACAAATCAAAAGTGGTGCTTGACTTGATTTGAGTTCTGCTAATGGCCAGAGTTTAATCAAGATGCGGAACGATGTCCCTGAAGGTTGTCGAGCAGCTTATACGTGGATACCCAACTCTTCCAAGGGATGTACCATGTCGAAGGATGAGTTGCATGGCCCAAGGATCTGGTTACCCGGAGCAAAGGCCAACTCTCGGTAGCACATGACCAGGCGTGGAGGTGATAAAGAGGAAAGATGCGCCGTAGCGCTTCTTCGTCATAGCACTACGAAGGACGGGAACCAGAATAACGCAGTACGTAGCCTGTTCAACGCCCTGAGGCTATGCACAGCTTGGATTGGCTGCGAATACGACGTCAAGGCCATCGTTATTCTCCGTTGTATCCCGCGGCAATGGCAACACCTCACGATGAGAAAGACGCCATCACTCACATTGAGCAGACGTCGCAAACAACCTGTTCACAAAAGGTCGATGCTGCAGCCAAGTTCCTCGAAAACGCTCGCGTGGAAAACGTTTCCTTCACGTACAAGGAAGAGCGTGCAGTCCTGAAGCGCATCGATCTCCGTGTCCTACCACTCCTACTCGGCGCATACTTCTTCCAGCAACTCGATAAGTCCAGCCTGTCTTACGTCTCCATCTTCGGGATACAGAAAGATGCTGGTCTGGTTGGGAGGCAATACTCATGGCTCAGTTCTATCCTCTACCTCGCTCAGCTGGTCATGCAACCCCTCGCGGCCTTCCTCCTCGTCAAGCTTCCAACCGGGAAAGTCATTGCTGGTGCGGTCCTCCTCTGGGGCTCTAGTTTAGCTATCATGTCATCCTGCACCAGCTTCCATAGTCTCCTTGGTCTTCGGTTTTTACTTGGCAGCTTCGAGGCTATGATTGCGCCCGCTTGCGTCGCCGCTACAACGATGTGGTGGAGACGGAGCGAGCAGACATTGCGGACTGCGTCCTGGTCAGCTATGAACGGAGTTACGTTCATCGTCGGATCGCTATTCACTTATGGACTTGGACACATCCACAGTGACGTGCTGTACAAGTACCAGATCATCTTCCTCTTCTGCGGTCTTCTGACCGTCCTTTATGGCTTCGTTGTCCTAGTCTTCATGCCCGACTCGCCAATGTCAGCGAAATACCTGACAGATCGCGAGAAGGTCATCGCAACGGAGCGACTGAGAGCAAATCAAATGGGCGTGCAATCCGGTATCTGGAAGTGGGAACAAGTACGTGAGACGTTCCTAGACCTGAAGACATGGTGTTGGTTCGTCATCATCGTCGCCATCTCGTAAGTCTACAAAACCCACGCCTTGACGCAAAAGCAATCACTCACATCACCTCTCAGCATCTCAAGTGGAGGCATCGGTACTTTCGGCAACCTAATCATCAAAGACTTCGGCTACACCAACTTCGAAGCCATCCTCTTCAACATCCCGCTCGGCGCAATCCAAATTATCGCTATCCTGGGATCCAGCTGGGGCGCCACGAGGTTCAAGTGCAAAGGCCTCGCGATAGCGCTGGTCTCGGTTCTGCCTATCGTCGGTACGGTCATGATGCTGACGGTTCCACGCCGATACAAGGGCGTGCTGCTGTTCGGATACTACCTCGTATCCTGTCTCGCGGCCATCACGCCTATCATATATACATGGCACATCCAAAACACCGCGGGAGACACGAAGAAGAAATGCACATCTGCCGTGGTCTTTGTCGGAATGTGTGCTGGCAACGTCATCGGCCCGCTGCTTTTCTCACTCGACGATGCGCCGCTGTATCGACCAGGTCTCAGTGCGAGCCTGGTTATGTTTGTCATTGTGGGGGTTGTTTCTTTGCTGATTCCGATATATCTGGCGCTGCTTAATAGGCGCCATGCGAAGAGGAGAGAGGAGGTAGGCAAAGCGGCGGTGAGGTTGGATGAGAGTATGTTGAAGAAGGCGGACATGGCGCTTTGCAAGGTCGTGGAGGTGGAAGAGGGTGGAAGGAGGCAAGGGCAGGAGACAGACAACGGATTCAGTGACTTGACTGACATGCAGAACGAGGACTTCATATACGTGTATTAGGTGGACATGGCAGCACCGTTTGAATTTCAGGTATTCCTCCATACCATACGCTACCTACCGGACTCATCATCGTCGCCCCTTTCCCATGACTTCCTGCAAAAGCTCGCCACACTTCTGTATCAACTTTTCGGAGCCGGGGGGGCTGCTCCTGTTCTCGCCAAACGTCCTCGGAGCTCCTCCAGTTTCTTTCGCCCCCTTTCTTCAAGCCTCTGCCTGCAAATTATCTTACTCAATTTGCACGCTCTTCTCTGTCTTATTTTCGTGCGGCAACGAGTTTCAGCCTAGCTGTGATCCGTCTGCCGGCTTAGAAATGGCGGCCGATGTGTTGTCACATCCGTCCTTCATGCCCTTCGTCTCTGCAACCCTAGCCTTTTCCTGATGAACTTGCTTGATGCGAAAGTCTGTGCACCCGGCCTAAAAGGCATCTTATTCTCGCACAGTTCATTCCTTCATATTGGCGCCGCTGTTGTTCATCCCCGGCGTGGATGGTGATGAGTGAAGCTTGCGAGCCGAGCGGGGTTCTGAGGTAAGGTCAGGGTCTGCTGGTGATGCTTTCCTCTCTCGAGCTGTGCAGCTTGGGTCTTCACGTCACGTGTAAGCTCCAAGATTGGCTCGCAGATTCTGTATAGCTCAACCAACGCCGGAAGTCTCTTGTCACGCATCCCACCATTTTTTTGTAAGATTCAAGTATCTCTCAAATCATCATGCACGGGGTGTACCGTCGGTGGTGCTCAGAAGTGCTTCGAGCGTGCCTTCCTCGTGTAACAGGATGACCCTAGCTACACGAGGCGTGGCGAAATTCCTGCCTGGAGGCGAAAGGTTGGCTTGTATACGTTCAAAGATATAGTTAGAAGTAGTTGGAACATTTTATAGCTGCGTATATCTTCAGGCTCCCCCAAGCGTATCATAAGTATATCTCTAAAGACTGTTAGCTTATTTCATGTAGGTGCAAAGCGGGCAGTGATGTCGACCTTGATCCCACCCACAAGATGACGTTCTGACTCGCCACATACCTCGTAGGTGATGAAGTCCATTCCATGGTCGCGAATGCGTTTCTTCCGTCGTACACATCCAGTGGTGCCCGCTGTGCTTATCGACTTGGCGGGCAGCGGAGACTCGATACCACTGTTGTGTGCATGGTGAAGAGATTGACGATATCATGTCCCGCCTGCTGCATGTTGCGAATCTGCACACGACAAACCTTAATGACACCGCCATTGGACATTGCATAGTGTTGTGGCGAAACATCGTCTTCGATCAACCCGTAGCGGCTGGTATCTGGGTTGTAGAAGGGTAAACCATACGCGTGGCTTGATCGAAGTTTGGGGCGTAGATTGGTTAAAGACAATATCATCGAGAAGGTCTTCACTATTGATAAAACCCACGCCATTCTCGCTGGCCCCGCTATTCACGTTACTGTGCTAGCCAAAGGTGCAGGTGAGACTTATCAAGGCCAAGCAGACAAAATGTGCCCCAGCCTTTATCAAATCTTCGCTCATACGCTTATCATATCACTTTCTGAAGTCTGAAGCTACGCATTGATGCGGGCCTTGTAAATGCCTATCTTTGGGCGCGGCGAAAATCATCGTCAAGTGCACTGAGTCCTCGATTGTCGGCCTAGAGGCCCAACAGTACCTGTAGGCTTTATTTTTGTAAAGTATAAGGCATATTTGATTAAATGTTCGATAGGGCGTGCACCGTCAAGGGCGGCCGGAGAAGGACTTGAAGCTCAGACTGTAGGAGATCAATGTGGTGTCTTGGTCTATTGACTAATAGCTATGTAGGAGGATCAAAACCAGGGGAAAATTTCAGAGCAATTGAAAGATGTTCTTTCTTTCCTGTCGAACTCGTGTGACCGAGTGCCGCAATGATTCGTGCGCACTGTGCGTAAGGATTCTAAGCACTATCTAAGGGCAATCTAGTTAAGCTTTCTTAGTTTTGAGGTTATTTGAGCTCTTCGCAACATACTTATTAGCTATCATTTCAGTTCAGGCTTATAAATAGGACAACAATTGCTCTATGATAGTACGTCGAGTTCAAACAAAACGCGCACGAATTATTATTGCAACTGATGAATGGTACCGAAGTGGAAGTAATAGCATGCGATTGTCTAGTGGGTATAAGACGGTCTATCACTGTCTATAGCATGTCGCAGATATGCGGAAAAGAGAGACGCAAGCGATGCTCCGAAACAAATGAAAGGCCAATCTGCTTTCAATATTCCTCCTCCCTGACAGAGGCAACATCCGCGTTGCGCTCTTGACGACTGATGCGTCGGGTATCTTTCCTCCTCACGTACTCAGTACTGGCGTCGAACCTTCAACGCTGCAGCGCACACGGTGCGCATACTCGCAATCATGGCGACCTGCGCTTTCGCTAACAATGCAAGGCCCTTAAACCTGGGCGGGCTGCTGGGGCAGGAGGTCCTCCTGACGACGGTTCTTCTCCTTGATCGAGCCATCGGATGAAACAGCCTCCTCGTCGTGCATGTCGACACCGAGCTCACGAGAGTATTGCGCGATTTCGGCCTCCTCGAGCATAGGAAGCTCCTTAGCTGCTAGCACGTAGCTCTTGTTCTCGATGAAACCCTTGGCGAAGATGAGATCAATCTCCTCGAGAGAACGGCCGGAAGTCTCCGGGTAGAAGAAGTAAATGACTGGGAAGAAGCAGGCGTTGAGTGCGGCGAAGAAAAGGTAAGTTCCCCATCCAATGCTATCGATCAGAACCGGTGTGATCATGACAATGAAGAAGTTCCAGAGCCTAGATTTCCGAAGTCAGTGTATGTCTCGCATGCAATCCGTGCATATGGTTTACGTACCAGTTGTTGATCGTGCTGAAAGCGTTCGCCTTCGCACGAGTCTTGAGAGGATTGATCTCGGCAGGGTACAACCAGGGGAGTGGCAACCAGGTAGCGCCAAAAAAGGCAATGTAGATGAACAGACCAACAGCAGCACCGTTGGCAGCGCCAGTTTCGGACGGGGGAATTAGGCAAGCGAAGGTAAGAACCATGGCTAAGCATTGTCCAACGGTACCGATCAAAAAGAGCTTGCGGCGACCGACACGCTCAACGACGAACCAAGATGTAGTCGCGAAGATGGCGTAGACAACCATGTTCACACCTCCCAAAAGAAGGGCGAGGTTGTGGTCGGTGCCGAGCGCGTTCTGGCAAAGAATGGGGAAATAGTAGATGACAGCGTTGCAACCCGACAACTGCTGCATGAATTGCGAAGATGCTCCGAGGATCATGCGGCGGAAGTACTGGGTCTTGCCGTTGGTGAAGAGAAGCTTGGTAGGGACCTTGCCGCCACCGCCAGCCTTGCGAACAGCATACCTTGATAACACCCATTTGAAGCAGGACCTCGGGGTCGTCACGACGGAGACCGTTCAGACCAGCAAGAATTGTCGCAGCTTCTTCCTCGCGGTGATGGGTGAGGAGCCATCGCGGTGATTCGGGTAGTTGAACCATCAAAGCAATGACGATGAATGCGAACACACACTGGAAAGCGATGGGGAATCTCCAGGTGAAGTCATCGGGGCCGTAGAGACATCCATAATCGATCCAGTAGGCGATGAGCGTACCAATGGCAACCATGCTGCCCTCGACGCAAATAACCTTTCCACGGTTCTTGGCCTTACAACATCTTATTGCACGTTAGTATCATTGCAGAATGCAGCGGCGAAGAAACTCACTCTGCTTGGTAGGTGGGAATAGTCGATGTGTTGATACCGTTTCCGATACCAGTGATACAACGTCCAATGACAAATTGAGCGGTAGCGCCGCCGTTAGGGGGCACAGTTGCGATCTGGATGATGACACCGACGACCATGACGAAAGCACCAAGGAAGATGGACTTGCGACGACCGAGCTTGTCACCGAAGAGGAAGATGAATACGGCGCCCAAGAAGCATCCGACGGCGTAGATGGAAACAACGAAACCTTCGTAGTTGGTGTCGTGGACCTGGGGAAATGCTTCGGTAAAGGCGGGGGCGGAGATGATACCACTCATGACACCTTGGTCGTAACCAAAGAGCAAGAAGTCGGTAGTCGCGACCATGGTGATGAGAACTTGAAGCATCCTACCGGATTGCCCCCAGTAGGTGGGCACTCCGGAGTCGTTGTCCTTTACGCCTGGCATGGTGAAGGATGGTCAAAACAACAAAAAGCTGGAGTGAGATACGGGGGATTCTGAGCGGGGAGAGGGTGCCTTTAAAAGATGATCCTCATGTCCTCGAGAATACTTCGGCACACACCCAGCGTGGGATACCCACCGGCCGATCCACACCGAGCCCACATTTTCACCAGGTCGTCAGACACGTGGAGTAGACTAGATAACGATTTTTCCCAGTCTCTCGGGCTTGGCCTGGTGTTGCAATGCGGCGTGAGGTTTGCTGAGAGAGCGGCACAGATGAACTGTGGAGACCAGGCGAACCCAGCAGGGTCTGTTGGTGGAGCGAGCAGCCTTGGGCCAATCTCGATGAGCATATGAAGACGCTTGGGGTGGAACAAGAGCGCTCGGCAGGATTATTTTTGTGCTAGCTCGAGATTTCTACGCTTTGCGTCATGGTGAGTTGCTAACACCATGATTAGGCGAACCCTGGAGATGAATGCTAGAGTACTAGTCGCGGGCGGGACTGCCGACCAGTGAAGAGCATCGAATATCAACGATTTTTGTGCCACATAGCATCCGGCCAAGCAGCTTGCGCCAGTTATGCAGGTACGCAGAGCTCTTGACTACCTTGGGACTCTTCCACTCGCGCTCAGCTCGGTCGTTCCGTGGTCGTGTCTGTCTCCGTTACGAGAGATTGATGCATCTTCGTCTCAACATAACCATATTGACGTCACAGGTCGGACGCTGATGCCATGCCATGCAGGGTCGGACCGGCCGTGCACATGCGGCGGCTCTGCAGCCTCTTCAGCTTGGCGCCGATCTTATCCGAGCCAAGATCTGTCTAGCGCGCTCTCATACGTGCGATGGTAACGGCGGTGACGATGTCCCGTTCTTGGGCGCGGCTACGCTACTGAAAAAGATGTTCAGAGCAGAGCCTCAGATGGAAGTAAAGCCGGGGAACGGGACGTCATAGCTGTGAGAGCGGTTGCCATGCCAGGATTTTGCCGAGAAAAGTTCATGCATTGAGAATTCTTGGATGAGAGAATGCTTTCAGAGATGAAGCAACACTAGCAAGTAGAAGCATGCGGCAACTGCGGCTGGCATACGGACGCGGACGAGAGCCGTCGCTCCCATGATTCTGACGGCGCTGATCATTATTTGTTATCGGCAGGTTGCGCGACTGAGTCGTCGTTGCAGCTTACATACGCAGATTCGGCCTTTCCGTTTCGAGTAATCCGACTTCAACCTCACCTCATATTCGCTCTTCAACCGCCCAAACTCCACACCTCCTTTGCAGGTCCACAAGTATCCCAGCTGCGGCACACTCAACATGTGCTCTCAACCTTCAGGCAGCCAACCAAATTCATGAACGGCCCATTCATCCGCTGCTATCAGCTTATGCTTATCAAGCACCTCAGAATTACCCTGCACTTTCAGATATCGCTCACACCTCGAAAGTTGTCGGTGAGCATTATCATAAGCATCAAGCTCTTTTTCAACCCGGGTAGACAGCATTCAAACTGGATCGATTGCTATGATGCGGGCATCGCATGTGAATTTCAGCGGCCCAAAACCATGACCATGGTCCCGAACATGCTCGGTTCACGTACCGGTCAGACCAAAGACCCATCAATACCGGAGCACACCCCACTGATCTCGTTGCGGGTCTGCAACGTAAGGACTAATCTCTCCACGGTCTGATATATGGACCCTTTCGGTTGCGAGCCGCGACGGGCGACAGCACATGACTGCTCCATCTTGGGGTAATCCACGGCTCTGGCACGCAAATGGAGAATCGGACTACCCCAACTTCCAGTCTCCGCGTCTGATCGCGGCTGCGAAACGTAAGGGTTCATGTGGGCAGCATTTCCAGGTTGATGGACCGACAGCACGACCTCTCATCTCGTAGCATCGACTAGCTTCGGTCACGATTCATTGAGACAGAACGAGCAATAACGTTGGGCTAAGATGAACCGAGCTTTGCCTAACGCACAAGTTGATGCGTGTTAGCCAGTGAGCTCGTAGTGCGCAAAACAATATGTTGCGAAGAACCGCCGTCAAAACAACAGCCAAGAGATGCTCGGAAAAGGATACTGACATGTCCAGCGAACACAACCACATCTCTTGCGTTGTGTGCTCTTTGAACGACCGAGGCTCAAATTGGGAATGCGAACCTCGGCCATAATCGGGTGACAGAACTTGGGGCGCTCCACTTAGTATTGGCCCGCTGTCTCACCCACACGAACGTGCGCCAGCTCGCATAGCCTACTTCTGGGGAAGGCTCCTGCATGTGATGTTTGGACGCTGGGTAAAGATCAGCAAACAACGTCCCGCCTGACATACAGTTCGTTTCTGGAGCTCAAACGTCGTGCCTGAAGATCGCTAGGAGTGTCTCGGAAGTCTCCATAAGAAGAGGACGCGTCGCTCACAAAATTGCCTTATCCCAACTGACCTTTTCGTTTCTCAACGTTCTCGCTACATGTGAGAGATAAGCGCGCTCTGCCAGACCGACCTTCTGGCACATGTCAGAAGGTGACAAAACAGCTGCATTCTTGGTGAGCTCATAAGTGCATAAGCTTGAAGTCGCAGCAAATCATTATTATCGCCTACATACAGGTTCTTCTTTTTCAAATTCATCGAGACCTCCTCGTCACCAATTTTCTACTGTCATGCTCGATCTCGGTCCACACAAGCCTCTGCATGTAAAAAACTAACCTGACATCCCATACATCATCAGATCATAGAAACGGAAAACTGTGGAGCGATCAATGCACTGGTGCTGTATACTACAGGCTCCTTCGTCTGTGCGTTGCGCTTCAATCCTCTTGCTTTTCGCATTTTCGTCCGACGGAAGGAGACCCGGTATAATCTAAAAGTCCTCTGCACTAGCTCTTCCTAGGATCCGTCTTGCAGCTATGGTCGAGTCGATTACTAGTCGTGACTGCCTCGAGAACGTGCTACGCACGATGTTCCTCCATGCATGTACAGTGGCGGTGTTGAACTCAAGTTCTTCATGAGTACGAACAACCATCACTCCGACAAGAGTGAACTTTTGTCGAAATGATTAGGACATGAAATATGGCACAGAACTCGATTATAGATTAGTATTGACTCACCTGCGCCAAACAAATACATAAGCTTATATTTTACATTGATGACCATGTCAAGATTTCGGAAATAGTCGCAATGCTGTAGTAAAACCTGAAAGGATCCTTCATGATCTCGTGCTCACTTTTGTGACCATAGAATATAAGATTGTTTAGTCTTGTAGTTATTTTGTCATTTTTCACGAAGTTTCAAACCGTGACATCCCAGACATCTCGTCCACACACACCTACTCCTTATCCACAGCAAACCTCTTTAGATCCTCCATCTTTACGCCCTCCAACGCGCGCTCATTCGTCGCCTTGAGCACAATCTTGGGAACTTTCTTGTCATCGTCGCCGGTCCTGCAAAAGCTCTACGTCAGCAAGAAAAATTGGGATGAAGGATGTGTGTGTGTGTGTGTAACGTACCTAGCCTCAAAAGCCTCCCTCCACCGACTCACACAAAGACACCATTTACACCCGTCCGTGAGCCCCGCTTGGCGCAAGTCATTGCCGCGCGCGGCGCTGAAGTCGAGGAATTCGTTTGTCACAATGGCTAGAATCAAATCAGACTATACCTTCACAAATTTACACTTCCAATAAAACTTCTATCCCCAGTATGGAGCTAGACGTGGAGCGGGGTGGGGAAATGGGACGCACCAGCAACGGAATGATTCCCCAAATCTTGCTTTGGCGCTTCGCAATAGCCCGTGCGCATGAAGCCGGTCAACGGCTTTGTGGAGTGCAGGGCGAGGGGTTGTTTGAAAACTGGACGGGGAGGTAAAGTCAGCCACATACTACTGATGCAGAGGTGTGGGAAATCAAAAGGTCCTCTCCTCTTTCCTCAAGCAGCTTCATGGAATTGGAGGATGATCAAAACTCACCGTTTAGACTCATACTCCCCAGTATCTTGTCGTTGACTTTAATCGTGATGTCGTGGACGTGTGCGTATCGTCTGCCTACGATAGATCTCTTGAACTTCAATGGTAGTCGAGAAATTAGATTGCGGAGGAAGTGCATTGTCTGCGGAGTTACCGTCTATAACGCGGTCTTTGTGGTTGTGTAGTGCTCATGATGATGCCGCGGTCCAGGTGGTGACGTCACGTGGTTAACGGGACGCAGGGATCAATGCGTCGATCGGGATGCGGGGCGGATCGACGAGGTTCGAGATGGGCCATGTTCTGAAGACACCGTGAATATGGTAGACTAGTGACCGGCAATTTGTTCATGCAGGTTTCGTTCTACTGCAGCGTAGGTCACTTATTATGTTGCGCATGTCACAGCTGCCTCTCTCGTTGCCAACATGTCACAGCTCCAATCACACGCACTAGCAGACAACACAAATCAACAAGCGCAAAGTATGTGCACAAGATTCATTGATTCTAACGTACTAAGCCGTCTAAAAAATGGGGGGTATAGGGGGGGCAAAAGACTCATTTTATGTATCCAAAGGCATATCGTAGGTTTCTCATAAACATGGGGCGACCCTGCTGGGATGCGACCCCGGGATATGAAATGTTGCGAGATTGACCAAACACGTGAAACTCCGTTGTCCCAGATGCAGCCTCTTTCCAATAATACCATGCAAAAAAACAAGAAAACGTGGAACGCGCAATGGAAAGATGCCCCAACTCCGTTTTTGGGTATGATGCTAAGTAGCCTTGCGAATTCGCCGAGGCTGTGTCGTGGTATAAATGCAGACTGCATGTGCAGTATCGTCGTAATGTGTTTTCAGCGATGTACGCCAGCACCCGCCTTGATCTCTCTCTTCATCTCCTCGAGCTTCTTGTGCATCCTGAGCAGGTCGTTCCTCTGCGCCTCGGTTGGGGATTTGTCCGACTCGGTCAATTGCCAGTAGAGCTCTTCGTATTTCTTGTAGTACTTCTGGAACCTCTGGGAGAGCTCGACTGTCTGGCGGAAGCTGAGGTTGGGAATGGTGGGCGATGTGGTGGACGAAGACGATGCACCGGGCGAAGCCTGCGAGTTGTTGTTATGATAGCGCGAGGCAGCGCCAGTGTCGATGTTGTTGACCTTGCGCACCTTGGGGGCAGTCGAGGGCGTGTTGGACGAAGACGAATCGTCTGACTTGCGCTTGAGTGAGTTGCCGCTGGAGGGGGTGGAGCCATTGAGGCGGCCATTGGTGTGCGATGGGGTATGGTTTGGCGCGGCGCGGTCGAGGTGTGGCTTCTTCACGGCCAGATTGTGGTTGTGAATGTCGCTGTCGATGTCGTTCGCCTTGCGCTTCAGCGAGCGGTCAGAGTTGCTGTTAGTTGCCTTGGCGGGGGACACAGCAGCAGCAAGGGCCTTGTGTACGGGATGGCTGTCCTCGAAGTCGCTGGCATTAACGGGCGGGGATGCGGAGAGGGGCGAGGGGTTCTTCGGCTTGGTGTTGATGGGAATCACAGGCTTGACTGGCCGCACGATGCGGTCGCGGTGCTGGTCGCGGCCGGACATGTTGGACTTGACGCGTGGGCTGTTGTTTCCTTGGGTGGCAGGCGCTTTCTTGGGTCGCGATTTGGAAGGGTCGGTTGAGGGTGTGTAGCGGTCGGAAGGAGCAGTCGGGCGAGCAGAGGAAGGAGTGTTTGTCGAAGAGGTTGGGGCCTTCTTTGGCTCATACTTCACATCCTTCACCGACGGCCTCTCCTTCCCCGCCGCTTTGAGCTTCGGCTCAGGCTCTTTCACTACCCTGACCTTCTTCTCCGCAGGCTTCTCATCAGCCTTTTTCGCAACAGGCTTCTTCCTGGTCAGGTCGGATATCTTGTGCATCGGGGTGCTGGCCTTGGCTTTGGGTTTGGCCTCCAGCGCCTTCACCTTGGACCGCGACAGACAGATGCCCTGGCCGCGCTCTTCACGTGGCAGCAGGATCTGCCAAAGCTTGTCATCCTTTGCTAGTCGTTGGCGGTCAAACGCCTTGATGGCACTGTCAATTGCCTGCTCGCGGTCTTGGGCGCTCTGGTAGGGAAACTTGTAGGGGTTGAGCTCGCGGAAGACCTTGTCGGTGAGCTGCCACTTGTCCGTGTCAGGTGATGAGCGCTTGGCTATCTTGGACAGCAGCTCCCGCATGGTGGACTGCGAGGTCCGACATGTCTCTGCAAGAGAGGCCTCGGTTGCCGGCTGCCTCGCAAGAAGATGGATAACGGGGACGCGCAGAGCGTTGAGGACAGCATCGTGGCTGCTGCTGGGTTGTGATGTAGGGGCACGCTTGTGCATGGGTGAGGATGCGGTGCCCAGCATGGGCGAGCCGAGCTTGGAAGGAGCGAGGTGCTGTGCCTTGAAGCCCGTCGAAGGGAAGCGACGGTGGCCCGGTGTTCGTGAGGAAGTGGTGTCGCCGACAATAGTCCTGCAAGCAGCCGTGTTAGTTTAGGTAGAACCACAATTGCTTCACGATGCGGGAGATCGCTGGACAGCCTTGGGAATACCGGGGAGGCATACTTGTTGGCTTCCTTGATCTCTGAGATTGCGGCCATGCTACTCCGCAGCTGCTGGAGCGCCGAGTCGACGCCCGCCGTTACGTCTTCCGCCTTCTGCACCGACAGGCTGTGGTTGATCATGCCGGCGAACTCGAACTCGAACTCGGCGTCGTCGCCAGCACCGCTGGACCTGTATAGTTCGCATCGATGGCTCTCGGGGCTGCTGTGAATCACGTGGGTCTTGTCGCCGTACTTGAGTTGCTGTTGGTGCATGGTCAGCCGAGTCGTTCCTTCCCTATCCTCGAGTCCAAAACAACATCATGACACCCACCACAGTCTCACACTACAACACAGCTACACGGAACTTTGGCACACGTACAGGATTCTTGCCGAAGAAAATCTGCGGCGCTTTCCCGCTCCGAACACTTTCCAGGAGCTCGTCGATAATCTCCTGGGTCATTTCCACCTGCATGGCCTGCATGGGCGGCGAGTTGGCGTCCCGTGAGTCCATGTCGCTGTCTGGGGCGCCGACGAGGGCAATGCCGCCCGCACGAAGCAGTGCAGTCGCCATGTTGGACTGCTGGTCGATGTCTCGAAAAGAGGCGGATCGAGGTGTAAAGCTCGCACCCGGATGTCGTCAAGGGTAGCAATGCATGGGGAGAGCACCCAGGCACTGAGCGGACAGCAAGCAGTGCAGGCGGGGAGGATGCAGATGCCCGTCACTGAGGCTCCTGGTTCTGCTGAGGCGTTCGAAAGTTCGACGAGTGACGGAGGAGCGAACAAAGGACGCAGCTGCTCGGAGGACTGTCAGACACGGTCAGACTGTCATAGCGCGGTGGTCCGGAATCCAGCGAGCAAGCGTGTGCACGGGTACCAAGGTACGATGCTGAAACGATTGGCTGTCCCGAAATATCAGAGCCAAACAGGAGAGCAATCAACAAACGCTGCACTCGTCAACCACGTCGTAGCAGAGTGAGTGAGGAGCAATGGTGCTGGCTGCCGGATGAGGCGTGATGTTGGGCCAGCCTGCATGCCAGAGAGGGCGCCCGTGGTGCCGAACAAGGGCGGTCGAGGCATAGAACGATTACGCCTGTTTGGGGTGCCAAACCCAGCGGCGGCCCGCATTTCAAGGTACCTCGTGCTACATCAATATGTCGCCGTCTGCAAGGCATTACCAGAGTGCACCGGCCGATCCCATTCCATTTTACAATGGCAGCCATGCACATCACAGCGGACCATGGCCCTCGAGACTCAGACATTGCGCTGTCGCTGTCGCTGTCGCTGTCGCTGTCGTCGACACTCGACTCTCTCAGCGCCTCCGCCGTCACTCGCTGACCGAATCTGGCTGGAGATGCTGAGTCTGGCACTAGCTGGGCAACTCCACCGTCACTCGTGGCAGACCTTGGGGGGTGCGGACAAATCGCCGTGCGTTTAAAAAACGACCACGTCGGAATCTGGGTGCCGGGCCCTGTCTGTCACCCTTGCCCACTCACACACCAGGCCCGGACCGGGGCCTGTGTTGGCGTACCTGTTTCGAAATCGACATGCACCTGGACAGTGTTGAAGCCACAAGATTGCCATGCCTCTTGCTGGCCCTACAATGGCCCTCGCAACGCCGCTGGATGAGGCTGTCTTTCCCTCCATCTGCATCGCCTGACCAGCAAAATGCAGCGCGGCATGAGGCTTGGGGCGCCAGCATCGCGTCACAAGCCGACGACGCTGTCATCCGCCTTTTCGGGACCGTCGCGCCACGGCTAGCCATCTGAACAGGGTTGGGGCCAACCTATACTTAGTTCCGCGGTCTAGCCATGCTTGCACGGGACTCCCGCATCTCTGTGGAACCGCCCACCAAGCAGAGAGTATGCTCGTGCTGCATCCCGCAGACGGATCATGGCAATTGTCCATCCTACAAATAGGGGATGCGTCCATGTCCAGTCCGAGTTGCAACAGCGAAGGCAGATTCGGTATAATTCGCAGCGTGGCATGCAAGCGCGGAAGCCCACCCACGCCAATATGGCCGGCCTCGGCATCACCCTCACCTAATCCTCCGGTTTGTAACGAATAATTCCGACCAGAGGAGGCCTCCAGAAGGACCGCATTCACGAGTCTGCTGCCAACCAGCTGCAAAGACAACCTGCAGCTGCAGACTAGCCACGGACTAGAAGCATCGCGCGTCGGACTTTCGCGTCTGGGTGGGCGGCCAGCAGGTTTAAGCGGTATGGGGAGCGACCTCGCTACTCTGCGCAGGCATGAGTAACTACAGCTGCAGGTAAACGAGTAGCGTGTGCTCGTGGTCGTTCTGTACTCCCGCGACACCTGCAGCACAGGAAACGCCGACTTGCACGGTAGGGCTTGAACTGCTTGGGAACGCAGTCAGCCTGCAGTCCAGTCCAATGCAACGAGCACGTCAATGACATGCGATAGAGGCTCTCTGCTTATTGCGGGTCACCTTCTCCAGGTAATGCAACTCGCTCTCAATATGGAAGCGTTCCGCGTTCTGGATGTCACCCGCGGTCCTACAATATCCTGGACCCTGGACCCCGTATCTTGCCATATTGCAGAGCGAAGCGGTCGCGGGGTACATAGATTGAGTACCACAATCTCCGTCACCGGGTCATCAGATCATCAAAGAGAACTGAGTACGGCGATGGCCTTTCGCTGGTTTGCCCCTCTCTCGTGCAACGAGGTGGAAGACAGACTGGATCTACCTGCGTCGGGCGACCATTGTACAAAGACCGATGACCTCGTATATTGGTTCCACCCACCGGACAGACTCACACCACTTTTACGCCTTCGAACTCTACACTCCAGTCGCCATAGAAGCTCTGGTCGTGCAATTATAAATTATTACACCGTTCTTCACCTCCAGATCTGTGTTACCCGGCGGCCCGACACGGGGCATATTAAACCCAAGCGCTTGTCTCGGATCTGTTCTGGACGGTGAGGCTGGTGGACGGAAACGCCTCGTTTTGCGCCCTCCCACACCACTTCCAGGTCATGTCGGCAGTAAAAGCCGCACCAGATTATCCGCAGCGCACGACTGGGTCGTTGGTAATATGTTTTCTCGCCATCACATATTCACAACACCCAGGTGCTTACCAGCCACGAGTCGAGTGTGCGACACCAAGTACGTCAACACAGTCGCAGGTGCAATTCCCCTAAATTGCTTTGGATCCGTATCATTTCAGATCTCCACTCTTCGCCACGGATCATCAGCTCATGCTTACGGTTCATTCGCTTGCGATGCACACTCTAGGAATTGTTTCTTATCGCTTGTGTGCTGGTCGAGATTCTTGAGCTCCTTCCAAATATTCTTGGAAGTCCGAGGCCTTCCAGCCTCCCAGGACACTGCGCACACCTCCGTCACTGCGCCTCCATATCACCGTCATGCATCAACCCCGATCAGGTGCCCGTACTAAGCTGTATCTGGCAGTCCATAATTTTCAGTGTCAGTCTGCCTTCCTTTTCCTGTCTTCATTACAACTGCGACAAGACATGGCTTCATACTGCTCGAGGCCAGCATGGAGGTGTCAAAACTTGTCGTTCCTGCATCACCCGCGCCGTCGCCGTGCGTGATCGATCTTCCTGGCGTGCGCCTGGGGCTGGAACGGCTGGAGAACCGGGCTGAGCCCTGGTCTCTGATCACGCCTTGGACGGAAGTGGCGTAAGGCGAGCGATCCTTCAGGGCGCGTAGGGGAAGATCAGCGAGCCCTGCGCCGCGATGCTGCACATGCTGACATGAGCATAAACATGGCCGTGAGATATGTAAATGGTTGATGATAGAAAGCACAAGGTCTGTATACTTGAAAGGTAGTGTTTGCGAGCAGGCCAAAGGTAAGCTGATAGATGCACGACCTACGTCGAAGCGCGTCGTGCGCCTGATGTGTTTGCTAACCAAGACTTTGAACTCCGTCGCTATGCATATGCCACACAGCGCCAGGGTGAATGAAACAGAAGGAGAAACCAAGCGCTCAATGAATAACGAATCTCAGACCTGGCTGCATCGCCGTCCAAAGGCGTCAAGGGTTGGCGAAGACAACAGCCGCGCTTGCTCCAGCGATCGAACCAGTGGACAGTGCTGAAGTGAATCAGCCCCAAAAGACGGCATGGGGCGACCAGGCTTGACAGTGTGACGGACGCCGTGAAGTTGCCTACGGGGCACCCACACAGCCGTCACTGTAGCCCATCACCAGGACCCGCAGCAGCGCTCAAGCGTCCAGCTCCTCAGGCGTCTTGTGCCTCGCCAGCACCAATCGCTTGTACTCCTCCATATCCTTCTCCCACAGCTCCGCCGCCTGCCCATTCAATGGACTCGAACTGCGCGCAATCATTAGCAAACTGTCTCCGCGCCCCATCCCTCACTTTCTCCCTCCATTCCTGGGGTAGCATAGCACTCACTTATTCGGCTCCCCAAGCAAACTCTGCAAGCTCAACAACACCGTGCCCACATTGTACACCGCGCTCCACTTATCCTTGAGTATGTCCAGGCAGATGCGGCCCGAAAAGTCAACGTTGGGGTGGTATATGGGCGTCTTGAAGAGCACGGTTGGCGGCGCGTACGGGTAGTTCGTGGGGAAATCGAAGGTGAGTTTTAGGACGAGCGATTCGTAGGGGGTGGAGGAGGGGCCGTCGATGGTGGCGGTCCAGAGCAACATGTTCTCGTCCGACGGGAAGGCGGAGATGCCGGGTGTGGGGTGGAGCATTAGGTCCATGAGTTCTTTTTGCAGACTTGGAGGTGTTAGAGATGGCATGGAGGTGTATAGGAAGTAGGTATTCGAAGGGGGGCGACGTACCGTTGCGCGAGAGCCATGTTGATATTATTGTTCTTCGTCGCAGTTTTAAAATGTAAACAAGTCGCTTGTCCGAGAAGGTCGTGAGAAGTACAAAGAAGAAATCGCAAATGCTGGTTGTAGGGCAGTTGTTCAGATGTAAAGCCTTATGAGATTCCCACTATTGATGTTTACAGTCCGTGCGGATGCTGTGGTGACGGGGTCGCGTGGCATCCCTACTAGCGCGCGCGCAAAGGGTCTACGTGCAGTGGCCACTCAAGACGCGTTGGATTCGTGATTTCGGGGAGGATAGTGTTTGAAGTGGAGGGTTGGCGCTTGGTATGCGATGGGTAAGCAATGTAGCAGCCTGCTGAGATTCACAGACGTATTAAATGTTGTACGGATGGTTGGCACTTGGTACACTGGTTCACGATGAATAAGCCATACAGCAGCCTGTGGAGATTCAAAGGAGTATTGAAGGGTGTTGAATTCATAAACAGGCCTTGAATAGATCCAGCCTCAACTATCGCTATGCTAATACATCGCACCATGGAGAGCCTGGCGACATGAAGAAGTCTCACAGTCGAAATGTGGGAACTCGTCGCTGGATTGCGGAGCGCCTTGACTACCTTCAAGGGCGGCATCTTGGGCTTCATGTTATCATGAACTAGTTTGTACGTTCGCTCGGCTTGCGCATACGACTCTTTAATAGATCTAACCTGTTCCTTGTCTACCCCAGCAGCGAACATGACATTGAAATATTCGGGCACCAACGACGGGTCGGAGCAGAAGGCTGAGTAAGCAACATTCACGTGCACTGTCGCGCTATTATCGGAATGCGCTTCGGACTCGGAAGCCACTTGGCTTTTGATCTACGACCACGCCGAGTGAACAACTGTCATGTCCGCCATCTTCACTCTGCTACACCCCGGTCACAGCTAGCACGATGTCACAGAATACTATGTCGTCAAAGAGCGTATCCTGGGACACAATTGGGCCTTTTCTCGTGTGGCAGTTCCTCATTCCGTTGGTAAGTGCTGTAGAATCGCCAGCCAATATCCTCGAGCTAATCAGCATACGACAGGCAGCAGGGTGGGCGCAAACAATCCTGTACAGCATTTTCATACGCGCCGGTGATCCAAAGCCGCAGCCTGGTAGCCCGCGCTTTATTAAGCACCGAAAATACATCTTGATCGCAGTTTACTTTGCGTACTTCGCCTTCACTATCTACGAGGTCGACTTCAACCTCCAGCGATCCGCAAATGCATACCACCAACTAGGCGTTCCGATCGATGTTGACGATTCCGGCCTCAATACGCGCTTTCGCAAGCTGGCAGTACAGTTCGCATCCCGATAAGCTAAGGAAGGCCACCCCCGAGCAACGAGAAATGGCGAGCCATCATTTTGTACGCCTGACAGCGATGCGGGACATTATTCTGGACCCAGTGAAGCGCTTCGCATACGACAGGTTTGGACCAGACGTACAGTGCAACAAGTGCCTTACCATCTCGGATTATGTTGAGTCGCAACTGTTCACTACGGGGACAACATATGGCGCAATCATTCTCTTTCTAGTCGGAGCGAATGCGCTCGGGTACTTTTCTGATGGCGCCTATTGGCGCTACCTTGGCCTTCTCGCTGTCGGAACCCTCGAGGCCAGGACCGCGATGCGACCAGATTTCCCAAGCTTCCTGACGCTATACTTGAACCCCTTCGTTACGAAGTGGGGCTTGCGACCCGCATACCTACCCTTCCAGCTCACATCGATCATCAAGAAAGCATCGATATCCGCAGCCCAGTTCCTCGCGCTCCTCATGCCACTCTACCGCCTTGACCCGCAGCAACCGCTCAAGCCGACCGAAGATACGGAAGATGCGCGACACAAGCAGCTCGATCGCTTGAGCGCGTTCGTGGCGGAAACAAATAGGGAATCGGGGAGGCTTTTGGAGTTGGAGAGCATACCGTACAAGGAGAATGAGAAGGCGAAGAGCGAGCTGCGAGAGGCGTTCAAGAAATATATGGTGCAGAATGTGGTGCATCAAGAGAAGGATGTGCGAAATGCTATCGGGCAGAGCATGGCGAGGAGGAGACAGGGTGTACCGCATGGTGCGCAGGGAACGAGATAGAATGAAGTAGTAGCCAAGAACCAAGATTTTGTCATATCACTGGACCAGCACGTGATTCTGTGAGAGTGGTTGCATTCAAGCGTAGACATGGCTTAGAGACAGAGATTCAAGAGGAATAAGGAGCCATACGAGCCCTCAAAATGGAACATCACACAGGTCCGCACTTGGTGGTGGAAGTGTATGATCAATTTGCTCCTATATCAACTATGCTCCACGATTCCGCACTTGCAACTGACACCACATCCCATCCATGACCAGCCTCGGATTCGGAAAATTCAGCACCACCATCCGAGTCTTGAAGCTCGGTTTCCCTCGTCTCTTCCAGCATGAAGATCTTCCTTCCCTCATCCGCAATCCACTCGACAAGGCTACACCCCTGCTTCTCGTCCAGCGCAGGCACACATGTAGACTGCCTGCAAAAACACCCATAAAACATGTCCGGGCCCTCGTCACAGTAGTCATCATAACCAACCTCCCAGCACCCCGACCCGTTCCGATGCCATGCCCACGCAAACTCGCCGAACCATTGATAGTCCGTGTTTGGACGGAAGAGTGAGGCATTAGTTAGGCGCATGGGCTTTTGGTACCAGTTGGCTGGACTCAAGATGGAGCGGAGGAGAGCGTGGCCCAGAGCGTCGTATACATTCGTGGGCTGTGTTGTTGTGCTCTCGTCCCCACAGTAGATGTCATATCCTTTAGAATGGCGCCAGTCGTGTCTCCTTTCCCACAGTGTCGGCTTGAACGATTCAGGTTCGCCACGTCGGATCCTGTTCTCCTTCACAGCTCGCATCTCCGCGATGCGGCGCTGACACCATACTGAAAAATTCTCGCCGAATTCAACATATGGCTCAGCGCTTTCGAACGCATCCGCGCCGTGCTGGACGGTGATGTATCGAATCATTGCGTCTGGCATGTCGTGCACCCACGGATCCAGTTCTTCTTCGCGCGGGAAGTCCCACTCGACAAATTGGTGTTTCGTTCTCTTGAAGAACCCGCGCGTATAACATGGAACTTCTTTCTGACTCTCCCTCACCGCAAACCTCACATTCTCGGCTTTCTTCTTCCGATTCTTCGTGCGCTGCTGCGTCTGGCCGGACTTGCGGCACTTGTAGCTATTGCATCCGCGCTTCGGGCGCGCTTTGCGTTCTCGTTGCTTGTCGCGCGAGGAGGCGCGGAAGTCTGCGTGATTTTGGGGCAAGAGGTGGCCGAAGGGGAAGTTTGTGGTTTCTTGGTATGATTCGATGCCGTAGCCGGGTGTGCAACATGGGCAGGGAGGGAGATCCCATGCTGAGGACCATAGACTGGACCGGTCGTTTGAATCTGTCGATGAGGTTGAGGGGGTGTAGATGAAGGATTCTGTATCTGAGCTCATGTTGGTGGTATGGGAATTGAGATTGAATTTATCGAAGTGACACTGTAAGATAGGTGGACGAAGCTTGCGCTGGAAGTTGACTCAGTAAAGAGGACTTCTTGGAAGGAGCAATGCTGAGATAGTTGCGGAAGACTTTGTTTGATTGAAGTAGTTCCATGAAAGAACGAAGTATACTCGGATCATGAGAGTAATGAACGCTTCGAATTGGAATGTATACTACCAGGCTGCGCCCTCGGCAGCCTGTTGAGGGCGCAGCGAAGGGCGGTGGTGCGCAACCAGACTTTATCGCACTCCAACACTGGTCATTAAAGAGGTATGGATAGCAGACGTGAAGCGACTGCGCCTCAAGGCGGTGCAAATTAGGAGAGCAGGGTAAATGATGAAAGTACAGTGAGCAGTCGTTGATGTCTCATGACGTCACATGTGCAAGCTAGACACCCAATGCGAACCTCAGGCCATTTCAAAACACCTCTTCCAACATATCTTAGCGTGCATGGACTCGAGGAGTTATGAGGCGAATATGATATGCTAGAAAAGCCTCGAAGATGTACAGCCACAGTTGTAGCCGGATACTGACAGCAGGCACAAACCTTGGAACTCTCATGGCACTGGTTACCATTCCACATTCCACAAACACAGGCAGATGGTTCCTCGACCTATCACCCACTTGGAGCCCTATACTCAGAGGCTAACATTCTACACTGCTGTAAGCGCAGCAAACCCAGGCAGGCCCGTGCGCTAAGCTCAGCCAAATCCAGCGATAATGATTGTCGCCCTATTCTCATTTGACTGGAAAAACAACATGTCCTTAGCATGGCGGGGAAACTGGCTTTGTACCAACTCAACCATTAAGGGTGCCAGTCAATGGCACTTCCTGCGTTTTCGGAGTCTCTGGGCTGGCCGTCGCTACATGTTGAAACATCACGAAGAACAGGAAGGCCTTCTCGAAAAACGGGTGGTGTAATAAGTCTCGGGTATTCTCTATGGATTTAGGGTGACATTAAAAGTAGATTGAACATTTATGCCTAGGGTTTTCGAGTGCACTGAGCTTGGCCACCAAGCGGTGCGACATCGGACCTGCTCGTTTAAGGATGCCTTCGTATGATACATCAGCCTGAAGCAGTTCGAGGGCATATAAGAATTCGTTACGGTGCCGAAGATACTATGAAGATATACAGGCATACCTATTGCTCAGCATTTCATATCACCATATGCGGTGCTTCGTCACTGAGGTCTAGACGCCACACCTTTGGAGTCATCGGCTCCCACCCTTTTCAGACTCACATTTTGATCCACATTCACCTTCAATCGTGTACAGACACTCTTAGTAAGCTATAGTCGGCAAACGTACCCGTTGTTGCTGTGCAAACGCAGCGGACCCACTTTTCTTTTGCAATATCTCGCCAGCCCGCTCCCTTCGCACCAACACCTCAACACCAATCTTTTTTTGATCGATATTGACAATTCGATCAACGCAAAGAAATGACGGGTGTTGACGAGGAGCCAATGCGGCAACACCGTAAGTTATTCTCGTACCATATTGGCAAGGGACACTAACAATGATAGCAACGCCGCAAGAAGTTGAGCAGTACAAGTCAGACACGAGCAGCCTAGCTCAAATGAAAGCCGACGAGCTCTTTTATTTCCCGGATGGCGAGCGGTCACCGGAGAATGATGTGTTGTGGACAAAGCTCCACTGCGAGAGGCAGGCGCGCGTCGACGCGTACGAGGAGAAGTATTTGCCTCGGAGGTCGTCTCCGAGGTTACAGAAGGAGCATAGAGCAGATTATGTGCCGGCAAGGAACTTCGGTAGTATGCTCGGTCTGCTGCCGCCGCAACAGCAAGCCGCGACGTGTCAGTCACGGCTCGTTGATCAGGCTGTGCCGCTGCCGAAGCCAAAGCCGCGCGCGAACTTGAGCGAATGGCGAGCTCATGAGTTGTCGGAGTCTCCGTCACCACGCGCACCTGTAGACCTCGAGAGGTTTAGGGCGAATGAGCCGGCGAAGCAGAAGCGCGTGAACTTGGATGAGTTCAGGGCTCATGAGCCGGCGGCGCGCACGCAAAAGCCAAAGCGCGTGAACTTGGATGAGTTCAGGGCTCACGAGCCGGCAGCGCCCGCGCAGAAGCCAAAGCGTGTGGACTTGCGCGAGTTCAGGGCTCATGAGCCAGCGGCGCGCACGCAAAAGCCAAAGCGTGTGAACTTGGATGAGTTCAGGGCTCATGAGCCAGCGGCGCCCGCGCAAAAGACAAAGCGCCTGAACTTGGATGAGTTCAGGGCTCATGAGCCAAAGGGCAAGCAAGACGTGGACATGGGTGACGAGTTGGCGGCATCGCCAACTCGGCAAGATGAAGTGCCAGAGGAGTCGGGGGCGGCGGCAAAGGAGGATGATGTGGACATCTTCATGGACGATGAGGACGAGTTGACGGCATCGCCAACTCGGCAAGAGGACTCGGCGGCATCGCCGAGTGCCGCACCTGTGACAGAGAATTGGGGACGAGGAGATGAGCCCGAGGATCACGTCCTCTACTCAGGCGAAGAGAGTGAGCATGAGGATTGGAATCCCGCCACCAAGAGGGTAGAGAAGAAAGGCGGAGAGTGACGGGTTCAGGCATGGCCGGCCTCCATTTAGACATGGGGCGGCATGCCGCAGGGACATAGGTCCTAATGGACAATTGTCTTGCGCTGATGTTTCAATACGTGACAATATGGTTGGTGACCAATGAAATCACACTTGACCCTTCTAGGTCTTACAAAATTATAGAATCTCTCGCCTCCCTTACCTCCTTCTGTTAGATGTTTTGCACCCTCATATCATGCAATATTGCCTCAAGACTAACCCGAAGTCTAAATCAGACTCCATGTCTTATAGGTTCCTGGAGGCGTACAAGTTACTATCGCATCTCAGAGGCAGTCTGCTGGAGGTCTGTCACCTTTTACGATCCGTCATTCAAGGACAACAAATCTTTGTATGACACAGCCACGCGCAATCTGAGTTGTATAATATGATTAAAAGTATTCTACGAGCTGCAAGTTTGTTGTAGGATTGCGCAATACATTCATGATGATACGTATCACTATTTTCCCAGTCATGCTCTCGCTATTCAATATTCGTATGTTCATCGAACAGGGGTGAGAAAGAAAAATAGTGATGGAAAAGCTGTGAAATACCCGTAACGCCTCCCAATGTGATGTCTATGTTATGCAAACGAGCGTTCGGGTATATATGCAAGGAACCCGTCACCTCCATCATCACACACCTCATTTCATACTTGAGCCTTACAGTCTCCCATCTACATTGCCATACTCTGCAATCTCCACCTCGTTCAAATGGCTCCTCGCCCGCAGGCTACTTCGTCCACTCTCGGGCATGGCCAAGCTTTGTCTTATCAAGACTGAGCGACGCGGGTCTGGTTTCGGGGTAGTTCGCTCACCCCTAGAGATAAAGTCTACTTCATCGCCGTGCTGTGAGGGACGTTTTCCTTTGGTAGCCGGTGAAGGAGTCATGATAGCAGTCGTCGAGTTGCGTGAATGTGCTTTCAGCGGCCTGGCAATGGGCGGCCCGACTGCAGTCCAAGAATCTTCGCTCTTATCGGATCGAGCGTACATGAACGATGACCCTGCGGTTCCTGGATCGAGGTCCCACTGTTCCTGCTCCCAGATAGGGTCGGAGTATGTCGAAGAGCCTGACGGTGGATCAATGTATACTGAGGAGAATGATGTCGCGTTCGAGTGATGCCGTTCAGCAAACGGACGCCGCGGGTGTTGCATCTTTTCCAGTTGCGTGTCGATGATGTTACTAGATGCAGTGTCCGTCTGCTGTCGGGTGCGTTTACGGAGCGAGAGAACACGCGCAGGATTCCTGGGAGGTGGAGTGAGCTTTTCCAGACCAAGCATCTCGTAGCAGGCTTTGCCGATCCAGAGCATTTGTTCGTGTTCACGTAGATACCGTTCTCCACCAAAGGACTTTTGGACGATGGATCGTGCCATCATTCCAAGCTTGCGACGCTGCTCGGTCTTGTCATACATGCGGCGAGTGATGATCTCCACATCTCGTGGTGTTGGCTTGTGCGGTAGCACGGGCGCTGGTGCACCGCCGTCATCAGCATACTGCGCCCATTCGTCAAGCATGGCCAGTAGATTTATTTGGGCGCGTGCCAAACCGTAGGCATCGTTCGGCGCCACCACCTCACTGTAACGCTTTCCGTCATCCGGGTCGGTAAGTACTCGTAGTGACGCACCAACGTCTGTGCATACCACAGGAGCGCCAGTCAAGGCAGCTTCACCAAGGGCAAGCGGCAATCCCTCTGATACTGATGAGTTTAGGAAGAGCCATGTGTTTGCCAGCACCATTGCAGGGTCTGCGGTTCCTTTCAACGCAACGCTGGTGCCGAGACCTTTGCAAGCGAGTATCTCCTGACATTCTGAAGAATATACCGGGGACTTGTTGAGTGCCCCATATATGTCAAGCTTGTAATCCTTGAAACCCCACTCGTTGGAGATGATGTCCGCGGCCAGGAGTGCAGTCTTAATGTCTTTGGCAAACCAGACATGCGAAAGCATTGTTACGGTTGGACTTTTGGTTTTGATGTCGGTGACAGGAGAGAACTTCTGCATGTCGGTGATGCCGTTCACGATAGGATCAACCTTCCTCTTGAATACATTTCGGTGAGTCAGCTGACCTTTGGAGCTACCAATTTCCACCTCCCACCCTGGGTTGAAGAAGTCTACCCGCCAAGTTAGTCGATGGTTCACAATCTGAAGTTCTTCAAAACATACCTGCACATGGTAGAATTTGATCGGCATGATGTAGAATCAGACAGGATGTCATCTTCATCAGACCAAGGAGAGAATTACGAATGAATGGCGGAAGAGTACACATTGCAGAAGAGAGGTAAAGGTTAGTCTCTCGCCATGAAATTGCGTGATCCCAGATCTGCAGTGTGCAGTTCCGTTTAATCTTGCACACGATTCCATACGAAGCGGAAACACTGTGATGAGAAGCCTGGAAGACACTTGGTATCTTATCTGGTATAGGGATCGAGAATATGAAGAGGTCTAGCAAAGTTAGCTTGCTTTCAGCACGACCGCCATGACTTACATCTAAACCATAACTCTAGTGCCATATCGAAGTGACCTAGCGTTGGCAGCTCTGTGCGGAACCACTCCGATGCTGGTTGTGCGTTGGGCATGTCTTCTGCTAGCCAAAGCTTCCTCCAGGTATCTTTCACGATGTCGCTTGTCCAAACCTCCTTCCAGTGGCGTGAGTCTTCGAAGTACGTATTGAGGTTCACCAAGGCTCGCGTAGCTTGCTTAACATCTGCCGAGGTCATGTTGATGGCACGCGCACCACGCACAAGCGCTGTCAATGTTGGTATGAAATTTACCTTGATATCGGTGATCGTGGCTTCTTTCACAAGGTGGTCAACCTCGCTGTCAAGCTTGTTGGTGAACATGCCATGGCTTGGGTGCATAAAGTCAAGACCCCACAACGGGATGACCTTGAGGGACTCCACGTTCTCCTCTGTCTGGTGCTTGGGTAAGCCGAAGTCGTTCGCCGACTCGACGACCATGTGCCATTTGATGGTCCGCAAGTTGTTAATGAGATCGCGACGGCAGGCAGAGACACCTCCACCCTCGTTCGGCCAAGTACCAGTGTCAACAGCGATTACATGCAGGTTCTCATCCGTGTCTCGCTGTAACGTCTTTGTTCGCGTAAATATGACGGCATCGCCGCCCTGCCCAAAGCTGAAGAGGTCGCTCATACGGATGGCGAGTGGTGTCCAAGCACTGATGTCACTGGTCAAGTCAGAGCTTGCCATGATCGCATCAGCGTGCAACGCAAGGTAGTCTTCAGCTTTCAACAAGCTGCCACGATCGCGGCGCCGCCAATATGGTCGGAGCAATGCTTCTTTGCGAATAAGCTCCTCATCGACCCAGCGAATGACCACACCGTCCAAGTCATTTCGCTTCTTCCAAGCCTTCCACAAATGCGAACGTGCTCTTGATGTAGAAATCTCTTGTTGTTTGATGTTCGTTCGCAGGAGTCGGCTCACGAAGCTTGACGTAGGTGCTTTGAAAGCTAATAGTGGATTCTCATCCGTGAATGTGCAGCGCGTGGGCTTTTTCAGCACACCCAACCAGTCGTGACGTATCATATCCGGAGTTTCGACGGAGGATCCATTGAGCTTAGTAGTAATGGTTGGGTGAAATTTGTGGTCGTACAGCCAAGTGCATTCGTAAACGTCGGCACCTTGAACAAATGTCGCCTCGAGGACGCGCGGCGTCGGGATCCAACGTTCCATCTTCTCAGCATGACGAACTGGTGGCGCACACCAACTGACGTTGGCCGACATATGTGGCAACACGAACTCTGCCCGCAAAAGTTCATCATCGTACTTGGCATTCTTACGATAGTGATACTTGAAACGAACCAAGTTCCCATGGCTGATGTAGCTTCCAGACTCGAGATGGCCTTTGTGGTTGTACTGAACCTTGGCTCGCTCGTCATCTCCGGCAGTACAAATTCTGCTCGTAGGAATTCTGCTATTCTTGACTTTCGAGAGCTTGATAAGGCGGCTAGCTCGTTTCGATGCATATTCGTAGGTATACGCATTCAAAACTTTCCCATTCTTGTACTCCTCTCGATGTGTGATCTGCATGTCTTTGTTATAGCGAGTGACTCTTGTTTGGCCCCAGGTTGGTTCCTGTTCTGGTGTGCCCTGATAGAACACCAGCTTGAAGTTTCCATCTTCGAGAGTATGGACAAAGGCGGTCTCTGTGTCGCCGTAGCTTTGAATGACCAATCTATGCTTCTTTTGCACGATAAGACTACCTTTGACAGTGCCAGCAAGACCGGCTATGTCTTTTCGGCGATGGTAAAGGAAGAACGGCAGGGCTACTGACATGGCGGCTCGACTGTAAATCCAGAGACCAGTAAGAAGGAACGTCGTTGGTTTAGCGATGACACGTGGTGTTCGAGACAAGGCTCCGTTGAGCTCGCGTTGGAACTCTGGATCGGCCATGCACGCGAGGACGAAAAACTTGACCCAAGTTCCAATTGAATGGTAAATATACGCTAGCGGCAACCTGATATACTCTGTGAACAGAGCGAACAGAGACACGGCCGAGCGATTGAGTACAGGATGGTACGAATCTTGGATATCGGCGGTCAGTTGTCGGTACTCTTTTTCGTTGAGAGCTTGATCGCCGCGACACTGAAAGTAACTAGACTTGCTGACAGCGAGGTAAGCACCAAGATCGTAGCGCGCAACTCTTGACAGAATTGTACAAGACTCTTCCGCGGCAATATTGGCATTGATCCAAGACATTTCAGTATTTGTGAAAGGACCTCGAGCGCCAACGCATCTTCGCAAGAAAAGTCGACGAATATCCAGAGGCAAGGTGTCCCATTGCGTGTCGCAGTCAAACCCAAGACAGAGATTGCGGAGCAGTTCTCTGCGACACGCTGCTTCAAATACATGTGCTTCAGCGCTCGACACGAGTGCAGGCATTGAGCGTTTGCTACACTCCGAGACGGGATAAAACTGCTGGCTAGTGGGGCGACAGGCGAGCAGAGATTCGGTGATTTCGGCCTGGTAATGAGGCACATGGAACATGGTTTCTGAGCATGCATGCAACAACGTCTCCGCGATAGCCATACAGTTGCTACTGACATTCATCTGAGCAGAAGCAGAATTGCGTGAGTCCGAAGCAATGTAAAGGGTCAGGCGACCGTTTTCAAAGTGTGAGATTGCTCTTATGTCGGTATTGGTCTCTGAAACAGATTGTATGGGGACAATGAAGAGCTTGACGAGGTCGTTCTTCCAGGCCAGCACGAGTCTTTGTACCAGAAAAGGCATGGAAGGGAAAGCTTGCAGCGCCAGACGACTAAGGTTGTCGTGGGTGCATGACAATAGCATGGCTGTGATTTGGTCGCCTGGGTGCCCGGTCGGCATGATACGGTAGCGGTTTTCCTTTGGTGCGGCCCTGAGTTTGTCGCAGAATGCTTGCAATTCGCTCTGGCTGAACTCCGGATTTGACCCAGCACCAGTATATGCATGGTATTTTTCGTCGCTTGGGCAATGCGCCTGGGAAGTTGGACGTAAGCCACTGGTATTGACGGACTCGGTTGAATCCAAGGACGGCTTTTTTGGTCGGAGACTACTCATAGTCTCAGATAACCACAACAGAACATCGAAAGTTTCCGGCAAACCCAGTTTTGCTGTGCGAAACGACAGTATCGCGGCAGTCCAGGTTGTCACCGCCAAAGCAATCACCTTGTCGTATAAGAATTCCTCCTGCATAACTTCCATGAGAATGTTGCCAAGAGTGAAACCGATAACAACAGCAACCAGTAGTGGCATGAGTGCATGCGGACCCGAGAAGATCTTGTTGTACTGGTAGAGGAGCAAGCCTGTATAGGCACCCATGTAGGCGAGGAACATGATTAGCCCGATGCTTGTACCGTTAAATATCCAGATGAGTGTCGCACATAATGCCAGCGCCCAGACATGCACGCCAATGAAGCGGCATAGTGTGTTGAAATAGAGGTGACGCCTGAACTTTTGGTCGTTGGCTTTTGCCTTCTTGATTTGGTCAACGTCTTCAATGGAGACTGGTGACATTTGCTCGGAAAGTGTGTGAAGATGTTGGGCTTTGTAGTCGAGTAGAACTGCTCCAATCAGATAGTAAGCGAGGCCGAAGCCAACAGACAGGCGAAGGGTGGTATTCGTTTCCGTGTTGAGATTCTGGAGTCGGCCATGCACCAAGTCAATCCAGCGATCCATCAGAGCCACAATGAAGTAAAGAATTCCGCAATAGATCTCGTCGCCAGCATTACGCCAGTGGATGAAAGAATTGTGCAGCTTAATTCCCTTTTGTGACTGCTGCATACTTTCGAGTGCAACCTGGGTCTCCAGATTCCACGTGGAGCTATATGGAATGGGCCTTTTTGTGTCTGTAATACGGCAGTACCAGTCAAGTAAGAAGAGCGTTGAGTCCCAACAATCTGCGAGGCGCTTCACAAAATTGTCCTTGGTAGGCCTTTGCCAAAAGTAGCGTCCCTTCTCCTTCGTCACGGCATCGTACAGCTCTTTGCGACAAAGCGCGAGGATGGCTGGCTCACTGAGTCCATGGAAGACTTCGGGCTCTTCGGATGAAGCATTGTTAGAAGGCGCGAGTGAGTCGCTGACAGTGACTGTCGTCTCTTGCACATTCTTAGCGCCAATGGCTGCCGTATGTCAGTACAAGCGCTAAATAAACAGGCTTACGAGGACCTACTTCTGGTTGCAGCGGTTTTGACTTGGCTTTGAAGCTGTTTGTGCCTTTGCACGTACCAGTCCTTCACGTCAGCATCGTTCAGAGTCTTGATGTTGTGATACCAGGTGACCCATTGAGTGGCGACATGTCGTGTGCCCAGAATGAGCAATGATACGAAGATATAAAGTACGCATGGGTAGATGTAGATATCGTAGCCCTCGATGAAAATGGTTAGAAGAGGCGAGACCGTCAGGGTGGGGACCACCATGATGATGATTCTGCGACCGTTCAGAAAGCTCGATCCTGGGATTTGATACGTCGACAGCACTGCCAGGACAGTAAGATATGCCGTAAGCCCGAATAGATAGACAAAGAATATGGCAGCAAATTCAGCTGATTCCACCGCGGCAATGACGACGAAGCCAACAAGGCAGCCTGCAAGAGTAAATGCTAGACCGCCGACCAAACGCGTGAGGACGAACATGTTCGCGGCCGAAAACGCCATGGAGATTAGGTAGTAAGTACCGCCGATGGAGATCCACGTTCCAATGGCACCTGAAAGTAGTAGAGAGCACATCAAAGCCAGGGTGGCGTACTTTTGCTGATGTAACGTCATGGCCGTGCTGAGATAAAGGCCGTGTCCAGTCGTAGAGAGAAGAACGATATCTGCGAGCTTTCATTTAGATCATGTAGTCATAGTATACAGCGTAAGCTTACCAACGAGAGCAGGAATTGCGAAGACGCTGAGGAATGTAAATCGACGGAATGCGGGCATCACTGATGCCTTTTGCTCCGGGTCGATATCAGTTTGAGCTGCAGCGTAAGCAGAAGCGAACGAAGGGGCGTTAAAAATCCACATAGGAGGCTGGTGTTCGCTCTGGTTATAGTAGTCCCTGTGCTTCTTAGACAGTAACATTCCAATATCGCTAGGCTTGATGTCAAAGTACGCCTCGCAGCGAGAACCCAAAGCGAAGAGCTCTGCGAAGGCCGCACTTTGGTCGGTGTACTGGTTGAATAGGGGATTCCTGTCCGACACTTCAATATACACCTCTTCAAAGCCTGCTTTTCTTGCTGCGCAAAAGATGCAGAACAACACGAAATCTGTGAACGAGTCCATCGTAGTCTCACTCGTCAAATTTTCAATAGCAGCAGTGATTGCGTCAAGTTTCTCGTGATCGCGCCGCCATAACATGTCTTCGAAAGTCTCTGCGACGTGTCTGAACAGATTGAGCGCATCGTGACGGTTGATCGTAGGTAGCTCGCAAAGCCGATACCATTTGAGTTTGGCGTTCACCAGGTGCTCATCGGTGATAGTGCCACTTATAAAGTCCATATTACTGATCCTTTTAAACTGGTTGTATGTCGGTACTTCAATGAGCTGCGCTTCGCACTGCTTCCGCAATGATGCAAGCATGTTGCAATCCTTGTCCCACTCGGAGTATTCTAGGTGCTGTATATAAAGCAGAAGATCGGTAGACGATAGGAGCTCGATGTCCTGCTGAAAACGTTGAGGGAGACCCGAGGAAGGTACTGGATTGTTTTGAAGTTCATACAAGCCATACTCTGCCAAAAAGCAGTGATACCTAGAGAAACCGAGCCGACTCAAGTGTGTGTGAAGAAGTGCACCCGTGACATCCTGAACCGACTTTGAAATGTATATTAGCATGTTTGTTGTGCGGGATTCGAGTTCCCAGACTGCCCAGAATTGTGCGCCGCTCGGGGTGTGAAATCCAGAGTCCAATCCAGTATATACTTGCAGCTGGTACGGATCATCTACTTCGTCCGTTGAATTCGAAAGAGCCTCGGCGAGGCTTGCAATAGCTTGTTTCATGGTAGGGATTGTTCCGAGAAGATCACTGTTGCTGCCAGTATAGTGTTTAAGGGTGCTCGCGGCAGCATGTAGTTGTTTTGTGGACACCCTACTGAGTAGCTTCAGACTACGCAGTCGTCGTTGTGACTTGAGCACATGATCGAAGTCTTGTCTTGAGGCATTGAAGCCGATTGGAAAGCAACCTAGAGGGCCGTACGCAGTACCAGTAGAAGAGCATGAAAGAGGATTGTCCGTGCGCTTTTCCAGGGCCAGAGTCCAGTCCAATCCAGGAGACGTAGGTGACAGTGGCGCCGAACCAAGTACGGCTCCATTCTCGTCGATCTCAGGATATCGCACAGTAAGCGTCGATGTACTTGAGGAATCATCGTCGTCGAATTCGACCCCATCTAGTCCGGCAAGAGTGTCACCGAGTACTGGAAAGATGGATTGCAGGGGTAGATAGTCATCGATGATGCTCGAGAAGTCCGGCGAGAGCTAGGTTCATGTCAGATGCGTGTTATCATTCGATGAGAGGTCCCTACTTACGGTGCGACAGGTGCGATATTTCTCATGCACATTCATGACTCTCCGGGTCTTGAGCCATTGGAAGGCAGCCAGTGGCTCTTCGCAGGATCTTATGTCGTAAATGCTAGTCAGAGCTCGTAGACGTGTGAAATATGGAATGGCACCATGATAATTGCACCACATGTGCGCTCTTCTCACGACAGCGTGCGACAGATCAGCCTCGTCATCTATGGTGTCCCACATCATGGTAAAAAATGGTCGTTGACAGGCTTGCGACACGAAAGCTTTTGTCGTGGTCTTCATCTTGTCCATTTCGAAGTAGTCTCGACGCTCTCCATTTGACATGATTGTGCCATTTCGAACAATGACACCAGAGAAAAGACCGATGTCTAGCTTCCCTGCACCTTCGAGAAATTCCGGAGGGCCAACCTCAAGGTACACATCTAGGCCGTAGGCAGTGAGCAATTTGGCAACGCCATTAAGCAGTGGTGTCGAAAGACGTTCCTGCCAACCGGCTACGACGACACCTGTGAAATATCTCCGCTGGTCTGGCTGTCGCAAGGTTTGGCGAACGAGTTTCGAGATAATGTACACGACCCGCGATAGTTCGAGCTCGGTATTGGTGATTTTGAAGCCCAGAACCTGCTGCAGATCGAGCCGCGCGATGATGTGAGGCCCAAGAGGAACGTTTTCATCATTGACGGCCTCAAGAACGCCAGGCTTGCAATAATCCAAGACGACAGAGTCCCATTGTGAAAGCGTCTGGGATTCCTCCTCTGTGATCGGGTTATTGATCGAGCCTAGATATACACCGAACGAGGAAGGTTTCGATAGGGTTGTATGCTTCTTGTGGACGCCGCTTGCGCTCCGCGAGAGGAGATGGATTCGTTCCTGGACCGACCGTGGTAAAGAATGTTCGTCTTCGTTCACCTGTAAGACGCGGTTTGTTAGCAACGTGTAATGACTTCTCGTCATCTGCCCTTACCTTGAAAAGGCCTCGAATCGAACGGTATGAATACCAGAGACATGCGAACAGGCCAAGTGCCACGCTGACCGCAACAATGGCTACCAGCGTCCATTCCCACCAGGTTCGAAAGGTAGGGAGGCCATTCGGAAAGGCCTTGATGCCCAGAAACCCGGGTTCGACCAACCCCTGCTTCACCATTACTGCTGTGTGTTACCGACAACCAAGACAGTGCTATCCCACGGAATTGAACACTGAATGACAACTGGTGGACGTGAGCCTCGCGTCGGATATCGCTCCATGGGTTGGGTAAACAATGTACAAAGCAGTTAAGAGCTCACTCTAACATGACATCCATGATGCCACCGCAATCGTTGGGACTAACAATTCGCAAGAAAAATCGGGGATCTCAATAATACGCAGGGCTATAGCATATGTAAGGATTTCCTCGGTTGAAGACAGCTAAGCTTCGAAGCCGGACGATGCACAAAATCTGCCTCTGTGTATTAATAACATGTATTAGCTGGTGATCTGCAGATGGCGTTAGCACAATTGGTGAAGGTGCCCAGAAAGAAGGGCTCCACCATCGCAGGGTCATCCACGACAGTAGAAGAGCAATTAGGCTTCCAGAAGTATGCAATACGACTCTTGGCCGGCACGACAGGTAGGAGCGCGGCAGTCATCAGCGAGCACTGGCTGCAAAGAATGCCATTCGGCCGGACCCTGACAAGCACGTTCATGAAGGGCAACGCGCGGCGGCCGGTTCCATCTATTTCGAACAGCGGACAACAAATGCGGGGCCCCAGTACGGGCATCATATGGATCTGAGCAACGTGGTGAGGTCTGCGGACAAGATGGCACGTTGACGCGCCGCGACTGGTGAAGGAACGGCGGTGCGGCAGAGGCTGAAGTGACAGGCATCCGCTAGCGCTTGGCTCGAGCTTGCACATCATCGCCGGTTTAACTCATGTTCCGGCATCGCTCTTTAGCCTAACTGTCCAAGACTTCATCGTTAATATACACGCTCATCTATTCGGCAGCTCTCGCATCTTTGTCTCCGAGACCAGCATGATGCAATGCACCTGCTGCAGATGATTACTGGGGCCGCAATTCACGGCTCAATCTGCGCAGAATGCATGTGCGCGCGTGCTGGTGGAGACGCTGGCTGTAAAACACCGGACGCGTCGTCCCCAATATCTTCATCCTTCTCGCTTTCCGTGTCTTTAGCAGGATGGCGTAAATCGTAGCGCTGGCCTTCACTGTAGAGGTGGCGCCGCTTACTACATGCATGCTGCTCCCATCCTTCGGTCTCATACCGGGGACCCTTGCATTTAGCTCCGCATAACAGCTTCGACACTTGGTTGTGGCTGCTGTCGCCTGAACGGTAACTCCTCTCACGTGGCAACCTGCTCTATTCTACGGCTGTTCAGGATCGATTATCCGCCAAGACCCCTGTGTCTGTACGTATATCTGGACCATAGAGTTTGTCTATGCTACAGGATTACGTATGTTTTGTGACACTGAGGCCCGGCAATAACACAGTTCTTGGAGAACACATCGCTGTATGCCCTATAGCATGGAGATCTCAACTCGAGCATGGCGGATCGAGACTTCACTGCGAGAAAATCGATAGTTTGGGTGGCTGTCTATGCTGCGTCTGGACCAATCTCTCCTCAATGGCCCATTAGACGACTTAGTACTTCTGCCGAGACTATCTTTATTAAGGGTGCTAGGTTCCCCAAAAAGTTTAAACCTCACGCTGTTCACTTCATCGTCTCGCAATGGCGTCGTCGTGTCACTCTTTGTTGCGCTTTTGCGCTCTCTCGTTCATCCTTCTCTTCTTGCAGGGCGCTTCTGCATATATTGGAAGCGCTACCATTTCAGGCACTGTTTTAATCATCGCACGCGACACAACATCAGCGGAGAACGGCGCAGCAGCTGGATTACGAGGCTATGGCATCCCCTTTGAAATCTTGACTGTTCCACAGGCTGGGATATCGAACCTGCCTGTGCTCAACTCTTCCGCGACACATGGCAATTACGGAGGCATTGTCACTATTAGCGAAGTCGGATACAACTATGATACTTCATACTACAGTGCGCTTACCAGAAGGCAATGGAACGATCTCTATGCCTACCAAAGCGCCTTTGGAGTCCGCATGGTTCGCCTTGACGTGTTCCCTACCACAGACTTCGGTGTGAGCAGCCTGGGTGGTAACGTCAACGATGAGCCTGTGACATTCACAAACACTAGCGCATTTTCCATCGCTGGTCTGAAAACGTAAGTCAGTTCTGTGCTCCTTCCACTAGTGGAGATGTGCATAGGGTCCATCTGTGCGGGTGTGAACTGACTTCTCTTGCAGAAATGTGGGCATAAGCATTGCAAACATCTACCATACTCCGGCGACCATTGTCAATGCATCCATTGCTTGGGAGATTGCCCAATTTGGCACTGCTGGAACAGCTGCAGTCATCAATCAGATCGGCGATCGCCAGCAGATGGCTTGGTTCATGCCTTTTGCGCTTGATTGGGCTCCCTCAAGCAACATCGTGCAGCATTCATGGATTACGTGGGTCACACGAGGTCTATTTGTGGGCTTCCGAAGGATTTACTTGGGCACCCAGGTGGACGACATGTTTTTAGAGACGCCGATGTATCGACCCCAAGGCCAGAACTACCGCTGCAAACCGGAAGACCTTGATCTTCACGTCACTTGGCAGGCAGATCTGAACTCCAGGCTACCAAAAGGCTCAGAGTATTTTCTTGAGATCGGTCACAACGGAAATGGCGATATCGAAGCAGCAGCAAACACGGCCGCGGGTGAGCAAGTTTGTAGCCCTGGCAATGGAATGGCATCAGGTGCCATCGAGTATGCAGAGCAACCTGATGGAAGCCCCGAATACACGAAGCCACCTGGAACAGGAAAAGACATCTGGCCTTCCGCACCTGCGAAATATAGCTGGAGTCAGGAATGTGCTCAGCTTGACGAGTTGCAAAATTGGTTCGCTGACCAGGACAACCTCGATAATTTCGCGCATATTTCGCACACTTTGTGAGTCTCTAGATCTTGAAATATCGCACGTTCTAACCGAATGTAGCTCGCACGCCGATCTGACTAATGCGACCTACACCGATGCGTCCAAGGAGATTGCATTCAACAGGGCCTGGCTTAAGCAGAACGGGATCGATGGGGCTAAGCGCTGGAGCGACTCCGGCATTATTCCCCCTGCCATCACGGGTCTACATAACGCAGATGCGATCAAGGGCTGGATGGACAATGGCATATTCAATGTTGTTGGAGACAACACACGTCCGCTGCTGCGGAATTCGAACACGTTCTGGCCCCTCAATACCACAGTGGCCGGGAATGGATACGCCGGCTTGAACATTATGCCGCGGTGGGCAACGCTGATCTACTACAATTGCGATCTGCCTGCTTGCACACTGCAGGAGTGGATTGATACTTCAGCCGGCAAGGGAACGTTTACGGACTTGTTGGATAACGTGAGGGACACAGCCATACGCAACCTCTTCGGACTGCATTGGGATGCGTATGTGCATTGTTATCGATACATGTTGTACGAGTACTGACAAGCGAACCAGATACATGTTCCACCAAGCGAACATGCGCGTCAACGATGTCCCGACGACAACTGTAAACGGGAAGCGAGATCGGTTCTCGCTACTGATGACATGGGTCGAGACTGTCACTGCGGAGATGATGCGCCTGTAAGTTCAGACCCGCAAAGGCTCGGTCGATGTTGACTAACACGCTGCAGTACAACCTGGCCCATGAAGACCCTCAAGCATGACGACCTAGCGCAAACCTTCCTCAATCGCCAAGCCCGTGACTTGTGCAGGCCCAGCCTCACTTGGACTACATCAGCAAACGGTGCTAGCATCGAAAGCATCAATATTTACACCGCCGGCGGCAATACTTGCAAGACGCCAATTCCGATCACCGTGCCCGTCGCTACCGCTTCTTCCACTGGCGCCACGAAGGAGCAGGTTGGTAGCGACCCGCTCACATTGTGGGTCACTATGAGTGGCGCGAGCAGGAACTACAAGTTCACAACACCCTATAGGCTATAGGGTAATCTTGGTTTGGGGGCGAGAATCATGGTAGCGGGTGTTCCTTTTCGTTATACATAATGTAGATCTTGGAGAGAAAATTAGCAGCGAGAGAAACTCGTATCTGCAAGCTTCAAAATCTCACTGCCGCATCTAAGCTGGACAACCAACATGCTCGTTCCTTTTGCAAACTCCAACCCGCATGCGACGCATCGACAATGGCCGGGTTGATTCGCTATTCCCGGCTAGGCTCGATGCTGCGCACAAGGGTAATGCGGGCGCACAGCCACCGATTCAATATAAGGTACTATACACGACCGGATTGTCGGATTGACGATTTCGCCAACACGAGAATTTGCTGCAGTACATGATCGAAAGGTCCCGAGTTTCCAATACGAACCCGCATCATACCTGCTTCCTTCCAGATTCGTCTAGTCGTATCCACAAGCCACTCCGCTTCTCTTGCATCAGATCTGAGCTAGTGGAAAAGCTCGCTGTCCGGACAAAGTCGCGCTGATGATGCACCCTGATCCTTCAGCCCCACAATCCCCAACCGGACCCTCATACTCCGTGCGCCACATCCGCCATGTAGCACGCCTTTACGCTAGACTCGATCCAGGGGCTAAGCTTTTACAAGCCGGCTCTATATGAACTACATAGTACTTACCCGCGTGGCTCATTTGGCGAGACCTGCGCGTCGCACGCTTGCTGCTGCTCAGCCGCTCGGATTCTTGCGTTTCCCCAACCTCAGCCACGACTGGGGAGATGGATACGTGCACCGAAGAAGCGCCATACAAGCAACAAGCACTGTTATAGTTGATGTTCGGTGCTGTGCTGAATAGTTCCATTGTTTTGCAATACGGCTTTCTCTTTTTGCGTCCTGAAATCAAACGTTGCTGATGGACAAACCCACGACAAAGCGGCCCTGGTCGCTTCGGCGCAAACTGCTCATCGGCACCGTCGTATTAATCATAGTCCTCGGCCTTGCGTTGGGTCTGGGCTTGGGATTGACACTGGGCAATAGCGACGACAACGACGACGGTGGCGATGGCGGACCAACGCTGACACCCCTGCCAACACCAAATGCCACGCTTCCGTGGACTCCGAAAGTCAATGATACCTGGCAAATCATCTTGTCGCACCCACCTGTAGTCTCCGATTCCGTGACTCCAGATGTGAGTGTTTACGACATTGACCTATTCGACACTCCTGCTGCGACGATTGCACAGTTACACAAACTAGGCAAGAAAGTTATATGCTACTTCAGCGCCGGATCTTACGAGAACTGGCGATCGGACGCAAAGGACTTTGCATCAGGGGATCTAGGTGACAACCTAGATGGCTGGCCAGGAGAGAAGTGGTTGAAGCTCAGTAGTCCTAATGTGCGATCAATCATGAAGAAGCGGATTGAGCTCGCGAAGGAGAAAGAGTGCGATGGTGTGGATCCAGACAATGTCGATGGTTACGTGAGTTCAATTTCTCCAACCTTGCCTTTCTTCGCTAAGTCGTCATACAGCAAAATAATAACGGCATGGGCCTTACGGCAAACGACAGTATCGACTACATGCAATACTTGTCATCGATCGCGCGCCCTCTAAATTTGACTCTCGGCCTCAAAAATGCCGGCTCCATCATCTCCGCCGTCCTGCCGCTCGTCGACTTCTCGGTGAATGAACAATGCGCTCAATACAATGAATGTGACAGCTTCCATCAGTTTATTGATGCTGGAAAGCCAGTGTTCCACATCGAGTATCCGGCGGGTGACGGTGATCTAGGGCAGAGCGTGGAGTCGAACGGTTTCAGTACAGACCTCAAAAACAAACGTTGCAGTGCAAAGGGAAGCGGAGGGTTCAGCACCGTCTTGAAGAAGATGAATCTTGACGGGTGGGTGCAGTACTGTGATGGGAGGGTGCAAGAGACGAGTATAGACGAAGCGACTGGTGGTCATGACTAGCCAAGGAGCAGGATACGACAGAGATACCAGGAAAAAAGGACATCCTACAGCATTGCGTGCCAGTGCCAGTGCCCTTTCTACAGCTTCTGATGCCGTCAAGGTGTCTGACAATGACGGTTGTTGCAGGTTTGCCGATATCACATGCCATATTGAGGCATCTGCGAGTCGATCCTACTCACCTACACGAAAAGTGTACAGTGCATGCGGTGATAAGGATTACGCAAGCCCTATGGACATCATTGAAGCCGAGGCTGATATCCTCTATTTCTTCAAGATGCAATCGGTGGTGACGAAGGATCCCCGTATTACCGTGTAGTTGCTCGGGTTGTGGAGGACTTTTCCCAAGCGAACAATGGCGGGGTGCATCGATCCGGGGTAATTTATGCTTAACGCATTCAAGCCTTGTTCATATAATGTCGTCAGCTTAATCAAGAACGCGCCCGCGGATGCAAGAAAAGTCTGCTTGTCTCATGTTCTGCGGCAGTCGTTCAGTCAGCCAGGTTATCAACGTGTAAGCCTTGATGGGCCGAGGTGCATCGAGAAGGGGCGATCTCTCACATCGCATAGTCAATGTGGACTCTACTTTTGATCGAAGTCCTCACATCGGTATGGTGTACCGCGGATCGTCCGCCTAGACTGAGGGTCAAACCTTAGGGACTGTGACACAGCATCGGCATTGGAGATGTCGATGCCCAAAAGCATGATCCTTACCGGCTTCCCGGCTTCCCGGCTTCTCATGATGCATACACTCCGCTACTTACTGGCCAGACGTCCCATGGGATTCCGGTCCAAGACGAACGGATATCAGCCGGCACGAACATCCTTGAGGCCGAATTGCTTTAACGTGACATTCTCTGTGAAGGGTCTAATGTTGACCCATGGGACACACCCTGGAAGTTCGTATGGGCCAAGCTTCCGCTGCCGGCCGGGTGAATATGGATAAAGTTCAGAGGCTCCTGCGGTTTCGGTGCCGGGAATGACAGAAGCGCTTATTGAACGGCCGCCATCAATCTGCACCGGTGGACGAAAGTCTCGAGCTAGTATGAAATATTCGGTACAAGCGGAAGTCAAGGTTCATGCTTCCAAACATCTGCAGAGATTTCAGCGCAAGGTTAGCCATGGTATGCAGATATTACCGTTTGAAGGCCGAAGTGTTGGCTTTGTGAAAATCCTAGTCTGCGCACGGTCAAGTTCCAAAAGCGTGTGGATCTCAGCAAGTCGTGTTTCAAACCTGTACCGGTGTTGTGACGGACAATCTAAACGTAGAAAGTGGCCTGAGCGAGGCTGCAAACCTGCGTGATTGATATTGACCATCCTAAGATTAGAAACACTAGCCGTCACGCTGGAGATCGCGTAAGCTTAGAGCCACGCGAACTGCAGCTGTGCACTGCCGCATTCGCGAAGGTTGGAAAGGTCGGGACAATCGGACTTGGCCGCCTGTGTTCCCCACATTGGCTGGAATCGTGAAGTGGTAGCGCGATGTTGGGGATTCCCCTAGATTTGGACCCCGGACAAAGGCTCCACAGGCAGGCTACATTGCATGCACCCGCATACACAAGTACACTATTGAAGTTTTTTCATGCAGAGTTGTTGGCAAGTCAGTAGGTGCTGACGGTATGACCTCGGCCAGAGACGGATCTAGCCCGCATTCTCCTGCGCTAGCATTCGTGGGAAATTCCGCAGTTGAAGCGAAAGCATGCAGATCTTGAACCAAGATCTCAACAGTCGAGTGAGGCTGGCCTAAGATCCCGTATCCGCGTAGCTCCTCTTACAAGGCTGCGCTTGCGTGCTCTTGTCAATCGAAATGTATGTGTGTATCTTTACAAGATCCTTCCAACGCGACTACGTTGTTGCAGGGTTGCTACAATTGTGTGCTGAGGGAATGTACAACAGATCGTTCTTACAAGCATCAAATTAGCATTCATTCACGAGAATTGGGTTCATGCCAAGCTACCCCAGCATTGGTCAACCTTGGAACCGTCCGATTGGGTCGATGACATGCCAGCCTTGCACGAGGCGCGACTCTACGGTTGGGTAATTGGAACTTCGCTTCCCCAATTCCGCAGGTTCAGGGTTTAGATAATCTCTCCCGTCGTATCCGCCTCCTCTGAGCGATACAGATGTTCTATAGAGTCTTATAGATCTTTGTATGAGAATTATGGACAATACTGTGCTGGATGATTAATTGCGAAGTGCATAAAAACATACCATGGCCTAATTCCGGCGATGTTCTGCAGAATTGATATAAAGACTCATTTGTGTACCATGTACGTCGCGTCGGTATGGCACAGGCCAGGAGGAGCGGCTGGAAGAATGTTGCCTGCAAGACTGATGCGCCGAGATGGAGAAGTTTGGTTGAAATAAAGTGTTCACGCGGCTTTAGCGCGCCATGAACAGCTAGCGCTCTAATCCGGGGAGTTGGTGCAGGGGTTCGTCTCCCGTCAGATCTCCCGTCTAAAGCGGCGGGCTCGCCAGAGCGTGTGACTGGAAAACTTCATGATTGGACCCAAAGACCATGGAGCTGAGAAGTGGAGTGGCAAAAATCGCAGATGTAGCTGCTGACTTCTCGTCGGCTTGAACATTCACTAGCTTTGAGTAACCATGGAGTTCTCTTTTTGTAATCACCCGGCGGGCTTCCGGTCCGTTCCTGTCCTGGGAGCCCTTGTACCTGATGACGATCGTTGCCTCATAGACATTCGTCATCGGCCCCTTGACTTATGGCCCGGCCTTGCCTTGCTCGCTCTCAACGAAAGGTAGCATTACCGAGGTGTAATGGGCGCGAGAACAGAAGACCGCGGACAGGAATCCAATATCAAGCGGCGGAAACATGAGACACTCAACACCAATAGCGCCAGCACTCATGTATTGTAAGCCACATGTACAAACTCCCACCAAGCTAACCCAAGAACGTTCAATGAACGTGTAATGAATCCTATTCTGCACTGCAGCAAACATTGGCCTCGCGCCGCGTTAACATCAGCAGGGTGACCAAGCAGTCAAGGAGCACGGAGAAATGCGCATCGAGGTTAGTGTAGTTGTCACTGCTTGTTAGCCAAACGCTGTGACCGACCGACAGAAGCTCCTTCAAGGTAGTTGTGGTTTCAACAATACTCAAATCTGGCACCGAGTGAAGGACGACTGCCAACTTTGTGCGATCATATCGTTTAGTAGCATCAGTGAGATCGATGTGCCGAGCAATCCAACTCGAGTAGGAATCTTCAAAGACTACAGTCAGATCCGGTCTGAGCGAGTGATTATCCTGAGAGGTGGAGTCTCCGAAGAATTGTGGGTCAGGAAGTGCGCCTGGATTATGGACTGTGGTACAATGTCAGCCCTGCGCGCCTGCAATTGCCGATGCAATGGATACCAATACCAGGCGTTGTGGCTGCAAAGGTCAGGATCTGGCATATACGACCGGTGCAACAACATGCAGAACTGCTGCAAGGATCTGGGGAATCGGGCTTCCGTGCGGCCCCTACAACACCAGCGCCGATATGAGAAAGTGACCCTACCGATGTAGCCCTCCTTTAGCCCGTCACTTGCGTGAACAGCTTGCGCAATAGTTTGCAGATACGAGTCAAAAGCCTGGGAGTATTGTGTAGGAGTCTCATCGACGAATATTCCATCAATGGCCAGCGAGTCTTGGTACTCGCCCCAGAAGGAATATGCAGCAACATCGTCGAGGGCAGAACTCAAATCTCTCTCACACCACGTGGTAGCCACGTAACCAACAGTGCGTACATTGCTGAAACCATTTAAAGTTGTTATGGCGTGCGAGTACTCAGGGTCCGGCAATGCGCCATAGCCTGGTCCGTCATGAACGTTGATTACGGCGGTAAACTGCACCTGAGGAAATGATGTGGCCCTATTTTGTGATCAGATCAAGAAACTATCGGGTCTTCTGTGGTTGTGGACGGCACCTACATTGCAAAGACAGGTTCCCATGCGCCACCAGAGGGGTACACATAGAGAGGGACGAGTATGGAACCAGCCATGGTCCGATATGGTCGCGGCGATTTACTCACCGGTACAAATATGCCACCGGAAGACGCGAAACAGAAGTGGGTAACAGGTCAAAGGCACAATGCGGTGGTAAATCGGCCTTGATTCTAGCGTGCTCAACGTATGTTGGAAGGCAACCAGAAACTGTATTGGCTCCGACAAGACAAGCTTTAATGGTTGAATTGGGATGGCGAAAGAAGCATCTCGACTGACGCACGTTCAACTCTCTGTGGTTCCCGTAGCTGCATCATGATGTGTGGGAGGGTGCGGCAGTGCGATGCATACGCGGTACGTAGTTGGGCATCCTAGGTAGATTGAGCAGGGATTGTTAGCGATGAGTGACTATATTCGAGAGTGCTAGACTTGACGAGATTCCGGAGATGACTGAGTCGGGATCAGGAGGCCGGATCGTGCCAAGCAGCATAAACAATATTGGACGGTACAGCAAAATCTTCCATCGGGCGGGTTCTGCCTAATTGAGAACAATGTGTTCAGGTGTAAGAGGCTGTAGCGCATATAAAGATTTTTCGACGTACCGTCCTGAACACGACAGACGAGATCCAGCACGCATCTTTCTCATTCTAAATTCCACATCCGCCATGGAAGCTCTTCCACTCTCAGGCTCTGCGTCGCCGTCGTCTTCAATGTTTTCTTTGTCATTGAACGCGACGCCCGAGGAATTGAACACTCCCGGAACTGAAAGATCAGTCTTGTTCGACGACGATATCGCAGCCGATCCTCTCGATATCAACAGTTCGGCATCTCGGTTCATTATGGTTGTTGGTGGCCTTGGTTACATCGGTTCGCACACCACGCTGGAGCTGCTCAAGGAAGGATACAATGTTGTCGTTGTTGACGACTTGAGCAACTCTTACGAGGATGTCTTGGGCCGCATTCGAGCTCTTGCTATGGCTCACTGCAAGGCAGAGGGAAAACAGATGCCGACTCTTCATTTTCGACAGCTTGACTACCGCAGCCCCACCATGCGGACCGTCTTGGCGAGCTACGCAACCTACGCAGTGAACGACAAACCACAGCCATTCGCAAGGCGCAATCCATATGCGACACTGCAACGCACAGACTCGGGGATTGACATGGGTGCTGATGAGCCGCAAACGCCTGCCTTGGAGCGGACATCAAGAATAAGTGGTGTAATCCATTTCGCGGCGTACAAATCTGTCGAAGAGAGTATACGCATGCCGTTACGGTACTACAGCAACAATGTCTGCGGTCTTGTAGACTTTTTGGCTCTATTAGAGCAGTTCGGGATAAAAAACCTCGTGTTTTCCTCGTCAGCGACGGTGTACGGCGAAGGTGCCAACTGCGGGGTGCCCCTACGAGAGGAACTTTGTGTGCATCATCCAGAGTCTTTTGTCGATAGCGATGGGTCGGAGCGACAGGTCATACCTGGTGTTATGGGTCTCACGTCACCCTACGGACGCTCCAAGTTCATGTGCGAGTCCATCCTCGCCGATGTTGCGAGATCTGACCCGTCCTGGTCCATAACGGCGTTGCGATATTTCAACCCGGTAAGTTGAATTTCCCGTAGTTCCAAAGTATACAGGCTGATTGTGACCAGGTTGGCTGCCACGAGTCTGGAATTTTGGGTGAAGACCCTCGCCAGAAACCAAGTAATCTGATCCCTGTAATCGCCACTGTTCTTACAGGAACCAGACCAGTGCTAGACATCTTTGGCACTGATTGGAACACCCCAGATGGTACAGCTGTGCGAGATTTCATCCACGTGGTCGACCTTGCCAGGGGACATATTGCTGCACTGGCAGCATCGGCAGCTGGACGCATCAAGACGGCTTTCCGAACATACAATCTCGGTGAGTCTTCCAAACCATGACATATGGTCAACACATTCTAACATGTCCTTGCAGGCACAGGAAGAGGCCACACAGTCCGCGAAGTGCTTTCCAGCCTGGAGCAGGCTTCACGTAGAACCATCCCAGCACGAGAAGTTGGCCGAAGAGCTGGCGACGTAGGCTTCTGCGTTGCTGAAGTTCGACGGGCAGAAGAAGAGCTCCAGTGGCGGGCAACGAGGACGCTCGACGACTGCTCTGGTGATGTCTGGAACTTCACCAAGGCGCGATGTGCAGATGGGACCCCTTCCGATGAGATGAGTTGCTAACGCGAGGGTGATACTTCGTGGTGTCGGCGACCCCGTTTCCTATCTCTTGGTACAGACGAGTGTTGGCCATCGTCCTCTTGTCCATTTCGCATTGACAGCAAAGCGTCTTCTCTTTTCCTTAAATCAAAGATTCCACGATTCATTTACAATTAGAGCGTTGGCGTAAGACGTAATACCAAAAGTTCATGAGTAATGTGCTGTTTGCTTCCTGGCAATGTCGATGCGATTCATGTGTTGCTGGATGGGGATCATTACCAGATATATCGTCGCCACCTCCACCTGCTAGCAGCCGTATGACTGTACGATAGAGCTGATCTCGCTTGTGCGCCCTCGTCAACACTATCTGATAAGACAAATTTGTTGAAAAGGCCAAGCCTGGCCTGCATGAAGTAGACGGTGTTGGTGCGCGGTCAGGCCGCAAACCGTGTAACATCCGTCTCAGCTGAAAGTTCAGACATGGCCATGCACCAAGCAGGGTTGGTAGGCTGAGACTTGCCCGGACAACGTTTCGTTATTAAAGAACAGCGACTTGTTGAACCGACTCATTTCTTTTGTCGCTGTGATTGCGCGCTGAAGGCGAATCCTGAGCCCCGCCTTCTGCCGAGGCGGCTGACGAGATCGCAGGATGCGATGGCCCGCCATGTGCGGGTGCGTATACAGTAGTCGAAACAGGCAGCTGGCGAATCATTACCCGCGGCTTGAGAAGTGTATCGAATTAGCGAGCCGGCGCCGGGTCCAAGCGAAGAAATTCCACATCGCATCGGAGACGGGACCAACGGTTGCGCAGATGGCGGAGAACAATGATCACGAATGGCCAATGGGCCGTGAAAAGATGCGAAAGAAGAGGGCCGCAGGTAGCACAGCAGCAACAAAGAATAGTCGCCCACAGCAAAGCAAGGGAGATGCAAACAGCCAGCTTTGGGTTCGCGCGAAGCTCATCTGGCTAGCGCGCACGTGATAACGTTTGACGGCAAGAACGCGGCTTCCTCGACATCTTTAACACTCCACTTGCACATGTCGCGACGCCGGCAGCACTCGGAATACACAGATTCGTAGTCGCTTTCATCTTGTTTACGTTCCGGATGCCTCCTTCAGCTATGGCATTGCCTGGTCAGACAATGCAGGGCTACTGGGGGAACGGTCACGACTTGTCGCTGGACTCCACTTCGGCTGTGTCTCCGTCGCACGCTCTTCATCTTTCACCCGGTGGCAGCATAAATGGGAGTTTCAATGGCAGCACCCCGCCGGGTCAAACTCCCCCTTCAGCGTCGGAAAATGGCAGGAAGGACTCCCAGCACAGCATCAAGAGTGCCCAGAAAGAGGCTAACAACCAAGCGAGAGCCTCCGTTGCGGTCGCGTGTGTGCCGTGTCGCAGTAGACATTTGAAATGTGATGGTGGTGTAAGATGTTCAAGATGCAGGACCGACAATGTCGAATGTACCTACATCAAGTCTCGGCGCGGCTGGAAAGGGAAGAGGAAGAACAAGGAAGATAATGGCGGGCCCGTGACCCTCAATGGTTAGTGATATCTGCTCTTCTAGCACCTAGGTCTAATCCCGCTAGGCATCTCCGGACCAGAAGTGGCAATCAGTAATGGTCACTTGTCGTCGCCCGAGTTCTCACATAATGGCGAGGCGTCCATCGCGAATCATCTGAGCAGTCCGCCCAATGGGTTCGTCGGTCAGCAAGCTGCTCCTCCAGCCGCGCAACTCAACCTCAATGGGACTGCGAGGTTGAACAGGTTCGGCCATCTCGGTCCTGAGACTGCTGTACAGTCATTCTATCACTTCTTTTACAACTCACATCCCTTTTGTCTTCCGGAGCCCCGGTTACTGGCACTCTTCAAGGACCGACAAGCACCCCTCCTCGAATATGCGGTTCAGTTCATTGGGGCGAGCTTTCTTCCCTCCATGCCGACGGACATGTACAAGGATGCACTGAATCGACATATTAACAGTGGCAACTACCCGCGAGATGCCTTTTCAGTGCAGGCTTTGATGCTTTTTGCCATCGGCCTGCACGCACACAACGAGGTTCCACGTGCAGCTCAAGTCTTCATAGCCGCCCAGGCATTGACTCTCGAGATTGGGCTCCACCGCATGGAGTTCGCTTTGATGAATGGAGGCAGTGACCCACAGCTCGAAGAGTGCTGGCGACGAACCTGGTGGTCCATGTACACCGTCAACGGCATGATGACGGCCGTCAACCCAGGCGTGCAATTCAAATTAAAAGACGTCGTTACAGACGTTCCATTGCCATGTGAGAATGAGCAGTACTTCTCGGGTGTAAGTACCAGTCCCCACCTGCCGCTTACTCTTGGCAACATTTCCTACCTAGTGCTGCGATCTTCGGGCCATATGCAAGACCACGGCGAGGCAACTGAAGATCACCTACACATGAACAACATGCTGACGCGCCCCAGCAAATTCCCTACCCAAGCACCCTTGAGGACTACGACGACTCAGCCTTCCTCCCCACGCTCCCCATCTTCTCCTCCTTCACCTACCTCATCGACGCCGTGCGCATCCTCGGCAAAGTCTTCGAATGCGCCCGCCTTGACTCCACCTTCGAATACCACGCCGTGGACGTCGTCGACCAGTACCTGTGCAACTGGCGCCTGCACCTGCCCGCGTCCAAACTCGACGTCGTCTCCTCCTCCGGCCACGTCGACGAGGTGCTCTTCCAAGCACACATGGTCAATGCGGGAAGCACGATTATGCTGCACCGTCCGCGCAGCAACCTTGGTTTCGGTCGCGTCGAGGGCGTGAACATCTGTGTGCAGCCTGGGCAGGTGCTGCTGCCTACTCAAACGCGAGAAATCCACACGGCGAAATGTCTGACCAGCGCGGAGAATATTTCCTCCTTGATACGTCTGCCCGGCCAGTTAGTCTACCACACACCCTTCTTCACATGTGTGGTGGTCATGGCGTCGGTCGTGCACTTGTCGTACTGGTCCTTCCTGGTGCCCGACGGCCAGGACGACATCATCAAGCAATCCATCCGCCTCGACGTCGGGACGCTGCAGCAATACTCCAACACATGGCCGATTGCCAACGTCGTGCTGGGCCAAGTCAGGGGCGTGGCGCACACGCTGTTCAACAGCAAGAAGGCGATGAGCATCCATTTGTGGAGCAACATCGAGCAGCACGATGTTATCCGCAATGTCATTGAGGAGGGTGGGAATGTCCCGCCGCAGAACTACGCGCAGTTGATTGCTCCGTAAGTTCTTCCCCTTCCTCTTCTTCTTCGAATACAAGCTAACTTGCCTCGTAGGATGTTGAAATCCTAGGCCTCTCAGCGTCACAAAAACTTCTGAAGTAATGTCTTTGTTATCGTTGTTGTTGCTTGGGTTTGTCTTCTTCCGTTCCATTCGCTCCATCTAATATCTGTACAAGTGAGCATTTATTATCACATACGACAGACCTCCATCACCCCTCGCTCGGATTAGGCGTCATGGTATGCGGGCGTTGAAACCACAGGGCCGGCGCTGTAGCCCTCGAAAATCTTGGAAATGTAATGACTGAATGAGTGTATGGCCGAGCCGGGTGCCGCTCTTGAATTTGGGGAGTCATGAAAATAGAGTTAATCGAAGAAAGCTTCTCAACTGCTCCAAAGAACGTCATTCGTGATTGCAGTCCAGATGGATTGTCCAAGATTAAGTGCTGTCTAATTCTTGTTCATTTATGGGGAGACGCCAGCTAGTCCGGCGCTCCGCATCGGAAGAAAAGCCTCCGCCTACCGTGTCTTGCCCCGTTTTCGCTAATGATATCCGGAGCGAACGCTGTCGCTCATCCGTCGCATTCCATTGAGTTCCATGACTCGTTTCCATGCTACCCATTACAGCGCCTGGGCGAGCGCACTGTTGGTATATCTACAAATCGGCGTCATCCTCATCGGGCAGGGGCATGGAAGCGGCGTCCTGCATCTCCTTCTGGTACTGCTCGAGCACGGCCTGGTCGACCTGGACCTCGGGAGGCGCAAGGGCAGGCGCGGCAACGAATTCCTGGATGATTGTTAGTACAGGGCACGCGACATGTCTGTAGAATGACGTACCAGGGTCTGGTTGCCGACGAGTTTCCTGGCGAGCCAGAGGAAGGGCTTCTCGAAGTTGTAGTTGGACTTGGCCGAGATGTCGTAGTACTGGAGGTTCTTCTTGCGGTGGAAGGTGATGGACTTGGCCTTGACCTTGCGCTCCTTTACGTCGACCTTGTTGCCGGTAAGGACAATGGGGATGTTCTCGCAAACACGGACCAAGTCACCTACGCGATGTTAGTGGAAATGTCAATGTTAATGTTGTTGTTATGGCGAGGACGTACGGTGCCAGTTGGGGACGTTCTTGTATGTGATACGCGAGGTGACGTCGAACATGATGATACCGCACTGGCCGTTGATGTAGTATCCATCACGGAGACCACCGAACTTTTCCTGACCTGCAGTGTCCCAGACGTCGAACTGGATGGGGCCGAGGTTCTGCGTGTCTGTCAGTAAGCCATATCGCGCGTGAGGGGATGGGGTGACGTACGGTGGTGAAGCCGAGGGGGTGCACTTCGACACCGAGCGTCGCGATGTACTTCTTCTCGAACTCTCCGGTCAAATGACGCTTGACGAAGGTCGTCTGTTGAGCAGAATTGTTAGCATTGATCCTCTATCAGGGTTCTCTATTGCTGTTTGACGGCTTTGTTGTCCGGAGCTGGGGCCTCAACAAACAACATAAGAGCTTCATCAGGCGCTCCAGAGGGTACGCACCTTTCCGGTACCGCCATCACCGACAAGCACAAGCTTGAAGGTGGGCACGTTGCCTGCTGCGGCAGCTTCGGCCATGATTGTGGATTGTTGTGGTGGCGGGGTTGATTGCTGTGTGGTTGCGCAAACGCTGTAGAGAGCTGGGTTAGTCGAGGTCGAAATTGCAGAAGCTTTTGGTGTGGTAGGGATGGTGGTACCTTAAGTAGTGAGTGGGGAAAAGAGTGCGCTTGGGTGTTGACGTGCAGAGGGGCAGAAGAGGTTTTGTTGTGCACGGTGTGAAGTGTTGGCTCCGGGCGGTGAGTGGAGCAGCGCTAGCGTCGGCAGTAGTCCTCAAAACTTTACCCTCGCGTCACAGCCAGGCAGAGGCAGCGCTTTAGGCAGCGGCAGCCTGTTTTGGGCTTTGTAATCAGGCCGTGTAGAAGTGAACTGGTTGGGAGACACGGAAACATTTTATTACTCCTTGATGCATTGCGCTGGGTATCTCATGCTTGCGCCCAAATAGAGTGCGCCACGCAGCAAGCGCTGTTGTCGCCGTCACGCTGCCCCAAGACAGCCTTTTATCATCATGCATTTTCAGGCTCGAATGATGGAGAGGAATCGCCCGTGTCGCCAGCAAGTGACTACAGCGGCAACAGATGGCAGCCCAGCATTCCGCGCCCGCCCCAGTTCCTCCGTGGCGTCAGCGTCATCTGCACCGTCTCCGCTGGTCCGCCTGAGGCGGTCGGGCGCAGTGCCTTGACTGCAATCGGGAGCTGTGCGCTGTTAGCATTGCCTGTCGTAGGTGTGCGTCGAGGCGTGGTCTTGTCGGCGCGCGTGGAGCACTCACCCCTTCGTTCTGCGAGACAGCTTCTGCCACCCGAGACAGCCTCTCGTGGTTCGTCCAGTCGACCCAGCCAAACTTGGTGATGGTGTCTCCGACTCGCAGACCTGCCAGCTCGGCGGGGCTGTCTGCGACAACGCTGTTCACCTTTGCGAATGGCGCCTCGAGCGCTGCTGGTGTTGCCTCGAACGATGCCTGTGCCCTAGCTGCCCCCTCTGGATCGCTCTGCGCTTGCTCTGCCAGACGCGCATGGTGCTCGTGGAGGCCCTTCTCGATGCGCGACATGAGGTCTTTGTAGTCGTTCTTCAGGCGAATGATGCGCGCGCGCGTGGTCCGAACTATTCCGCTGGTCAGCGATAGCTGCGCCGTGTCGCTGGGTGGCGCATACTCTGGGGCACGTCGATGTCGCTGCGCGGGAAGCCGTCGAAGGTGGTGAGGCCCGTGTTCATGTTCACGCCATGCTACAGAATACATCAGCTTGAGCACTACACATGTACATTGCATCCAGGCACTGACTGAGTCCAAGACCTGCCCGAGTGCTTTGAGCTCCGTCTCAAGCCTGTCCTTCTCTGCGATGAGCTCCTGCAACGACAGCTGGTCCTTGGACACGCCATTGGAGTAGCCACCCGACGTCGGGCCTGAAGCTACGGTGGGCGTGTGAAGGTCGTCCATTCGTATGCCCATCAAGATGACCCGCTGTGTTGTTTGTTGTTGGCTGTCTCTCCAGGTAAATGTGGGGTTGATCGAGCTCTGAGAGGCGGCGCGGGGCTGTTCGCCGTGCCGCCACAGCGGTTCACGCTCCAAGCAAATGCTCCAAGCAAATGCTCCCGCTGTCGTGCCTCACCATCTCCTCCACCACCTCGCGGCACACAAGATCGAGGTGCACTAGCACGCCATGGCCTGCAACTAGCAGTATCCAGAGCCTCGCACTATGCACGATCCGGTCTCGAAAGGGCGGTCTACCATCAGTGCTGTCTCTGCTCGACGCGCTCCTGCTGTGTCTTTGGTTCATTATCGTCATGGTGCCTCGCGCCTTCCACACGAATTCGAGATGCGGGCACACGCGTCTCTTCTCGTGGCAAGCACTAGCAGCTTCTCATCATGCCTCACAGTCATTGCACTCATCACTGGACCTGCTGCGACTCAATTGACTCCTGGCAGGAATCCGTACTCCTGCAACCGTCGTTCCGCGCTTTCCTTTGACCAATGCGTGCACTTCTTTCTGTCGGTATCGCTAATCGTAATGTGTCTACGAATCTGTCAAGGCTTTCCATCTCAATCGTCTCTCCTTTAGCCATCGCCGTTGGATGCAGTCATATTTATCTCTCATGCCACTCCAGATCCCGCTCACCCTTGAGTAGTCGCTGGACTACTACGCACCAGCATGGCTTACGTGCTGTCACTCCGACCCCATAGCCCGCTCAAGCGATCTTTCAGCGATAACCCCTACCTGCAATGCTCGCCTCTGAAGGAGCCGCTCCTTGGACCGCTCGGCGACATCACAGCCCGCAATGCCTCTGCGTGTTCGCTATACTCTCTGCGATCCAACAGAGTTGGCAGCTGGGCCATGGGAAGCGAGAACACGCCGCCTCTGACCTCACAGTCTCTGCTCAACCTGGTACCCGAAAGCAACAACAGCACCTTGGGTGTGAGACCCATTGATCATGGCCCGCGTAAACAGACTTACACTTTCCGACGCCCTCCACCCTTGTTCTCGCGAGTCACGGCGCCGGCGAATCCGTACTCAAGAAATAATAGAGAAACGCATCATGTTCCCGACCACTCTACGAGTAGCGGCAGTTCAGATGAGCCTATGGAAGAACACGACGGCCACCTTGATGACTCGGAGCTTTTTGATCTGTATGAAGCCATCCAAGTTCCATTGCCCAAAGGCCGCTTCTCCGACAACACTGCCAGTGAGCCATACGTGGAAGAAGAAGAAGAAGAAGAAGAAGAAGAAGAAGAAGAAGAAGAAGAAGAAGAAGAAGAAGAAGAAGAAGAAGAAGAAGAAGAAGAACAAGTACTGCCGACTGAGATCGCCAACCCACAGCCATTCCGACGGTGGTTGAGCACTTTGCGCCGTCGACACCTCCAGCGCCGGGACGATCGCGCCTCAGAAGCTCTACGGCTCTCCTTGGATATTGAGAATCGAACCAAAGATGCCCTTCTGCGACCGCCGCCGACGCAGGCTCCTCTGCATAGGCATTCCGAGTCCGTGTCTTCTTCCATGGGTGGCGTACTCACCATGAAGTCTGCCTCCATGACGGCAGCCAGCGCAAGCATTGCACCACATTCTGAATCAGGCTTCCAAGGTAGAGCCAGGATTGGTAACCGAGGCAGCCATTACTCGGATGTCAGAAGATCTCTAGACAGTCATCCTGGCCCGCTTGGACCTGTCATTGATGAAACTGCGTGGCTTCGATCTCTTCAGCGTCGGAAGATCGTTGAGGAGTTGATTGCTTCAGAGGAGGGCTACATCTCCGATCTTAAGGTTTTGATCAATGCAAGTCGGTCTTGCCAAGAGCGCGTACATTACTGACCGACTTTCGCAGGACTACTTCATGATCCTTACTGCACTGCCTAATCTATCGAGCCAAACAAAATCATCCATACAACAAAACATCTCCCAGATTCTCCAACTTCACGAGGATCTGCTGGACGAATTGCACCAAGCAGTGCCACAGGCGGACTTCACGAAAAGCGCACACCACGAAGCTTATCCTGTGACAAAGGCCAAACATATTCGTTTTCATAGCGCAGATATAGTTCCCGGGCGTTTCGCTGAACACAAAGCTGCTCGAAGACTGAGACACTCCTTGGAGATTGGGCGGTCACCAGATCGTCGACCACGAGGACTGGTGACGGACACTAAAACCATCGGAAGCATCGCTAAGATTTTCAACAAACACATGAAACGTTTCTTCGCATACGAGGAATATGGCGCGCACTGGACCACAATGTCAAGCGACCTCAACAACATGTGTAAAGGTCTGCATGGTTGGCAAGAATACGAGCGTGGCGTCGAGGCACTGCAAAAGGTCATCGCCTCAGAGAATAACCGCGAAGCCGGTAGCAAGAAGGCGTTGAGTTTCTCCGACTTGTTGATCAAGCCGATTCAGAGAGTTTGCAAGTATCCTCTACTCTTCGACGACTTGTGCCGCAATACGCCTGTCTATGACGACCCGGAAGCGCACGCCGAGCTAGAGAAGGCTCTTTTCCGGCTGCAAGAGACAATCCGAGAAGTGAACAAGGCCAAAGATGATCCAAAGACCCGACGCTTGATTGAGATCACTTGGCAATTGCAGGATCGCCTTGTTTTCCAAGAGCAGACACTCTCGCGCGCACTGGTCTTTCGTCTGCTTGGGCATGTCTTGCTTTGCGGCGTATTGCACGTCGCATTCCAGACACCCGAGCCACGTATCAAGGGGCAGTACATGGTGTGCGTTCTCTACAAGTCCTGTCTCGTCCTTGCAACATCTAGTCGCTTCCATACGCCCTACACCGTGGTCGCCTCGATCGGACTTGCAAATGGCAGCATTGAAGAATCGGACAATGGTCGAGGTGTACAGTGTCATACAGCTACACACACTTGGAAGCTTGTTTTCGAACACAATCATCGATTGCATGAAATCATCTTTAGTGCATGCTCTACACAGGAGGAGGGAGTCTGGAAGACGCAATTACGTGAGCGCATTGTTTGCGAGACGCACAACTACGTCGAGGGCCCATCCCCTGTACAAGACATGTTCTCATACTTGTCGCTGGACATCAAGTCCCTCGGGCCTGTCTTTGGACACGCCAACAGCCTGGTGCGGCGAATGTCAGTACATCGAGCAGCGACTCTCGGCGCAAAGAACAACACAAGCCAGATCATCATCAAGAACACACAAGCACAAAAGTCGCTAGACGCGCCACCGACCTTCTCGCCCAGCACCGTAACGCGCTCGCAATCGCTTATGTCAGCCAACCACGTGCCCACGTTAGCACCCCGGAGAGCTGAGCGCATTCGTCTGGAAGCCATAATGGAGGATGTATGGACCAAGGACATGCTGCCTTTTCCTGGCATGTCGAACCGACGAGTTGAGAACCAAATCCGCGCTTCGGCAAATTCTGTCATGCGCAAACTCAGCATGGCAAGCATTGCCAGCAACTTTTCTCGTCGCTCGCCCAGCTTCTCCAGCGTGAGCAATGCACGCTCCGATGATTCCTTTGGGAGTCGCGTGCACAAGATGTCACAAGGAAACTTACGGGCTCGATCTGCAAACGAACGTCGACCTGCACCTGCTGTTGTGGACTTTCATACTGCGCCAGCTGCATTCCTGCCGACTGATTTTGAGATTGAGGATGCCAGGCCTTCCAGCCGTCGACGTCGTCTGGCCAATCGCGCCACTGGCAACGAGCGCTCGAGCGAGAAGAACACGCCTGCAAGACCGAAGCGTGTACGAAGACTTTCGACGCACATCATGAGCCTTCCACGCTCGGAATCGAGTATGCGTGTAGTGGATCGGTCCATTTCTCACGGTTCAAACACGACTGTTCAACGGCCATCGGAGCCACTTGCAGACATTGGACCGAACGGGGAGAACGAGAGGCACAAGAGGAAGGAAGCAAGAGATATAAGTCCACGCAGTCAGCACCCGTCGAAGAAGTACATCAAAAGCAAGAGCAGAATCTTCAAGTTTTGGATATGAGCTCGCAGCATCCTTACAATATCGGATTCCAAAGATTTGCGACTGGATGATGTTGTTTGGATGATTGAGTCAAAAAAGTACACATGAAGGATTATTACGAAGTCACGACACCATCAATGCGGCAAACAGCGTTACGGACGATATGCTACTCGAGCGACGCAAAGCGCGCGGCACTTGACGACTAATGAGGTAAAGTATGGCATTGCGCCGATCAGGACAGCATTTCTGCCAGGCACACCCGCGAGCCACGTTGGGCTTTGGAGTATTCGAAAACGGCGTGACGTCACTGGACGGATCCGGCACGCGATCACATACATGGCATGATGATGCTCCCACATTGCAGAGAACAGTATATCTGGATAGTAGCAATCAAATCATGATTATAGCGTCATCGCAATTTGCGTGAGACTGGTGCGCGGAAGTTTCGGCAGGGCGAGGCTGCAAAGTTGATGTGTGAAGCTATTGTGCTTGACATAATCTAAACACTATCTTGAGCGGCACCCTAGCCATTCGTTTCAGCAAGAGCCGCGCTGCAGCCCCTCACCCTGCAGCCGAAGGTGAAAGAAGCATGAGCCTCAAACCTGGAGTTGATGTGGGTGTGCTGTGCTTGGCAATGACGTAACAAAGCTCACGAGCTCCTGCCAGCTAAATAGCCCCTCCAAGCTTCCAGCTTCCCCTCCATCCACAAGCAAATCACCACTCTTACACACCACCACTCTCAAACCCAATCTTCCCGAGTCCAATTCAATCCCAAACACCAACTCCCACACATACACCCGCAAACATGGCTCGTGGCAACGCAGGAAACACCAAGGTCTTCTACCAGGGCAGCAGCGAGGGCTTTGTCGTATTCGTCGAGAGCGAGGAGCTTGTACGCAAGTGGAAGGGGGACAAGAGCATTCCTCTCACCGAGGTCGTCGCCGGCTGGAAAATCTTCACATCTGAGTAAGTCGGCATCTCTCAAGCCGAGGCTTCGCTAACAGTGTAACTACAGGCACGGCAAGCAAGGCATCCTCAACGGCGCGAGCCACTTGCAGCTCGAGAACGAGTTCGGAACCAAGAATGAGGACGACGTCGTCAAGCAGATTCTGGAGAAGGGCGATGTTCAGACTTCTGAGGTACGCATATACTGCACACCCACTTGCTATGAGGTCATAGGGCTAACTGTTTACTTCGTAGAACCCCGAACGCCAGGGCAACACCAACGACTCCAAGGGTGGCATGGCTGCTCACTAAGCATCAAACCCTTTGTAACGAAACTTCTATGCATGATAGCGTTTTTCTAGCTTCATTGCCGCGGTCTGGAATATGGCTTGGCTAAGTGGGTTGAAGGTCTTCTGCTGGAATGCGAGGCTACCCGGATATCTTGATAGGGAATACAATGGAATCATTGCATGAATGAAAGATTGTGTGTTTGGGCTTTTTTGATCGTGATGCTGTGGGAGATGGTTTTCGGGACGTCGAGAAGATGAATAACTATATTGACACCTCCAGGCCAGATGTACGCAATAATATCAAGGCTGCTCAGTCGACTCGAGCAATAAGCAAGCAGCCAGTCAGTCAACAACATTGTTCACCTTCAGCCACAGGTCGTCTGCAGTGCGATGTTCATGCTAGCCTACACTCACGATCAAGTGCTTGTGTGGCTATACAGCTGCACAAACACTACGCCTTCAACCAGGACTAGCTAGCCCATCGTTCCTCCTGCATGCAATAACGCAGACCGCCTCACACACTTTTGTCGCGAAGACACCGGTCAAGAAGATGGATCGCCATCCGACGAATAGCATCCTCCCACGCGCGATCCTTCCAATCGCAGACTCGCCCTACAGCCCCCACTCCCGCAAGTGTGCCACACTTACCGCGTACACGCCACGAATCACCGCTGTGGCTCGACGCATTGCTAGGGGGTTGCATGAAGCTGAAGACTCGTGGACGTGTCAGAATCACTCACAACGAGCGGAGCGCGCTGCTGCTGCCTGGAGCTAGATCGCCAACGTGCGCATGTAGCCTTGTGAAAAGGGCGGAGGACTAACACGCCAGCGAGAGAAGTATATATTAAGCCAAATCCCCCCAGCATGATAATGTTTCGACATCACACTCGCAGTTTGCTGTCATGTCGTCCTCCGCCAACGCGCAAGTCTTCGCGGGCTACACTAAACACAATTCCATACCCAGGTCGGAGACGCGCGAGGCTATTCGCGCCCTGATCCGTGACGCATATCCCGAGTACTATGTAGACGAACGCAAAATCTCCCTGCGCGAATTCGCCGCGAGCGGACGTGCGGATATCCATCTCGATGCGTCCGACGAAGCGTTCAGCGGGACGCGAGATTGGAGCGCGGTGGGCGAGGGCATGCAGCGCAAGATGAACGCCGGGGAGGCAAGGGATGAATTTAGATTTGCTCGGTAAGTAAATTATCGGAAAAGTGTAGGGTTTGATACATAAAGTTGGCGTGCTGACGACATGTTCAGATTCCAGTATAAATTCAACGGCGACGAGTTTATCGTGTACTACCTGACGTACCAAGACGTGTTCAAGTCGCCGGATCGCGCGTTTTTCATCCTGTATCCTCGCGGGGGGGAGTTGGGCGCGAGTTCGACGTGCCCGCCGCAGACGGATGCGCTGGTCCTGGCAGCGGGGAAGTGGACGTCTCAACTGCACGAGGAGATATTTGTGTTTGACGATGGGCGCTGGGAGAAGTCGCGCGAGCTCTTTCGGTCTGTGGATGGGTCGTCGTGGACGGATGTTATCCTCGACCCAGACATGAAGAAAGGCCTGATTGAAGACGTCCAGGGTTTTTTCGACACACAGGCGGTGTACAAGGAATTCGCGGTGCCATGGAAGCGTGGAGTTATTCTGCATGGTGTGCCGGGAAACGGCAAGACGGTATCCATCAAAGCTTTGATGCACGCGCTCAACCAACGACCAGAGCCCATCTCCAGCCTGTACGTGAAGAGTTTCCAAACCAACTGCGGGACAGAGCAAGAGTCGATCAAGGACATCTTCATCATGGCGAGGAGCATGGCGCCGTGTCTGCTTGTGTTTGAAGATCTGGATAGTTTGGTGCATGATAAGGTGCGGAGTTACTTCTTGAACGAGGTTGATGGGTTGGAGAGTAACGATGGGATTCTAATGATCGGCTCTACGAATCATCTGGACAAATTGGATCCGGCGATTAGCAAGCGGCCAAGTCGGTTTGATCGGAAGTACCATTTCAAGCTCCCGGAGGTGCGCGAGAGGACGGCGTACGCCATGTACTGGCGCAACAAGCTGATGAAGAACAACACGGTTGATTATCCCGAGGAAGTTGCGGGTCTGATCGCGCAACTGACTGAGGGATTCAGTTTCGCGTACATGAAAGAGCTGTTCGTCATGGCCTTGCTCAGTCTCGTGCGCGGCATCAAGGTCGGCGATGACTTCGAGATGGTTAGCGAGGACGATGCGAAATCGCCGCCACGCGAGGAGACGCCTACGCCTGCGCCCGAAGTCTGCACGTGTGCGGCGATATGTAAAGACTGTAAAAAGCCTTTGCCCACGGAGGCTGCCAAGGAGGCTGATGAAGCGGTCGAGGCCAAACAAGAAGCGGGAGTCAACAAGCTGGTCATGCCGACTGTTGAGATCCCGGAACACTTGCAAGACAACCTCTTGTTGAAGGTTATCAAACACCAAATCCGGATCCTGCACGCTGAGATGGACAATTCGAACGACAGTGATAGCAAGAAGAATACGGAATCATGTAGCGAGTGCTGAGTGGACACCATCTGCGAAAGTGGTGCGGATATGGTGGAGTATCTGTAGCTACCATCTTCGTAGGCGCGGCGAGGTGCTCTCTGGTACACTGGGTGCCTGGCACGACTTGTCTTTAGTTAGGGTCCTGATTTGAAGACTGTTCGACATCGAATGCCACTTGTTGCGTTGACACTACTGCTGTCCTCAGAGATCTTTACAGAGTCTGCCTTCCATCTCCTTGTACCAACCAACGAGGCGATTTCGGTTTGCTTTGCCTTCAACAGGGGCTGCTAGGGTGCAAAGAGTGCGCTCAGGTCCTCAAGAAACATGTCAGTTGTTTCATATTTGTTGAGGTCCACAGCCTTGTCTCAACAGACAAGAAGCGGAAGGTAGTATTCATGAGGCCATGTAGAATGTATTTTCGTCTCGCTTGGGTTGTCAGGATCTGAAAAGTGCGCTCAGCTCATAGGAGACGCAGGAAGGAATGTCGTTTGTTTGATGTCCGTGGGGTTACGCGAGGCATTCGGAGAGCGCGACATGAAGATGGCTAATTTCCGATTTCGTGGGCGGTGTTGGTTATCTTAAGAAATGTTTCGAGTTTGATGAGCGTTGTTGGTTTTTGACAAGTGGAGCCGCTTCGACGTATCAGGGTATTGGGGTCCAGTTCTGTAGTCACCTGACTTGCCATACTCTTACAAGCTGCGTCTGGTAGTAGTGAATGACAGCCATCAGATTTTGACACTCAAGGTTCCATCGGCACGTTAGGCTGTTGTAGTGGTGATATATTTGGCCCACGCTTCAACGCTATACACTGTAGCTCTGGCTTGTGCTTTGTTGTGGAGTAAGCGCCATCGTGTTAGCGGAGCTACCATGTGTTTAAGCTCTGTCGATCAGTTCTCTTTGGGTGCACTACGACAGACCGAAGTGTCTCTTCGCCGAAATCTTCGAATACGAGAAGGTCCGAAGCCTGCGTGCTGCGTCGTAATTGAAGACGTTGTCGCAACGCGCAATCCTAATTGCCAGCAGCACCAGAACTAGCAGGATGTGCTGGGCAAGATTGCAAAGCTGTGCTACGTTGTGCCGTGTCTATTCGGCACGTTCAATCAATTCCAAGTGGAGCCAGTGAAGGAGAGTTGACGCAGGGAAAAGCACTCCGGCATACGCCACAACGCTCAGCCACCTCCCCGTCGCATCCGAATCAGCGATGATCCCTGAGCAAGCTTCGACCCGTTCCTGTGCGACCACCAACGTCATGAGCATTTCTCAAACTCACCCCCCAGGCTCGCCCGCGATACGAGTGGTCACTGCTCTGGCGATCGTCCAGGGGCCCGTGTTCTGCCAGTCGCTGAATGCAGACGAACAGCCGCGCCGCGGACGCTGGCGATGCGTTTTCCAAGCCTTGCGATAGGGCAAAGTGGAAAGCGGTACTTAATCGTCTCGGATAACTGCATGGATGTCTTTGCAACACCTGCCAGTTGGAGGCGGAGGTGCGAAAGCCTGTTTTGTGTCGTGTTGGTCTCGTCTCTGCTCAGTGTGCATCGCTGTGTCGCACAGTGGTACAACGTCTATCGACGATTGTGCTGCCGCAAACTAAACATGCGTTTGCAATGGCAAGGCCGCTTGTTTCGAGACCCGAGGAGAAGCTTTGACCGTCCGGATGTATCCCAGTATCACCCAGCCTTGCAACCTCAGCGTAACGGACGTTGGTGCCAAGCTCATGCGTGCGGAGTAGACAGTGACGCAATAGGGAAAATCAGACCTGCTCGTTCAGACCTGCTCGTATTCTGTGGAGGTGCGCGGTAGAGTCAGTAACCGGGGGCGACTTGCAGCTAATTCTTTTAGTGACGGCAGCCGATTGGGCCGACTGCTCGTTTACAGAGGTTCGCTTGATGGTGGACTAAAAGGTGAGAGACAAGACAGGGCTGGAGGAGGCAAAGCAAACGAGAGCTCTCGCGCACGGCTGCTCTGCCCTTGTGCGATCTTCACCCGACTCGGTCCACTTGGTCACTTGATCTCGCTCTTGCTCTTTCGGTGGCTTCTGCATTCCTCGGGCCTTTCATTTCACCTCTCCCCCACCCGTCGCATCTGCCCGCTCCTGGCTCCACCCCAGGACGTGAAAATATCACGGTTTCGACTTGCTATATCGATTCCACAATTACCCACCTCACTCGCGTCACAAACATTGAATCGACTACGACATGGCGAGGTCAACACTCACGTGGCTGCGCGCAGCTGCCATAGCTGCCCTGGCTACGCAAGCGATTGCTCAGAAATGCTGTAAGATATCCTGGCTCGCGACAAAGAAACAATTATTCACTCTACCAGACTATCCCAATGGAAGCGAGGCGCCTAATACCGAGAAGCCATGTTCGAATGCCAAAGGCGGTTCTTCTTGTTGCCCAGACACGTGGGAATGTCTCGACAACGGCTTGTGCCATAATCCCAACGACGATATCTATGGACGCTACAGCTGTACCGACAAGGACTGGAAAGCACCGGGCTGCGCGTCGAACATGTGCACATACGGTACGGTCCACTCGATCTATTGCCGTTGCGATATACTTACATGATTCAGGTGGAACAGCAGGTGGAGGAGAAGCTCTAACGCAATGCTCAAACCACGACGACCAGTGGTGCTGCAATGCCGACCGCATTCATGTAAACTGCTGTCAAGAGTCTCCCCAGCCGCGTCCTTTCTTCCAGCTTCAAGACGGCAAGGCGTACGCGACAATTGGTCGTAATCAGGCCGCGAACCAACCAAACGTTGCGACCTTCACTGGTCTTGCGTCTGGCTCAGGAGGCAGCTCGCCCTCGAAGACTTCTGCGCCCGTTTCGTCTGCTGCAGCTACCACCGCGCCGCCTTCGTCATCCGCGACACCTTTTGAGTCGACTAGTGTCAGCGTCTCTTCTGGACCTGCTGGCTTCATAACGGTCAGCAGGGTCATCACCGTAACGCCGTCTGCGGACCCTTCCGCCAGCGCTGCCAGCTCTGCCAACACGACCGCTCCGTCTGGAGGTGGCGGCTCAAACTCGAAGCTCGGCGTCATCATCGGTTGCGCAGTCGGTATTCCGCTCGCTCTTGCGCTTGCCGGTATTATCATCTGGATGCTGCGCAAGCGTAGTACGCAAAAGTCAAGCGCGTACAAGAACTCGCCAGAGCTGGATGGCAACAGCGTCGACTCACCCGGATTCGCTGGGGGCGCTGCCGCGAGGCAGGAGAAGTACAGGCACTCGCGACCAGGAACTACTGAAATCGATGGTGCCCCCGCCGGTCCCGGTCGCCCCATTTCGAACATCCCAGGACGCGCCGAACTCGACTCTGGAACAGGATTTCAGGCCGGTCACAACGCATACGCACCGGATACTGTTGGTCTTGGAGGCGGCAACGGTGATGGGCGATCAACATATAGCAGCGCGCCACCTGGCTACTCTCCCGGCATGGCGCAGACTGGTTTCCACGCGCACAACGCCTCCGAGCTGGACGGCACCAGCGTGATGCCTGTAATCAATGAGAAGGCAGAGGCCCCGCAGCAATACCAGGCATACAAGCCGCCGAACCCAGCAGCGGCGGAGCTGCCGACTGTGAAGACGCCACCAGAGGATGTGGAGAAGCAGTTGTAAAACAACAAGAAGAAAAACCAGCATGTGTTTCGGGAGTACATATAAGGGGAATGTCTGTTCAGGATGTCTTCAAATGCGCCGCGGGCGCGAGCGCGAGTGCACGAGAGTGCCATGTACATATAATGAGGGGGCTTCTACATTTTGACGAGAGCTGAGATACCATTTCCTTGTAATGATCACACAATTCAATGAGCAAACAAAAACCAGCCACTACAAGTGGAACATTGCCTCAATAGCTGATAAGCTGGGGGTGAGCTCTAAGGGCGTGGGGTAGAAGAAGGCGCGAGTCATGGCGCGCTTCGGCATGTCGTCAGCCCTCGCGCCCTCAAACCGGGGATGTGGAGCCCTTTCAAGAGCGTCGAGATAGGCGCGTCGCAACCACCATTGCTGCTTCCCTCTAATTCCTGCACATACCTCCTTCTCCCCCCGATATTACCAACGCCTCCTACACCTCCACGTACAATGAAGCACCTCCCCGACGAAATCATCCTCTCCATCATCTCTTGTAAGTCCGAGCTGCAGCCCACCACTCGCCCCCACCTAACACCAACCCCAGATCTCGAGCCCTCCGAGCTCGTCAACCTCCAACACGTCTCGCGCCAGTTCCTCGCTCTCTCGCGCGACAACAATCTCTGGAAAACACTGTGTTTCTCGCACTCGGTCGCGGAACGACGCCGCCGCCGTCTGGAAGTAGCTGCCGACATCGATCCCCGCCTCGCTGAGCTCATCACCGCCGCGAACAACATCTCCAACGCGTTTGATACCAGCGTGCACAACCCGTTTGCCCCGAGCGCCGAGGCGCAGCTCGAGAGGAATAAGGAGAAGAGGTGGGAGGCGCTGAGGACGAATTGGGACCCGAGTTATCCGGGGGAGAAGGTCGATTGGTATCGCGACTTTGTGGAGAGACACGCGCCGCAGAGGATTGGCTGGTTCCAGGATGTGGGGAATGAAAGAGGGGAGGAAGAGGAGGATGTGAGGCGCGAAGCCACGGGTGCGGGCGTGTTGTTTGATAGCGAGGGGCTGGCGGATAAGCTGGTTGCGCCGATGGGCGATGGGAGTATTTGCGTGTGGGATGCAAGAGCGAGTAGTGAGCGGCAAGGGAAGATTTTGGCGAAGACGGACATTGGGGTGTTGGCGGATAGAGGGGCGGACTTGGATTACGAGACGAGGCAAAGACAGAGTCACGCGATTATGACGGAGACGGGGGCGGTGGAGTGTGTGAGCATTGATAGCACGTTGAAGAAGGGCTTCTTTGCGGTTATGAATGTGCTGAATGAGGTGGATTTAAATACGCTGCAGGTGGTGGCCAGGACGCCGTATCCGTTTCCGATTACTGCGCTGTCAGAAGCGCATCACCGCACGCCGTTGACTGTAGGGACGAATTGGACGTTGCATCTACACGATACGAGAAAGGCCCCTCCCGCACCATCATCAACGCGATGTGAACTAATCGGCGGCTCAACGTCCCCATCCTTCTCGCGCCTCGAAACCGGCGACTTCGGCGGCCACGTCTCCCTCTCCCAGCCTGGCGCCCTCTCCATCCTCCACCTCCCCACCGCCCGCGACTGGGATGGCAACGGCGACATCTGGGTTGGCGGGCGCTTCACCAGCCTGCTGAACTTCGACCGGCGCTTCTTCCCACGCCTGCGCGGTACCGTACACTCCGGTGCCCGCCTGTCCTGCCTAGCATCCATCCCGCTCCCCTTCATACCCCAAAGCCTGCGCGTCGGCTACCCACCCAACTACCTCCGCGACGCCAAACTCACGCCCGGCCACACGCTCATCGCAGCCGGCGAGTACAAGGGCAAAGGCTCGCTGGAACTCTACGGCCTGGGTGCCGAGCCCACGCGCAGCATTAACTCGAGCGATAGCCGCACGACGCGCAATCCACAAGCGTGCTACCAGAACCGCCAGACGGCGAGTAGCTCCAAGCTCCTTGCTGTGGCGCCGCATGGCACGCGCATCGTTTTCTCCGACGGCGACGGGAATCTCAAATGGGTGGAGCGCGACGGCTCCACGCCCGTCCGCCAGTTCAACATTAATCCCCAACCTGTCCCTTCCCAAGAGCAAACGATGACGAACCCGCTCCAGGGCGATGTTGAGGGCGATATCGTTCAGAAAATCTTGCCGACGACAAGGTCTGGTGGTGTGAAGAACGATCTCGTGCTCTGGACGGGCGATGGCAAGCTAGGCATGTTGGGCTTTGGGCGCGAAGCGCCGTTTGATGAAGATGTGTTTGAGGATGCGCTGGAGCAGCAGGGGGAGAAGGTAAGGGAGAGGGAGTATGGGGAGGGGATGAGGAGGGCTTTGGAGATGCAGGCGAGGGAGCTGAGGTGGTTGAGGGGTTATGGACTGTGAGAAGCGTGTGGTTTTTGGAACCGTTGAAGTATTCCTATCACATGATGCACGGGGTGCCCGCTCCTTCCTTCACGTTCGACGCCAAGACTTAGCGGTTGCTACAGTGTTTTCTCAGCTCCTACCTAGGTCACTCGAACACTTTCCATCCGTCAGGTCAGACTGACAAGAACACCCTGGGTTTCTTTTCGTTGCCGGCCGAGCTGAGGAACAAGATTTATGAGCTCATCGTTGAGCACAGAGACCCTATATTTGTGGCCAAGCACGGGCACTCAGTGATGTGCTGGCTTCAAAAACTAGGTACTCGCGCGCATTTGATCCGACGGCTTGACATCGATCTCGATGTGTTCTTCTCATCTCTGAAAGGCCATAACTTCATACCCATGGCCGACCAGCTCCTTAGTCTTCGGCCCCTGGTGGAATTCCTGCGGCACAACGATCTGCACTTGACTTTGAATATCGATCGATGCGAGAGCGAGGATGAAGATGGCACTATTGAAGCCTACCACACTACCTCAAGAGCGAGCAACCCTATCAGAATCGATCTCAATAGACCTGCGCTGAACTCTGCCATTGCCTCCTTGAACCGGGACGATCTTGGTTTAAAACCCCACGCACGCTTGATAGCCCAGATGGCTGTGAAACTGGATGGCTCGGGCGACCTAGTCACCTTCTCGACAACAGAAGGTGGATCACATCTGTCTACAAAGCTGGGCCTGGCTCCTTACGGATTCCAGGCAGCGCAAGATTGATACCTCGCTAGAAAAAAACGTAGGTACAACGAGTACACGGATGGCTTTCGGCGTTTCGTCGTTGAGAATGGCAGAAGTGTATGGGAGCCGACTGAATTTCCAGCGTGCTCAAGTATGCCATATCACTTACGCTATCGTGTCATCAAGTATACGCGATGTGGGTGATAAAGAGATGCGGTATTTGTGTTTATGCGATCTAGCCTGGTTTCGCCAGCAATTTCAGAACGCCTAGTCCGTACCGAGGGAATGCAGGTTACGCTTGGCTTCGACGCGACGGACTTGCAAGACATCCGCCACAATCTCGTGAAGCTCATCGATGCTACACTTATCCTGGACGGAGCCAGCAAAGCCTTAATCAGACCACAGGACACGGATCTCACCTCTATATCCACACTCTTCGAACTCCGAAGACTTGCTATGCTTGCCTGGCCGAGGTTAGAACCCGAAACCGACAAAACGCTACCGGAGATCTCTATCAATGGTTTCGGTAAGATGATAGAGGTTAAGAACGGCGAACCCCGGACGCAAGATGCAAGCATGTTGACCTTTAATCTCGTCTTTTAGAGTTCGGCAGCTGTCATGACTTTCCTTCATGACGAGACGGCAACCTGAGGACAATGCGAAGCCACTTCTGAACAACCGAGAGCTTTCGAAGCACGATTCTTATCTGACTCTTGCGCCAGATCTAGACATGATGATTGAAGAGGCTGTCACAGCTCTAGCGTACAATCACATAGCAAATTAGCTCATTGTCTCCTTCATAGTCCACTACCGGTGTGAACTTCTGCCGATTGTGCAACCAGCTTGCTTTCAAGCCAGTTACAATATTCACATTACCCTTCCAGCAGTCTTCTTGTGTCCCTTTACCCTCTATCTTTGATACCCAAACTACTCTGCGCCTGCCAAGTCGCCGTAGCAACACACCATGAGTCCAAGCTTCAATTCGGTTGACGAGGGGCATGACACCACGCCGTTCCTTTGTCGGCGCTCTCCCCTGGAACTTCTTGATCATTACTTGCACACAGTCTTCGATGAGTAATAAATCGGACGAGATGCGGTAGATGCGCCAGCCAAGATCTTCAGATTCGTCGATGAAGAAGCCTACGTCCCTGGGGACCTTGATCCTCACGGGCCCATATCCGCCACAGAGTGAGCCATCAGCGTGGCCAATTGTGGTTTTGTAGAGCATACAGAGAGGCGTTGTGGGCTTCTGAAAGAGACGATGCGGTCGCGACTTAGAAGCGGCGATGCAGTGAGCGTGATCTGGGAGCCGTTCTGGTGGGCTATCAAGCTTCAAAGGTTGAGCTTACACTCTTAATACAGACGTACTCACTATCAATGAGGCGCTCCAACATTGTCTGCTGTATGTCTGCAGAAGATGCCTCTAGGTTTGCCTTCATGAACACCAGCTCAAGAATGGCAATGAACCTGAAGATCGCATAGTCTCAGTGTTATTTTCGCTGATGAGCCTTTCAAGACCACTGCAACGTAGATCAGTGTGAAGAAGTTCACACACGGGGTATCGGGCCGGATAAAGCGGCCAGCTCTTCTCAGTGCCATGACGGGCATGACAAGGCTTTTCTTCCGGCATGCGACCAATGCTGATGCAAGAAACGTCAAGCCAAAAGTTGTCGCAATGATGACGTTGAGTGCTGTGGTTGGGAGATGTAGGTTCATCGGGATGGCCAAGGCAAGTGAGACAATCAAGAGGACAAAGCCAGTATTGGTGAAGTATAGCTCTACGAGCTCGCCTCTGTGATCTCGCGAGAAGACGGAAGTGTAGCCATCAAGTACAATCGGTGGCCTAGAATCGGCTTTGTTCCTGTGACGATCTGCGAGAATATATAGAATCGTAAACCTGTTGCTAATCTCTTTCAGAAAAATTGTGATGCAAGAATGCAAGAGTAATGCGCTTCCAAAGTTGATTTCCTGCGCCCAAGGGACGAGCGACATGTCGGAGAAGTTGTTCGACGGGAATTGCAGCCTTGTGAAGAGGATAAGATGGACTTCGCGAGGCTGAGAGATAGTAATACAGTAGTATGTAGTAGAGCAACGCGAGCGGCGAAAGAGCCGGTCGTCTTTGACACAGAGACTCTCTAGAGCTCGATTGATTTGACTTGCTGAGAGGTCATTCGTGACAGTGTAGCAGATAAGACGGAGTCAACACGAGTGACAGCCGGATAGGCAGGACGCCACATTATTCAGGTCGGATGAACATGCGCGAAGGCTGAATATGGCAGACGCCACAACATGTGCGACCCCTCGACGCGTCTATCTTTCAGCATCGTCCAGGTATGGATGAAAGGATAGGACAAGATGTCTCAAGAAGGTTGATGGCTCGAGGCAGTTGTTAGGCGAAACGACTCCCAAGGTGCCGCGCACACTTCCGCGCATTACAGTGGCAGTTGTGTTTGAAAAGCACCTTCATTCGGCCGTACATGGCTATTGTGCCTCTATAATCATCATTCGGGTATCATAATCGTGTCTCCGCGTCTGCTTGTCCTGCGCCCTTGCATATATGCCATGCCATGCCATGCTCACTCCACTCCCTCAAAAGTCGTTGGGCCAGCACTTCTCCTTGGGCCACAGGGTCTGGTCATGGCTCTGAGCATGGGCTTCGAGCTGGACCTTGTTGGTGTTGACGATCTCGCGGCGACAGTTCTGGCACTATGGAGACAGGTCAGTAATGCAATTCGCCTGCCAATCCGAATCTCGTGGTTGCGGCTTCAAGCCTGGTTTCGACGTACGATGGATGTCGGCTTTGGTGCCTTGACTGGCAAGCCGTTGGCCTTGACGGGTGCACGTGTGCCGGCCTTATCAGCTTTCTTGTGCTCGCGTTGGATCTGCGGTACTGTCAGCTACTGGGCGCGACTTCATAAGACTGGTGCTCGACTTACGCGGTCCTTCTTGGAGATGGGCATTATGGCGGTATTGTGTGGAGTTTCTGGGTGTCTGGCTGAGTCGTGTGTGCTGTGGTCGTGCAGTGTTCAGGCCGTGAGAGTGAGAATGAGAATCAAAAAAAGACCCAAGAGCGAGAGCCAATCAGGTGCAGCAGGTTAGGCTTGGCGCTGCGGCAAATATTTGCCTGTCACCTGTCTAGAACAACACATCGCGCCTTGAAGAAACATCACGACACGACAAGGAATTGGAAGCAACACAAGCCGCGTCTATTTGCGCGTCGCGTTGTGGATAACGAGGGGTTTGGCCAAGCCGCCGATCGAAAGACACACGTGACGTCACCCTCATTGTCCATCGAGCTGTTATACCAAGCGTACGCCGAAGCTATTCGTTGAGATGCATTGTCGCATTTTCACCTCACTGCTATCATAATCACAGCCCCATCGGCTTTCGTGCCTAGGACATGCTCTGCTAATCCAGGTCCGCCTCAATTACGCTCTCCACCGCTCTCGGATGCCGTGAAATCTCCACAATCTTGAACCCGACTTGCTTTAGCAACCTCGTCCAATGATCCTCCGTCCTTTCCAGCCCACTCGTACAGTTCATGAGCTCAAGGTCCAGCGCAGTCTGCATGTTCGTCGCCCCAACTTTCGGCAATACGACCTCATAGATGAGCAGCTTCGAATAACCCTTCTTGAACACTTTCTTTACCTGTTCAAACATTCGTACGCAGTCTGCATCTGGCCAGTCATGCGGTACGGCGTGGAAGAAGTATGCGCGTGCTCCGACGACTGGTTGTGGCGTGAAGAAGTCGTACGGCATGCGTTTTATGCGTGGATCAAGGCCTTCGATCTCCATGCCGACGACTTCAGGCGTATCTTGCAGTACGAGCACATCTTTGGGTAGATCTGGATGCTTGGTGAGGAGCCGTTCAGTGTCGAGACCATGGGCGCCGCCAATATCGACAAACATTGGTGTATTCCCGCTCACGTCCGCGCCATCCATAATCCTCTTTGTATCGTACACTTCTGTCCAGTCCATCTTGTGGTTTCGCAGCGCAGTCATTAAGCCTATGAAGCTGCCCCCTTTGCCCTCTGGATCAGCTGCACAAGCTGCAAAGAAGCTGGTACCACCGGTCATGTCTGTGTAGTTGTCAAGCTTGGCCAGATCGACTGGGTCTTTGTAATCATATTTGGCAAGGAACTTGGGCATGTTGAGTGCGCACGGAAGGGTGTGGTCGTCGCCGCATACCACACCCGCGCTGATATGACCTGCTTCATCGCCGAGAGCGAGAGAGAAAGTTGTTGGTTTCCAGGTGTTGGGTCCAGTCTCTTCGAGCATGTACAATGCTGATATGTGCCGTAGGAAGCGTCCTATCTCGGTTTGTCAGGCAAGTCTCCATGTTGATCCTTCCTAACTCACGCAGCAAATTGGCTTCAGGCTTCTTCTCACACAAAGCTACAATTTGTTCCAGCGTCAATTCGGCTTCACCTTTCTCTTTGTAAACTGCAGTCCAATTCTTCCAAACCCCTAGATCCACGCATATCCGAAGGCCAGCAATGAGTGGCGGATTTTCGAAAGACAAAGCCCAAATACGTTCGAATGGTGTTTCCATGCGAACAAGCGCCTTTCGCAACGCTTCCTTCGCCTGGAAACGCTCTACATCGTTCGAGAACTGAGACGGGTCAAGACTCTTGATCGTCGATATTGTGGTATTGAATGCGGACATATTCGTAAAGGACGATTTCGAAGATCAAGACAAAGAACTAGGGAATCGCAGAACAGCGACGGCAGCGGATGCCTGCTTTCTAACCACATGATCTCCGCAATTCCAAACATATTCCCATCATTGTCTCCATCGCTACGAGTCATGGTATGTTTTGTCCCCATCAGTCCACTGTGGACCCTTGATCATACTGCCAAGTGCTCGGTACCAGAACCGACAAGGAAGACGATCCTGTACAAAGCGGGTCCGACAAGCGGCACCCAGGGTCATGAATCGCGAGACTATCATGGCCGCAAAGCGGGTGAATCGTTCACTCGGGAAGGACCGGCGCGAGGCGGACTTGATTGAGTCGTGGTACAGGGGAAATGTCCGAACATTCACTGACACAATGTACGGCGCTATAGAGGGGCGATCATGGAGACTGGTTGTAGCATGCATCCAAGGTGATGTCTTGTTTACAGGCTCAAAGGATCCGGTTGGCTCGTACAATCAGGTATCTACAACCTTTGACTGGCTCCATATACCGACACAGCTAGCATGCAATACCGGCGCGCTGCTCAATACAAAGTAAGATCAGACCACGCTCTTGATCGACCTACTGCTCGAGTTCCACTGCGCAGGCACAGCAGGGCTCTGCACCAGCTCCGACGTGCTCTCCTTGCTGGTTGTCTCGATATTCGTCATTTTGTAGATCTCGAAATTCTTGCTTTTACGATCCGCTCGACTATTTTCAGAGGAGTAGAGTTGTTTGGAGTAAGAATTGCTACCGCTAGCTTGGGTGCGCCAGGTTTCGGATCGGAAGAGGGCGTTGATGATGGGTGCGTTGACGGCGAAGATGGATACGAGCTGTCAACTTGTCAGGTGTGTTATACATGTTTTGTATAAAAGATCAGCTTACAGCTTCTCGTTGCGCCCACACGGAGGCCTGAGCGACTTGTGCGCTGTTACCAATCGAAAGGATACAGCGTGCAATCGCCATTGTCATGACGAAGATCCCAAGCGAGAGCAAGAACCCAATTCGAACTTTCCGCCATATCCTGATTCGTACATCTTTGAGCATGATGGCTGGAACCACGAGCAGAAGCGCATCAACGAGAACATTGCCGACGGCAATCACAATGTTGATGATTATGCCGGCCGAACATTCTTTCCCCGGGTCGGGCAGAATCTGCCAATTGTGGTGGAGCGGTAGGCAGTGTGTGAACTGCGCAATGATTGCGGCCAGGAAACACGCCACAGATATTCCGGCCATGGCCCAGACGTAGTTTCGAAGAGGCGTGTTCTTCCTATTGCATTGTAAGTCGCCATTGCAGCCTTTTCAAGTGTTACGCACGTCAAGTTGAGGAAGAACACGATCAAGCATGCCTTCAGGCTCCAGACCAAGCATATGAGGAAGAAGAACGAAGCGAACATGGCTTTCGCGCCCTCCCGCATTGATATCTTCATGGCTGTTGGGAGAGCTTCGCGTTGTGCTTGCGTGAGACCGATAGGAGCTCCCATGACAGCTGTTCACTAAATCAGCCTCCTCTCCGTATGTTGATCTGAGCAAAGACTTACACAAGTACTCCACCATAGCATAAATTATGGTAAAGAACACCCATGCCGACACCGAGAACCAGTCGCCCAGCTCCCACAACCTCATCTTTGCTCGCGTGGCCCATCGAAGCATGAATATGCCAGTGCCAATGGCGTATTCTGCGCGGCATTCGATTTGCGTCTCGGTCGCCATTTGATAGGCTCTAGGCAGGGTGGCAGTGAAGAGTGTGGAGTACCAACACGTGTAGGTGTTCATGGAATCACATCTTCGAATGTAATACTGCACTTACGGGCGACAGTGCCAACCCTAACAATCCTTCAGCTTGGAAACGGGTACCGCATCCGTCCTGTCTTCGAGCGATCGCACCGATCGCACCTGTTAAACTGGGCTCTTCTGGAAGGGATTCCTCGAGGCTCGGGACATGGTTCCTTCCGGGCATCATTTTCGGCTCGGAGTGTAGAATTAACCAAGTATCGACCAGGTCTGCGTATAATGGCTGTCGAGGCGGTGAAATGCATCGTTCATGCGAGCCGAAGTACGGGTACGTCGATCTTACCCGAAAAGCATGCGGTTCCACATAATGTGACCAAGTCGGTTTTGTTGATTGGGCCTTTGATTGCCAAGTGTAGGATGAAGAGGTTTCTTGGTCGGAGCGAAAATTGAACTCATATTGCGAAAGGGAAGCGTAGGAGAAAGCATTCGATGCGCGACTCAACTCCTTTATCCTGTTACCATCGCTCCCTTAGCACAAAACACACGGACTCGAGTACTGCGTTATCATGACCAACTTTACTAGACTCTCAAGTACGCATGCCAAGTCCTCGATCCGGGAGGGTTCCGAGCAGGCTCCACAGGTACGGGATAACGGTTAAACATTGGCGTGAGTACCGCATGAGACTGGTGGTGATGATTCCAATGCAGTGGGTAGGATGCGCGTCGGTGTTTCGGGCGTTAACCAAATGAGGCTCTCGCAGGCTTGGAAAACGTACGATTCTGTATCCATTACGTTCAATTGGTTGAAGATCTTCTGTTATTTGTTGCTGGATTCGACGTGTGCGTTGAAGATGAACTAAGATGACGGTCAAAGTGGATATTCGTGGCACGTTCACTATAAGACTTCGGAGTTTTGTCAAACATTCTCCCGTCCATCATGTACTATCACACATGCGGTCACACTTGGTACTTTTATAGCGATGGTCAGATTGTCAATGTAAGATAACTTCATCTGATTCGAAATGAGTCGTTATATCTCTAGACATTTCTCGCACTGGCACTTCACTCTCTGCATCTCTACAACTCGTCTGCAGTGCGATAGGGTTCTTGCGTAAAGTGCGAGTCCGACGAAAGAGGGGCACTTCATCAAACATTATCATTCAGAGTCTACAGGAACAAGCCGAGCTTCCTTCACGGTCACGAGCACTCACAGAGATGCATGCCACATATCGATCAGCACTTGCTGCGTACCATTGACGGTCAGCACCCCCAGTCCAACAACCTCATTCATCCACGAGTATGTCGAATTGATGGGCGCTTCGAACTTGGCACGAAGCAGAGTCCGTCCATCTTCAAAAGTCGGCCCCTCTGTCTGCACGTATATGTAGGTTCCGTCATTTGTTTGGAGATTGTACCGTGTATCAGGACGACCTTTCCCCCGGCTGTCCACGAGGTACCAGTCGGCACCGACGTTCAGAATCTTTCCTGTGTATATGTTAGAGCGGCCCAAAAACAGCGAGAAGGGTATTTCGTACCGGATATGCGGGATCCGTTGAATGTACCGCCAATTATGGGAATGATAATGCGTTCTTGGCCAGTAGGCACGGCGCCCATTGACATTTCCGGAGCCAGGTCGCATGCCATGCTGTACAATAAGGTCAACGTCGGCGGCTTCGGCGCATTGTAGGCTAGCGCGGACGACAGGATAGCGCTAAGGATCGAGAGTGGTTGCACGAAATGCATGATGATGGATTGTCTGTTCTGAAAAGAGATGGGTGCATTCGAACAGTCGGAACCTAGAGAGATCATATAAACGAGTATCGCGATATAGATCTCGACCAGGCCGGTGCCGTTAATTTGCTCCGAGAGCAGATCTAGTAAACTGCCGGTAGATCTCTCCGCATTTTTCCCCTCACAAGTACAGATTGTGACGCAGCAACGAGGACCTACGCCGGGCCAAGCAGAATCGGACTTAGAGCTCGAGGTGAAAATGGTTGCGAATCTGACTGAGCACGTGACTTGTTGCCCAAGGCCCGAGGTAGGCCTGCTCGCTTTTCGAATGTCTATCTTAGTCCTGCGTTGCGCGACTGATCCATGACCAGCGCAGCGCGATTCATCACGTAACAGGAGTCTTCAGAGAGTATCGACGATGAAGTCTTGATGTTTGGAAGTAGCCGGCAATCACTGCTGGCTACCATACACCACGAACTGTATTTTAGTTGCTTCCATCGCAACGTCGAGATTCATCGTCTTTCTTGGCGATAAAGGAGCGCTCGCCTCTCTTCGCTCGACGATGGGAAAGGTATGCGCATCTGCACCTGGGCATCGTCCGATCGCGGGATAAATTTTAGCTGGTTCGTCGGCGCGATCCAACAAGCACTCCAGGTCATGATTTTAGAACAACGCAGCAATTCAATGTAGATTCAGGTTCACTGGAAGCTGCAGTCGGGTTTCATGTACAAGGCGTGTTGACTGTTGATTCACAAACTCGTGATGACGCGAGTCATGATGCGGGGAAGTGGAAGTTTCAGGCACAAATTGCTCTCCACTTTCGAAACATCGCAAGAACAAGCAGCCGCGGCTAAAACAAGTGCACCTGGGATGAATTCGAGGACCTCTAGGACCAGCGGAAATGCATGCCACCTGGTTGAGTTATCGACCACGATCCATCCATGCCTTTCCACCTATCGTTTGGTTCCACAGCTTCATATTATGGCAGCCACACACCACCACCTACTATGATGGAATTGTTCGCGTTGCCAAGAACGTCACACTTGCCCACGGACAATTCACGATCCCTAAGCCCGTCACAGGTTGATGTCGATGGCGTGCGCTAACCCCCGGTCTTCATCAAACTCGCGGAAGAATTCCAAGCATGACTGCCACTGCAGTTCATTAAGGCCACCGACATGACATCAAAAGACGACATTGCGCCTTCTTCGTTCCGGTCGCATCGACACAACTTTGACTTTCAATAAAAATGCTATCGAACATGCTGGGTCGATTTGCTTTGCCGCTGGCATTCTTCGCCTTCAGTACGACTCGACTCGGCCTCGATCTACAACAAGCTAATATTCTACAGTCCTATCTCTTGTCAACGGTCTCCCTCTAGAGACGCGGGATGACCTCGTCTCACGTCAGACGAAGAGTCTCCGGATTCTGCCTCTCGGTGACTCCATCACGTGGGGCTTCATTAATGGAGGTGGATCCAACGGCTATCGCGAGCGACTTCTTGCCGACCTAAAGTCCGGAGGCTACAGTGTTGATTTTGTTGGTACCCAGAAGTCTGGTACCATGGCCGACAAAGATAACCAAGGCTTCCCCGGCTACACCATCAGCCAGATCCGCGGTGTTGCTGCTGGAGGTTTGGCTCTCAAGCCCAACGTTGTCTTGCTCCACGCAGGTACCAATGATTTGAACCGAGGAAACCCCGCTTCGGAACCGGACGCGCAAGCACCTCAGAGGCTCGGACAACTGATCGACGATGTCCTCAAGGCAGTACCGGATGCCGTTGTCATCGTAGCCAAGATCATCCAATCGAAGCAGTCCGGTCTCAACGCCAATGTCAAGACCTTTAACAATGCGATTCCGGCCATCGTCGCGGCAAGGGTTTCTAAGGGCTCAAAGGTTTCCGTGGTCGATATGAGCGTGCTCAACACAAGCAGCGATCTGAGTGACAACCTGCACCCGTGAGCCCAGCTATTTATAATTGTCCGACAGCTTCGTGCTAACTGTTGAATAGGAGTGTTGCGGGTTACGCTCGCATGGGTGATATCTGGAACGCCGGAATCAAGGCTGTGGCCAGTCAGATCCCCGCTTAAGGTTCAGCCGTTTTTGGAGGCGCAATTGACGTCCTGGCAGGATCTGATTGACATAACCAGCTGTAGAACAGTGCTCAATTAAGCCTACTAGGATCTTCAATACTTGCTGTGCCCCATTCAGGTGAAGCTGACTCACGCCAGCCTCACCTGTGCTTGAATTAAGGTGAAGCATATTTCTGTCTAAGTTCGGCTTAAACATTGATCGAGGTCAGAGTGCAACCACGCGGCGTATAAATCTTGCAGTAGATTTATTAAAGACACGTAGGTAGGTGTCGCGGCGTGCTCACAGCGTCTTGACTGCCGAGGGCCAGAGGGGTTCTTCGAGAGCCACGATCCTGGAGTTAAATCCGTACCTTGGATTCGTTCTCACGTCTTATGCAATAAGAGTGCGACAATACAAAGCGACCGAAATTGAACCTTGAAACAATTGCGAGGGACCCTCACTGCATGTGTCCGAGAGACTAACGGTGTGCCGTCCCATGTCGGAACCGTGTGCGCGATACCGCAAGAAATAGGTATTGGGCTTTTTCTCTCATGACTGTCACATGTGGACTGAACTGGGGCATGTACAGTGACGCACCGGCCCTGCTAAGCACCATGTCACTCGGCGACACCATGTAAGCGAAAGCTTGCAAGGAACCCTACACTTTACATGACATGATCCTGTATCGAACCATGCCCAAGGTTCTGCAGGCGGTAGTAAAATGGGGGCTTACGTTCCCAAAGCTAATACATGATCAAAGAGGAAGTATGAGTTCTACATAGACATGCTGCATCCCCCAGCCATTGAAGTCTGACATTTGTCCTTGGCAGCGTTTTCCTTCCTTTCTTCCTTCCTTCCTTCCTTCATTCATCATGATTGCTTCAGGCGGCATGAAGCGCAGTTTGGCGTTCAGTTTTGCCTTTATCCTGGCAATGTTCATGGTCGCCCAGCTTTTCGTTGGGCCTGAGCGAACCGTGCAGTCCGTTAAGGACACAACCCACAAGTTCGTTGCGCGACACTTGAAAGAATGAAACTCGTACTTACAGGGTGATAGAATCTACGAGGCTACAAAGAAAAAACCTTTGACTGCGACGCAGTCGCTACAGGCCCTCTGGTCTTCGATCAAGGTTCCTCTCACAGTGAAAACTTACACCGATGCGGACGGCAACAAGTTCAATCTCACTCAAAAGCCAATCTGGACGAAACCACTGGGCAAGGATATCTTGATCATCGACATTGACACCCGACAACCGACCGGTTACAACCAGATTCTTAACAATAGAAAGCTCAACTGGGAGAAGCTCGGTGACGGTGCCTACATGGACGAAGATGTTGGCTTGACCTCCTCTGCCATCTTCAACCACTACTTGTACTCGCAAATTCACGGATACGACTATGTGTTCTTCCAAGCGAAGGAAGTCGGATATCAACACCACACTTGGGTGAAGGTCCATGCCATACCCGAGTTGCTCAAGGACTACAAATTTGTTGTCTTCCTAGACGCCGATGTTACTGTAAACCACATGGAAGTACCGCTAGAGTGGCTGTTCAATAAGTGGAAGATCACACCTGAGACATCCCTCGCTTTGCCAAACGACGTCACCCGGGAAGGCTGCAACACTTGCGATTCCAAAGGACAAGTAATGCTAAGCTCTGGCTTCATGGTTGCGCAAAACATACCGCACACGCACAAGATATTCGATGAGTGGAAAGCATGCCCAAACGAAACAAGATACCCGGGCTGCGGTCAGTGGGCGTATAAGTGGGCGCACGAACAACGGGCACTGTCAGAGTTCCTTCGGTACGATGAGGAATTGAATCCCAACAACAATATCCTCGTAAGTGTTTCGAATGAGTCGCCAGCACTTGCATATTAGGCTAACACGGACACAGCCCCTTCCTTGCGACGACGCCAACGGTAACCCCGAGATAGAAGATATAAAATATCCAGGCATGACGTTCTACTCCGATTGCAAAGGCAACTTCTTTCAGCACCATTGGCTGGCTGGAGGCAAGAAGATGGCAAAGTCTGCGATTGCAGATTCTGTCATGCAATCGATCGGTGAAGTGGTACAACGCGCATTATGGGCTGGGCAGGATAATCTGGTGATCAATCAGACTGCGCAGGCAGTGGCAGACCGGGAACAACAACGACACATAAAACCACAGGAAACACAGGAACTACAGGGCGGTATTTCGGAATAGTATGACTTTGGGAGTTTTGCTTGGGGAGAACGGAGTCAAGGGCTTCATTTGAAAACCCCATTTGCTGCATTTATGATGCGAAGATACCTATTTCTAGACAGTTGATAGATTGCATTAACATTCGATCGTTTTGCGTCTTTCTGTCAACGCACTCCTGCTAAAGAACAGAAATTTATAGTATTTGTCTTGTACCCAAAGTTCTAAATTACGCGAAAGGCAAGTAAGCCAAATGTCCAACCGAAACGCCCCAACAGCTCTAGTATCTTACATCTGCAGTTTGAATATGTCACAAACACCACTCACTCTGCCTTCTTGCTAGCCTTGGTTCTCAGCTTGAAGAGTACATACACCAAAGCATAGCTCGAGATCGCGAAGATGACGCAGATGCCAGCGTCTCTCCATCCATACGAGTACTCGTTGAGGTTGATAGTGCGCAAATAGTCACTACCCCGCGTATACTGACATACTCTGCAAGCGGCCGTCGCGTCGGGGTTGATCAGGTTATTTCCGCTACCAGGACCACCCAGCCATGCCTCTAGGTACTCGGCGCACGTCTGGCCAGAAGGTGGGTCGAATATCGAGAATTCGCGATCTGTGCACTGAATGTTCCAATCCCAGTCAGAGAAGACTAGCAATGAGCCCATTAGGTAATTGAAAGGATTGAGGTAGTACATCCAGTAGCGCCAAAATGGCTGGATTTGAGAATAAGGAACCAGAACACCGCAAAAGGAGATGAGTGTTCCGAAGAGTAGTGGATTGACCAGGGATGCAAAGACAGCATTCGGCGCATACGCAGCGATCAATTGTCCAATACCAGTATAGATGAACTGATACATGAGCATGACGAAGAAGATTGCGCCCGCCTTGTCAGATGGAGTGGGTAGACCAGTGGTATAGTAAAAGCACAAGAAGTAGAGGATGGCGTTGGCGATGAGATAGGGAATCTCGGAGATAATCAGGCCTGTTACGAACGCAATCCATGAGTACATCTTCGACTTCTTCTCGCGTGTTTCGTAGACGTCACGACGCTCGATGAAGAGGGGTTGCAGCTGTGCGATCGCGCCTGGAGCCACGAAGATGTAGTTGAACAACGCGAACAGAATGATTTGTTGTTCAGCGACGGAGTGTCCGATCTTCCAGAAGGAGAAGCCTACGACTAGAGCGACGCCAATGTGTAGTGCGAACTTGTTGTTGATATAGTCGACGTTGCGGAATAAATTCTTATTGCTCCTTTCACTGACAATCTTCACCTGCGTCCAGAGGCTCGTGGCAAACTCGTGGCCATCATCAGTCGTGCCAGGTGGCTTGTTTGCAGCATCCTGGATCATGTTGTCGAGCTCCTGATGCATTCGAGCTGATTCCGGGGATTCTAGCCAGATTTGGTTCCAGTCCTTGCCACTCGAGTGTTTTCCGTGGACGACGTCAATCATGTGCTCTGCAGGGTTGACGCTTGTCGGGCATGGCGCACCGTAGCGTCCGAAGTACTCTCGAATGACGTTCGCGTCATCACCGATATCACCAAAGTAAACTGTCTTGCCACCGCGGGCTAAGAGAAGAAGTGTATCGAATTGGGTGAAGAGCTGAGCGCTCGGTCTTGAGGAGTCAGTGACTTAGCATTTGTCAGATCATGAGCAAGGCTGGAGTAACTTACTGGTGTATGGTTACTAGGACGGCTTGGCCAACATCAGCCAGTTTTCGGAGAAATCGGACAGTATTGTAAGCTGCTTGACCATCCAGCCCAGAAGTTGGTTCATCCAGGAAGATGAGAATGGATGGCTTGGACACAAGCTCTACTCCGATAGTCACACGCTTACGTTGCTCTACTGAGAGACCCGCACCCAATCTTCCAATCAAAGTATGCTCAAGATCATGCAGTTCCAGAAGATCGATAATGGTGTCAACGTAGGCCAGCTTCTCCGCGCGAGGGGTCTCGCGACTTTGACGTAGAAGCGCGGAGAATTCAAGAGCCTCTCGAACAGTGCAGAAGGGTTCGTGAACATCGAGCTGCTCGCAGTAGCCTGCAGATCTCTGAAACGAGACTGGGAGTGGACGACCATCAACCAGGATCTCTCCTCGAATGGTTCCTTCGGTTTTGCGTTGCGCAAGCACGTCGAGAAGCGTAGTTTTTCCGGCACCTATGTCGTGAGTAAGTTAGTAGGAATTCCCTAGTGGTACTGTCATGGCACTTACCTGATGCGCCCATTAGCGCTCCAAGCATGCCAGGCTTACAGTAGCCGTGTACGTTGTCGAGCAGTGTCCTGTCTCCTGTTGGGGTCTTGACAACGTATGAGAGGTTCCTCCACGTGAATATGGACGTATTGCGAATCAAACTGGTCTCCGCCTCATGTCCCGATGCATCTGTACTCTCAGGTTCCTTATTGGCAGCTGATTCCTTTTCGTTATTCTGAGCTTCCACATCTGCTGGTATTGCTAGATGAGTGACCTTCTTCTGATTCTCCCGCGGTATCAACAACGCCCCTCCAGAACCTGCGGTATCGTTCCACCCCATCGTAAACACAACAGTCAAAGCGACAAACAGCACCCACCAAGCGAATAGTATGCCAACATTGCGCCATACATTCGATGGCGAGTACGACAGGCTTGCAAGGTACTGTTCTCCGGTCACCTCCGTGGCGCCTGGGAGTGCTCCTGCGATTCCTGCGCAGGCCTGGTGGTTCTTATCGAGATATTGAGGAAGAAAGTTGGGAACTAAGTTGTTGAAAGCGCACGGTATGATGCGGTCTTTGAATTCGTTTGCCATGAGCGCTTCAAAACCGTAAGCCAGCGGATTAATCCAGTATATCCAGGCGAACCATGGATGCATGGCGGGTTTAGGGATCTGCAGGTGTCATTACTCAGTTACGAATCAAAGTACATGAGTCGTAGCACATGATACACCATGCAGGTGACCTTCGCATTACTTACCTGGTAACCAATGTACAGAACAAGAGCCGTGACTGAGAAGCCAGATACCTTTGACGCGGCATCGAAGTTTGGAAATGCAGCGCCGATCATCCTGAAAAAGGCTGTCATGACAAAGGTTGCCACGTATGTGATAAACCAGTTCGTAAAGAACGCTGCAGCGGTTGCCTTCAGTGCAGTCATCCAGTAGATGACAACGACAAATGTGGTGACCTGGAAGAATAAGATGGGTACGTCGGCCGCAATTTGCGCAAAGCAAAAGGCAGCTGGGTGGTAAAAAGCAAAGTTCTTGTGTTTGGCGAGAATAGGACGTCCAGCGTAGGAGTCTGTAACCTCAGACATTGCCAATAAAGCATTGAAAAGCAGAATGAGAAAGAGTGCACCACCCTTGACGAAAAGGCCAGCCGAGTTATCGGGCGCGTTGTAGAACAATGATCCAGCGATGAGGGCTTGCACGATGGTAGATCCCTGTTTGATGGCAAATGTAGGCTTGTCTCCCCAAATAATCTGGTATTGACGGGTAACACACACTGCGACTTGTTTCCGGAACGAAACAGTCATCGGGGAGTTGTTCGGAAGGTGATCCGACTTATCCATAGAAACGGCCTGCTGGAACATCCCAGTATTGACTTTGGCTTCTTCTGTCGTGGGATAATCGAGCTCGCGGTCCATGATGGGCTTGATGCTAGACTGTTGATAAGCTTGTCGCAGCTCGGTATTGTTACGTGGAAAGCGTGCCTCGAATCCGGGCTTGATCTGCCGCTCGCTAGGCACAGTCACTCCGGTAAGAAAGTCGGCAACATTTGCTCCACTGCCGCATACGAACCCCTGCGATTCCATGAATGGTCGTGCCTCTTCTCGCGATCCATAGAAGACAGTCTTGCCCTCGTCGAGCACGAGGACCTTGTCGAACAGATCGAAGATGCCATTGCCTGCTTGATAGAGTGTGACGATGGTAGCTATGCCCATTGCATCGGTCAGACATCGCAAAGCATGCGTGTATTCGAGGGCTGTGGAAGCGTCGAGACCTCGGGTAGAGTTGTCCCAGCACATGACGCTAGCTTTAGTGCTGAGCGCCTCGATGATGGAGACCCGCTTTCGCTCTCCACCAGATACACCGCGTACAAAGGCATCGCCAACCTTTGTATCTTCTGTATGAGCTATGCCCATGGACTCGAGGAGGAACTCTTTGAATTGTTGTCGATATTCTTCAGGGCTCGAACAGCCCTTGGGTAGCGTCTGAGGTATGTTGAGGCGGGTTGCAAAGTCCATGGTCCTACCCACCGTAAGGGTCGGATAGAAGAGTTCTTCTTCAGTGTTGATCACGATATTCCCACGGTACTGTCCGGCTTCCTCTGGGGTAAGCGTGCCGTAGTGAACATCGCCCTCGATTTTTGTATATCTAAGATTTGTGAGCAACATCAAACACCTGGATTTAAGTTGATCCGACGTACCCTTTCCTCTTATTTGCCAAAATTTTGAGAAGCGTCGTACACCCACTAGACCAATAGTCAGCACTAAATAGACATTGTATACATTATTCGGATCCACCTACCTCCCGGGTTTACCAAGAACAAGAAGCATCTCCCCGGGCTTGACATGTCCTGAACTGGAGTCCAAAATAGTCCTCAGTTTTGGCTTCTGTCGTGATTCCCTAATTTGTTGAGGGATGTTGAACTGGGAGAAGAAGTTTTCTTGCAGACGGGCATCAGACGGCATCACCTCAACGGTGAGATCTTTCCACGTGATACCAAGCTTGCGCCCCTCAGCAACGTCGTTGCCTTGCATCTCTTTGACTTGCGAAGCCAGCCTCCATTCATTCACTTTCGTCTTAGTGGATTCGTCATCTCCTTCATCTAACGTTTGCTGGATATCATCTTCGTGATGCGATTTGCCGGAGAATGTGCGCGAGAGAGCTCGAAAGATGGATTCGCCAGTCCCTGAGCCTATGGACATGCCGCTTTTTGGGCGCTCACCCATGGTGACTATAGAAGAAATGATAATAGGAGAGGAAATTTGGTGAAAAGATTGTAGTAATGTGTCAACTCAAAATGAGGGGAACAAAAGATCAAGTATGATCTGTGCCGGAGAAGGCATCATAGACAAAACGGAGCAAGGTGATCGGAGCTTGTGATTACCTATCATCATAACATGGCCGAGCCGTTTGTGGTTGTACGGATCGGGGCATTCTTGGCCTGAGAACTAGAGCCGCATACACTAATTCGGATGAGATCCGGCGTCAAGGTTGTGGCTGAGCAACTCACGACCCACATAACCCAGTTCCCTTTGGCGATGTGATTAGCTGTGTCGCCATTTGAATGCTATATTGCATGAGTCGGCATCAAGAAATCAGTAATCAGCGTGCATTTGCTGACTGGATCGGAACCAAAAAGTGTTGTACATCCAATCGGGCCTTTCTGGTGTTGTACAAAGCAGGTACGAGAGGTACAAAGGCTTGTACGAAGTTGCTTTTCGGCCGATCAACAGACCACGCTGTGTATGGTGGTGAAACGTCATCTCACTTTGATTCTAGTAGAACTTCAAAATGGCGTTTCTGTTACTTTTCATGATGTTTCAAGGTTCCCTAGGTTTCCAAGGTACCGTCAGTCAAAGTGCTGCTCCCTTTATGTACGAAAAGCCTATCTGATGAAACCGAAGCAGCAACGTCAGTATTTTACCCAGGTCAGTGAAATTTATCACTCCATACGCACAGGATATAAGCGGGTGACATCGCTGCCTGTATGTCCGACGCAACCTGAGACGTCGGTGTTCGGCACATATCTTTGACCGTGGTGAATAATGCGGATCAATACCAAGACGCTAGCCATGTACGAGATCTTACCGGTAGAACCCTGGAACTGCACCGATCACCTCCAGCATTCAAGTCCCGACATTCGCTTCCAAAATCGATATCTCTCAACAAATTTTACAGTAAGATGAGCATAGCGTTCCGGCAACTTCCGTCCTGCCTTGCTATTCTTCGATATACAAGTGCTCCCTCCCACCGACGAAGCTCGCACGTTCATCGCTAGATTTCAGAAAGACGACAGAATTTGAATTGTTTTTGAGTATTTTATTCTTCACAAAAGCCTATTGTTATTGTTACTTGTGTAAGGTGCAATCAGCACCACCAGTAAATTCTCATACCAAACGCGTAAATCCAACACCTCCCAGGACTTGAGCAGTAACTAAAAGCACTTCTTCAAAGCCCTGTCCAGGGTAGGTGTGAGGCGTGTGTCCAAGCAAAATGTAATGTTGGGAAGTGACAGAAGATTGTGCGTGGAATAACTGCATTCTGTAAGACTACTTCGCGGACGTTTTGTACGGATTTACCAGGGGTGTCGTTCTCTTACGCCAGGTCGACTTGTCTCTGTCCATGTACAGATCGTTTGGTTTGGAGAAGCAAACCTCATGATACTGAGGAAGTAGCGCACGGTCCCATGTTGATGGCGGGCAAGGATCAGTGTGAAAGTGCTCGAGCCAAGCAAGCAGAAATTGCTGAGTCTGAGCATGTCCGTTCAAAGAGATGGACGGATGAACAGATACGCCAGCTGGCATTCGAATCACTAGCGTAGCTGATTGCTTTTGGTACAGCTGACCACAGGAAAAGAGGGCGCTGAGATGGCGAAGTTTAGCGAGGCCCCGAGCGATTGAACGCCATGTGCCATCTGTAAGCACCATGCGCTCTAGTTCGACTTGAGGGAGGGTGTTTGCATGGTTCTTGATGAAAAGTCGGAGCCAAGAACCGCTGATGTACATCGATGCGATGCGCAAACCGTTGAGCTGATTGTATGTTGCGCCGGCGAAGTAGTTGGTGAAAATATCGTTGCAACCAGTGCAAAGCCGCAGCACGGGACCCTGCAGTATATCATTACATCCGTAAAGGACGAGATGATCGATGCCACTCAGTGCAGAGAGACTCCGTTGGCGTCTGGACTGGCGGGGACCTGCATGCGTACGTGTCGAGACATCCTTTTCCGGATACAAAGCTCTTTCAAGTGAGACGCCAGTTGCGACAGCGAGTTGTACAGTAGCCCAGACCGTTGAATTACTGCACCTGGCAAGTCTAGGGGCATATGCACGATTTTGTACGGGAAACCGACGCGTGACAAGACATTTTAAATCAGGATGGTGGCTTCGTGGGTCTTATCCAATTCAAGAATTACAATCGAGCGGACGTTTCTTGCTTGAGACAAATTCTTGAAGCATTTAGCTAGCATTACAAGCAACTCATGAGAATTGAGGTGAGCCTCAATGGGCTCACGGCGAGGTTCTGTTACCGTGGAAGTCATCCCTCTGGAGTGTCGGCGGGACTGTCTTATCTGCGATGAGAAAGAGCCAGGCCCTGAGATATCTAGTCCCGCGATACTATCACGGAATTCGGGAATTCGGGAGACAGAGAGGAGATCGCGGATGTCCATCTCGGTGGGTAGTATCGAGAAGATCTTCAACTGACCAGCATAATGTATACCTGCATCATACATGGTTCGATTGTACATGGTCCTGCAGGTCAGACGCAAGGAACGCAGATCATCGTTGAGAAAATACATATTACCGTTACCGTAGTCCCGCAGACCAAGTACCTTGCACACGCCATGAATAATCTCGGTAGGTAGGTCGAGTAACGACATAGCAGGAAGCCTGGTTGTCAACTGGGCAGCGAAGTGTGATCGGGATGCAAAGGGCAATGTGCGGGTGTACGAGGGGTTGACACAAGCTGAGTTGGGGCATGACTGGACGAGGTTGGAGAATTGTCTAGAGGCCCGTTCTGTGAATGTTGTCATGATGTATATGGTGAGAAAGCGGAGGAGTAGGCAAGCGTTTAGTGCTTGCTAAGCATGAAAGCATCGCTCAACAGGAAGCGAATTGAAGCAGGATCGCATCGTTCCAAGAGGACAGCACAAAATTGGCGTGTTACCTGAAAGTGGCGCCGAATACCCGAGTAGAGATCGAAGCAAAAAGTTGAGTGTGACTCGATCTCGAAAGCCATGAAATAAGTAACATGTGCTTTGGATTGATGCAATGGGCCATATCAACCCTCACTACTTTATAACTTCGCACAAAACATCTGCACTGGAACGATACCCCCGCTCCTGTCTGGAGGGTCCCTCGTCGCCACTTCCCTCGTCCTTGCCAGACTCTCCAGCTCATCCAGTCTGTTCAGTGTAGCCTTCAAGTGTTCTTCAAACCCTTCCTGGCTACATATGTCGCGGAAAGCGTTTTGCATCGGGACACTGTCTGCTCTCACCATGCCATTGGCGTCGATGTGCACAATGTTGATGTGGTCAAATGGTTGTACAAAGTCAGCGCGTGTAATGATCTGGCGGGCTTCGTGAAGGGGAATTTCGGGGAGAATGAACTGGTTGGGATCGCGAATGGTTTGCTCGCGGAGGACGAGGGCGCGGGCGAGGATTATGGCTGCAGCCTAAGAAAGATTAGTAGACTACTCAGGACGAGTGATGAAGACGTACGCAGAACTTCTGTTGCTCTTCAACATCGTCGTCCATCGTATCCCCCAAGATCCAGCATTGGTTAAGAAACCATGACTTTTCTCTTCGATTGATCTGCTTGCATGTGTCGAGCATGTCGCGAGACTTTGAGACCTGATTGAGGAAGATCAATCGCCCGCCAACCTGCGCAAAGACCTCGTCTAGTATACTCTGTGGCACATCTTCGTTGTGGAAGCGGGCACGATATCGCCTGAGTGAGTCGAGTACCACGTCCTTACGTACGTCCTTGATATTGTGGACATGCATGTTGGTTGCATGCGGTATCAGACGTTCCAATGTCCAGTGTTCATCCGACGTAAAGACTACGGTCACCAGCTCATTGCTTGCCCAGATTTCGGCTCGCTGTTGTAAGATCTCAAGAAGATGTTTCCCTCCCTCATCAGGCTTGAACAAGTGGATGTTGTTGATGATCATGAGAAGTGGCTTGTGACGGCTCTTCCGCATCGACAAGGCGACTTTCTCCAACTGGTTCAGCGCCCGCTCGATGTCTAGAAGGGGCGTACTGTCTCTTGGACCTCGGATACTGAACAAGCCTCCAATGTAATCCTCATGGAACTCATAGTCGATGGCTTTTCCAAGCCTGGTACGAAACACTTCAAGATCATTGTGTGCTTCGAGCATAGCAATGCCATCTCCGTTCACGCGACGCATAGCTTCGAGTAGCAGAGCTCGCTTGCCTGTGCCGCGCTCACCGATGATCAAGTGATATCTGCCTCTGGTCTTACCATTGACGATGTCGTTCACTACTTCCTGCTCTGCTCTAGGCACCCAGTATTCCTTCTCCACAATCTCCTGCATCTGATCAGGGCCTACGCCATATGCGATGCGCCCAAGCGCAACCCGCTCTTGTGAGCTGTAGCCTGCCGCGAAAGCATTCTCGATCTTGTTTCGTACGGTGCGCTTGTAGAACAGGGAATATGCGTAGCCGCCGAGACCGAGGCCGAGGAGCGATATTAGGGCCACAGTGCTTCCTTCGAGGACGCTTCGGGCAAACTTGCTACGTTCTTGCTTGTCCTCGGGACGTGCAGAAGACTGTGGCGGAACGCCACCAGTTCGCAAAGTTGGCTGGGATGGGATAGGTGAGGCTCGGAAACGTGATGTTTGTCTGCCGAGGGGCAGCAGCAGCCATCCTGCGCGTGTCAGTCTGGTGACATACCGCTTCTCCCCCTTGTGCCGCCTGACTCACCTCGTTTAATACCGTGAACAGTGCGTGGCATTCGTCACGGCCTAGTTGGAATCTACAATGGTGCACAATGCCACGATGTAGTTGTCGTGGACAGTGAAGCTCGAGTGCCTAAGCATTTTACCTTGATCTAAGCTTTGACGTGCCGTGTTTGCCGTGATATGCGTTTCCCCTGAGTATAATCATACATCAGAACTTCGTAAGATGCAAGAACATCTACATTATGTATTGCGCAATGCTACGACACGCATGTATCCAAAGCTTCACGATGGCAGTCTCCAGCGCAGGACGGGGTGAAGTCCGTGGACCCTGAAATTAGTGTCCGGGCCGGTGGGTTGATCTATAATTGGTGGCAACTTCCCCTGAAATGAACACGCGTCCTCAGAAACACAACATTCAATAATTGTATCATCAACGAATAAAAGTCATTTCTACGCATAGACCGATGCAATTCAATGCATCTCTCTGGGCAGGTGAAGCATCATCGCAGCGGATGAAGACCAAACTCATCTTGCTCCGACATCGCTTTAACCCAACCCAGCTAGAACAACCGATCTACGTTCCAGAACGATATCACATACCGTCGGACATCTTGGCGAGCCGTTACTATTAACAGGTGATCGACTAGGTCCACGCAACACGAGAGCCTAACACGTTCTCCGCCTCCGCATCTTGCCATGTCTTCTTCTTCCCTCATGGAGCTGGCCTCCCACGACTGCACTCCAACATGACTACAGGCGGCACATTGCCCTCGACGGGCTCTCGTAGCTCATCACCAGCTAACCCCACATCGACGAAACCTCTCTTGCACCGGCTATACACATCGCACACGCTCTCGACATGGAACTCGCGCACCTTCGAATTCGGCGCCGTCATTTTCTTGGCAGCTATCTTTCCGGGCACATTATTCTTCGCATCGTGTTACGCCCTCTTTCGCTCTCTGGCTGCTGCTGTGCTTGGATCGTGGATTGGGACCTTTGTCGACCGCAAAGATCGACTGGATGTTGTGCGCCAAAGCATTGTGTGGCAGCGCTTGAGCGTTGCAGGAAGCTGTATAGTGCTTCTAGCGATGCTAGGCCACGGGGCAGAAGAGAGGGGACTGGTCACATATGCTCTGTTCACCTTGAGTGTGATCCTAGCCTGTGTTGAGAAACTCGCATACGTCGCGAACACAGTCGCTGTGGAAAGAGATTGGATTATTGTGGTTTCCGACAGTCTCAAGACCGACCGTCAAGACCTCAACAGCATGATGCGCCGCATCGACTTGCTCTGCAAGCTGGTTGCTCCTGTTGGCATTGGACTTCTTGACGGCTACTCAACCAAGATCGCCATCTTGGTTGTATTCGCCCAGAACGCAGTTTCTGTCGCGATCGAATATTGGGCGATCAAGCAAGTCTACGATGCAATTCCAGAGTTGGGAAACAGCAAGGCGTCAGAAACGTCTCAGGACCGTGTCACACCTTTGAGCACGACCACCACGACCACAACACCGACCACCAAATCTCCAGTATCACTCCTCGCCCCATACAAGTCTTACATCCAAAATCCGGCCTTCCTCGCCTCCTTCGCCTTGTCCCTCCTTTACCTCACGGTCCTATCGTTCGCATCACAAATGACAACATACCTCCTTACCCTGGGTTTCACAAGCACCCATGTTTCGCTTATGCGCCTGGTATCCGTCATCCTCGAACTCAGCGCTACATGCGCCGCGCCGTATTTGATGTCGCGCATCGGCGCCGTACGCTCAGGCTTGTGGTTCGTCAACGAGCAACTCATCAGTATCGCACTAGCCATTGGGCTGTGGCTATATTACATCGACAAGCCGCTTATTGCTGGCGCTGTACTAGTCTCGGGCGTTGCATTCTCGCGCCTCGGCCTATGGGGTTTCGATCTCAGCGTGCAGTTCTTGGTTCAAGACGCTGCGCCGGAGGCTTCGAGAGGAAGCTTCTCGGCGATTGAGATGAGCTTGCAGAATGTGTTTGAACTGCTCTCTTTTGCTACGACGATGGTGTGGTACAGACCGGAAGACTTCCAAGTACCAATATTCATCAGCGCGGGTGCAATAGCAACGAGCGCAGCGTGTTTCGCTGGCTTTGTAAGAAAGAGGAGGGGCCATTTACTTCACACTGATCGGTGTGTGAAGAGGTTTGGGAAGAAGGCAAAGTATAGGGTGTTGCCCACGATTGAGGAGGAAGTGGATGAGGACACAGGAACAGAAAATAGGACATAGTTTTTGCATCAATCGAGTTCACATGTACACATTCAACACTTCTGACGCCTCTCTGCACGCCATCCATCGTACTGTCGTGTTCTACGGAAACTGCGCACTAGCGTTAGCGCTCCCGCAATTAGCGCCCTTGCCCAAAGTTATCTCCGTCCAAAATTTTGAGCACTTCCAAACTTTCGCCTACACCACCGAAACGCTATAGCCAAGCACCATGTCGTCGATGCGAAATGCCGTCCAACGGCGCAACCACAAGGAGCGTGCGCAGCCCGTCGAGCGCGAAAAATGGGGCCTCCTCGAAAAGCGCAAAGACTACAAGCTCCGCGCGGCCGACCACAAGCAGAAGAAGCAGAAACTCAAGCTGTTGAGCGAAAAGGCCCGCGACCGAAATCCCGATGAGTTTTCTTTCAAGATGCTGTCGTCCAAGGTGGACAAGCAGGGCAGGAAAGTGGCGGATCGAGGCAACACGGCACTCAGCGTGGACGTGGTCAAGCTTCTCAAGACGCAAGACGCTGGATACATTCGCACCATGCTGCAAATGGTCAGGAAGGAGCGGGAGGAGCTGGAGCAGAAGTTGGTATTAGAGGCGGACGAGGTGCGGGCTTTGAAGGACGGTAGCCGTGCGGAACAGAGCAAACATAGGGTGTATGTGGAGGACGAGGAGCAGCAGCAAACCTTTGACCCAGACTCATGGTTTGGCCGCGGGCAAGATATGCCCAACCAAATTTCACATGCAGAGGAACCCCAATTTGAAGGATACAGCGACGATGACGACGAAGAGGAACCTGCTGCACGCCCAAAGACGATGTCGAAGAAGCAGATTGAGGCACAAGAGCTTGCCAAGAAGGAAAAGCGAGCGTTCAACAAGACCAGAGATCAGGCACAGTCACGCACCGCGTACAAGCTGGAGATGATCAAGAAGCGGGAAAAGGAGTTAGCAGCTGCAGAGAACGAGTTGGAGCTGCAGCGAGCCAAGATGAGCAGCACCGTCGGAGGTGTCAACAAAAACGGCGTCAAGTTCAAAGTGCGTGAGAGGAAGCGTTGAAGAGTCAAAATCATCAACCTACAATTTCAACTACAATCTAGCCGGCATTCTCATCGCCCCGTCGAGTCGCAGGACCGTTCCGTTGAGCATCTGATTCCCGACACATTCAAGCACCAATCTAGCGAATTCCTCGGGCACACCCGCACGTTTTGGGAACTCCATGCTGTTCTCCAAGCTCTGCTTGACCTTGTTGCTCATCATGCGCGTCATTGCGCTATCGAACATACTCGGCGCAATTGTCACCGCGCGAATGCCATGTTTGGACAAATCTCTCGCAAGTGGCAGGGTCAAGCTAGCCACTGCTCCCTTACTCGCGGCATATGAGACCTGCCCCATCTGCCCATCAAACGCGGCCGACGACGCAATCATTATAATCACGCCCCTCTCACCATCTGGTCCCTGCGGTGTCACTTTCGTCATGTGCGGCACAGCTTGTCTGATCAGATCCAACGTGCCCCTCAGGTTGATGTTTAGAACGAAATCGATGCTCTCGATGCTGAGCGGCTCGTTCTTCTTGTCGACGATCAAGCCTGGCATCCCAACTCCAGCGCCGGCGATGACGCCTCCAATTTCCTTGCCTGTCTCCTTGACCCATGCGACTGTGCCTTCGATTGCTGCGGCTATGGCTTCGGTGGAGGTGACGTCTGTTTCGAAGAATTTTGCTCGCGAGCCGAGAGAGGAAACGGTTTTCGCGCCATTATCGGCATTCAGGTCGAGGAGGGAGACGTAGGCGCCTTGTGCGTGGAGGGCTTGAGCGGTTGCGAGACCAAGGCCAGACACGCCGCCGCTGATGATGAAGGTGCGATCTGCGATCTTCATGGCGTAGAGATGTAGGGACTTCGGTCGTATGTAGCTGTAAAATTTGAAAACGATCACGTCAAACCCGCGACTTGGTATGGGCTGTGATGTCGTGTAGCACGAAAGCAACCGCATGTGAATATCCCAGAAGAACCAGCTCCAATACCTCGGCCCAGACCCATCGGCATCCCACCCAGCAAACCTCCGACATCCCACTCCAGATCCGCGCCATCATCCCTGCTCCAGAGTAATATCAATCTCGAACCGCCGCCAACGGAAGTCCGCAGCTCCAGCAGCAGCCCTATCGCCCACGTCGCTCGTTACAACTCGTCCCCAACCTGTTCGACATACCATACGTACACCCGCAACGTCGCCGCGATGACCGACCGCGTAATCGTCGGCTCGAACAAATCCCCCAGCAATCCCACCCCCCTCTCCGCGCCCCAAGAACAACAAGTCCGCGACCTCTACTACAAAAACGTGCGCGCGAAATGCGCTTCGGAGATTGAAAGTTCGTCCCTCCTTCCTCCATCCCCCATTCCCTCCCATCCGCCACTAACAATGCCATCTGCAGCATTCGCCCAATGCGCCCTGGGTCGCACGTTCACCATGATCTACGCCTGCCGCGCCCCCCGGCTCGCAATGAATTCCTGTATGCTGCAATACCAGAATCAAGACGAGCTGGATAAGGCGAGGGCGGAGTGGTTCAAGTTGGCTGGGGAGCGGAAGAAGGCGAGAGAGGAACACCAGCGGCGGCTGGAGGATGCGCGGAGTAAACACAAGGAGTGGTGGAATTTGGATGAGAGTGGGCAGTTGCAGGGGAAGAGGGTAGAGGGAGATGTTGGGGGCAGGAGGGAGGAGAATCGTGTGGATGAGAGGGGGGTTACGAGGGGTGGGATTTATCGGGGGACGTGAGGGTGGGGACATGGATGGTTGATGAAGCATTGATTGCAAATGTGCAAATGCGTAGATCTGGCTCAAGAGGGATGTCTGCAAGATGAAAGTGGGGATGGGAACTTGTCACGAAAGACATGACACGGCATCTTTGTATCATATTGTACATAGTCTTTATTCTTTGGAGATAAAAGCGCCAAACTAGGCGCAGAAGGAAAGCAATTTCGACTCTTTGGTATAGAATAGCCTCATCCGAACGCCATGAAAATGCTTCCCAGCCATTAAACGCCCATCTCAATCACCCCTCAGTCTTCATTCCCTCAGTTACCCATCGCATCCTCAAACTCCTGCTGATCCACCTCCTCTTCCTCGCCCATACCCCCCATACCAACATCCTCATCCCCACCGACCGGCCCTCCGAATCCAACACCCACACTCCCTCCATCGACCTCCATGCTCTCCTCCTCCTCCACCTCCACCTCCACCTCCACCTCCTCTTCCCAGCGCTCTCGAACACCCCATCCCGCCCCGGTAAAACAGTACCTCTCCGGCGGCAGTCTAATTCCAAACTCCCTCTCGACTCTCGGCAACGCAATCCTATTACGCTCGCCCGCCACGTCCGCGAGGAACTCCTTTGGCAGCGAGCTGTTAAACTGGCCCGCCGCGCGCGCCGCAACCGCCGTGCGCAGCGCATTCAGACTCACGCCGCTCTCGTCGTCGGCGTTGGCGGTGCGCTTCTTGCTTCCGGCGGCCTGCGTGGGTAGCGGCGGCTCGTAGGACTGCGCGTCGGACAGGATCGAGGATGTGTAGCGGTACGCGAAGTCGAGGAGTTGCAGCGGCACGCGCTCCGTGTACACGTGCACGCCCATGTTGGCGAGGATCATGTGGATGAGGCGCGCATCACGCGGGCGCTTGGATGTGCCGGCGTCTTGGAGGGATGTTGGGGGGAAGGTACCGTTGGAGAGCTGTGTGTTGGGCTGGGCTTGCGTGGGAGGTGTGGGATTCGCGGCGTTGGGTGCGGTCGCGGGCGGCGTAGAAATGCCATTCTGTAGCGCTTCTGTTGCGACGGGGGACGCCATCTTTGCTAAGGATGTGCGCGGTTGAGGCGCGGGGTGTGGTTGTTCTTTGAGTTTGGTGGTGGGTGAATGGGAAAGTCGCGACAAGGCGCCGAGGTCCGATCTTGGCGGTTGCGGCTCTGCGTGGGGCGGGCTGAGCTAGTGAGTGCAAAGTGTGGGGTGAGAGAGCGTCACAGTCGACACAGCAGAAGTAAGAACATGTAGTGAAAGCCTTTGCGCCATACTTTAGATACATCAGCGCATCGCCATCTTCGACCAGTCTTCAACCTTAGATAACACAGTACTGTTTTGGGCAATTCCAGGCTTTTCGTCTTGTGGCACGCAAAACTGTAACTCATACTAGGAAACGCTATTTTACTACACACGAACTTTCACTGAATATTTGCATTGCGACCATCGCTCGCGTAGTCCCGATGCCTGATTTGACCTATTGACCCTGCAGCAATGTCCTAGCTCTCTTTCGTTTCGCGTGTCTGCCCAACGTCACTTAAACCCACCAATTTCCGCATACTTCCACAGGGCAGCAGCTTCCTCCGACAGACTCTCCTCAATTGCCTTTTCAGGAAGTCGAAACAGCTTCACCTGGTGATATTTCGGCGGGCTTCCGCGCACGCGGTCAGAGTTCAGGTAAAGAACCGTACTGAAGTATGTGATGAATACCTCGAGGAAGTGCTGCACATCGTCTCTACTCCTCAAATTCAACTCAAAGTCATTGCAGTACTCTTTTGGCCGGTCAACATTCCTTATGGCATGCTTTTGTGTTAATCTTGAGAGCTTCAACTCGCCCAAGTACCGTAGCTTGGCTAGGCCCTGGGCAATAGACTGCCACGACCCGTCGGTTAGTGACACGTAACTGACTTCAAGCTTGTTGAGCGTGTCTGCGTGACGTTTTATGAATCGACGTAGGCGCCCGCCACTGATGAATATGCGTTGAATGGCGAGTCTGCTGAGGCTGTGGTAACGCGTGGGCGCAAAGTTTTGAGCAAACAGATCGTCGCAACCATGACAGAAGCGCAGTGCTGGATTGGAACGGCAGCCATAGAGCTGGATCTCTTCTACGTCGATGAATGCTGACATGAGCTCAGTAAAAGAGGGTTTCGTAGGTCGATAATCTTTGATGTGCAAGCCGAGGGGGTTGACTGCCTGCCCCGCAGCTGGAGGTTCTGTGTCACACGGATCAGGCAACAACGGTTGCATTATCAGGCCCTTGATGTAGGGTGAAAAAGTCTTTGGCGTTTGTTGCAGCTTGTCATAACCCCATCTTAACAAATGCTCCGGTTCGATGGGTAGATAGGCGAGCTTCCGAGAGAAATTCGCAAGTTCCATTGAACGGAGTATAAGGTCGTGTCCAAAATTATCCAGGAGTTCGATGCGTTGTAGTCTCCTCGGCATTTCAAGATTTCGAAAACAATCTGCAAGGATTTCCGACGCTTCGTCTGACTCTAAAAACATTCTTGTCCGAATGCGAGGAATCGTGCGCCCGGGCGCGCCGTCCTCATCATCGGGATTGTCGCGGAAGTCATATGGGTCATTGTACTGATCCCTTAGCTTGAAGCGGATTGTCTGTATCATATCTCGAAAGATTGGGACTTTGATGACGTTCAGAAACTTGTCGCACGACTGATAATCCAAAGGCACGGTGCGTGTCGAGAACCTCTTACGGTATCGTACGGTAGCATCGTATTCTGTTTTGTGACGCAGCTCCTGTAACTCTTTCAGCTAGTTTGAATACGCGTGGGCAAGTCTAATTACCTTGCAAGTCTTTCTCAAGCTATCAAAGTCGTGATTATTGTAAGCAAGAACCAGGCTCGGGAATACGTGTTTACGGATGATCAGCCCCAAGAACCTGCATATTCTGCTGATGATCTCGGCTGGAAGTTCATTGAGATGCATCTTGCTTGCTAACAGCCTCTTAATTGTTGATGACGGCGCTAGCTGATTCGCAGTCGATTAGCATGAACAGGAAGGGGTTTGACTGGGCGGCCTTGGACTGCAGGTGATGTCAGCGAGGCGAACCTATCACCAGGCAGGCAGCGGCAAAATTCGCACCTACACGACATGAGCAAATAGTCTTTAAAGGCATACCTGTTATAAGCTTAGGAGAGCCTAAAAATAGGCGCAGTCATCTTTAAATACACGCAGGCTACCTCAGCACCTCCTCTTATTAGGAAGGAGCAGGCAGGAATTTAGCCAACACCTGTTTCCATGTTGGTGCCCCGGGCATACAACCTCAGCAGTTCGGGCTTTACCAGCAAGAACTTGAAAGCATGCGGGTATCAATCAACAACGATTGCTTTCCAAAGTTCACAAGCACTTTCCACACTAAATTTGTACGTATTCAAAAGTTTGTCTCAATTGAACCGCGCTATCTCCTCTCAATGCCACCCTACTAAACCTCCTTAACAAATCCAACCTCAATAACCTTATCCATCGGCACTTTCAAGCTCGCAATCTTCGCGCGCGTGTTATCCCGCAGGAACAAGAATGTCTCTAGCAACACCCGCCTCACCACATTCGTCCCCTTCTTCACCTTCATCTGCTCCTTGCCAATAATATACAGTACTTCGTGATTGAACGCGCGCTCCAACGACTCCAGCCGCGATGATGTGCTGCCGGTACTAGGTGCAGGCATGGGTGCGCGAATAGAAGAGCCGGTATCTGCGGCAACGGGCGTGGCGATGGCAGAAGATGACGATTTCTCGCCGTCTCGATCGAGCGCGCGAGAGATGACATGTTGACGCACCTGTTCGTAGATCAAGGCGGCGAGATCGGGCGTTATGACCTCGTCCATGTAGCCGTGGCGCACGACGAGGCGGTAGCAATTCGTCATTGCTAGTCGGGTAACACTGTATCGATCTGTTGGTGCGACGGAGGGTTGGTCCAGCGGGCGCAGGTGGAAGAACACGATGACTTCAGGCGCGACGACAAGTTTGCGGATGAACTGGGAGAAGATGATGGGCGTGGTTTCTCCGGCTTTGTCGAAGAAGATACCGAAGCCCTGCGCCCGGGACAGGATTTTTCCACCAAACGCTTCGGTGAGCTGTAGGTCGCCGGTGTCGTTTGTTTTGACGAAATGCGTGGTTGGGAAGCGGTCTTCGGCTTCGGCAAACCACTGCTGCTCCTTTCCAAAGCGCCAGAGGATGAAGACACTCGCTAGCACCATTGCCAGTAGGATCGTGAACCATGCGCCATCTGGTACTTTCAGGAGTGCAGAGCTTAAGAACGCGCCGTCCATACTGGCAATAAAGAGCCAAGGTAACAAGACGAAGTATGGTTTGATGCGCCAGACGAGGATTGCAACAAGCGTGACCATGCATGTATCGAAGAATGTAACGAACATGACGCATACTCCGTACGCATTACCGAGGGATGTGGTGTTGTTGTACACAGCGGCGATAATGACTGTACCGACCATAAGGAGCCAGTTCGCAACCGGAACGTATAGTTGGCCGTGATAGGTTTCAGAAGTGTGAACGACTTTCAGTTGGGGGAAGTACGACAGTTTCATGATCTGCGTCAGGAGCTGGTAACTGTTAGCTATGCTTTCATATCTGTACGTTTTTCTTTAGACATACCTGGGAGAAAGTAGCAGTAATCATGGCCTGAGAAGCGACAATCGCAGCTCCAAGCGCCACGATGAGGGAAGGAATGAGCCATCCTTTCGGCACACTGTTGTAGAAGGGATTCGAGAATGCGTCAGGATGCTCGCTGATATGTGCAGCTTGGCCACAGTATGCAAGAAGAAGGCAGGGATAGGCATATCCAAGCCAGCTAATCTGCACAGCGCGTCTAGTGAACGCTCCAATATCAGCGAATAGCGCCTCGACACCCGTGAAGCACAGCAGGATGCCTCCAAGACTGCGCCACCCCTGGTACTGATTACGGATGAGATAGTCAAACGCCCAGTATGGGTTGAAAGCATTCAGGATCTTGTAATCGTACTTGGCAAGGTTGTAAACACCAAAGCCGGCATTGAAAGCCAACCAAACCATGACGATCGGCGAAAAGACCATTGTCAATTTGCTGATACCAAGTGGCTGCAGCACAAAGAGTAGTACAAGAATGGCACATGTGACACCCACAACCGTGGGCTTCGTGATGCTCTCATTGACAACAGTCAAACCTTGAACGGCACCCAGCACGGATTGCGCAGGCGTGAGCACGCCATCAGCCATGACCATAGCGACTGCAAGCACACCGATCGTCTTGAGAAGGCCACGAAAAAAACGGGTGTTTTCGATCGTGGAGCGGACATGTTTGGTAGAGCGGCTGAGATCTTGCGTGAGCTGTCGCTCCATACCTATCTATGGTTAGGGATATAGAGGATACCTAAAGAGAACCCTATACGTACGAACTAAGGTAGCTTCGCGCGGGTCGCGGTTGGAGATATTCGCCTGCTTTGCATTAGCTTCCTGCAGTGTGACTCTACTAGAGCACAACTTACATATCGAGACAGCAGCGAGTAAGTACTAAAGGTACCGCCCTCGCCATCATTGTCGGCTCGTAGGATGATGATGATGTACTTGAGCGTAACCATCAAAGTAAGGGACCAGATGATCAGACTCAATGCACCCAAGAGGTCTACGCGACTCGGCGCTTCCGAGAAAGTAGATGAAAACACGTAGAGCGGACTGGTCCCAATGTCACCGTAGATGACTCCTACACTCTGGTACGCCAGCAGGAAGATCTGGCTGACGTTGAAGATCTGTGCTTGTGGTCAGGTCAAGCCAATGTAAAAAACCGCGCATTTTACTCAACTTGTTTGTGCTTGTAGTCGCGGTCGTCGCGGAGCCCGGCATCCTCGTCTTCTGCATCCTCTAAATCGGCGATCTTGTCGCGTACGTCGATAGAGTGCGTTCTTTTACGTGACAGGGAGTGATGGCGCAGCGGCACGACACCACCGACTCCTTGGGACGAAATAGACTTTCTCGACTGCCGCGGATCTCCTGCGAATTGAATGCTCGTCTCCATGATAGTTGAGGCAAGTTGCAGACGTTGATTTACAGTGGAACAAAGCACTGGCAAGACTTATACGAATCAGCCAGGCTTATCTTTCACGACGCCTCTGCCGGCTGACAAAATCGCAATCATAACAAGCCCGACAAGCAATCCCTTCGTCTTGTTTGGCTGCTTGTCTGTTAGCTTAGCATGGATCCCCACGTGCATTCCCCAAGTCAAGTTTGCGGGATTTATGGTAGGAGGGGGTGGCTATGGGACCGCAACGGGAATGGCTTGGCGCCACAGACTTGTACCTAGACCTAGTCAGCCTCCTTTGACGCAGGTTTTCTACGGGAACGGAAGCGCCTGCAGGACGTCCGCTGGGATCAGCCGAGATGTCGCTGTGTCTAGGCATGTGCTTGTCGAGCTTTGTTTCAACCACACAAAGCCCTGGACAAATATCGTCACCACTCTTTCGGGACGACCTCATGCTGCGCGCACTTCCGTAGCTGACGCCACATGTATGATCGAAATGTCTCTCATTTGTCTCGCGCATACACTCTGCCGCAAATGGGAATCGCCGAGCTCAATTAACCTGGTCCATCACAAGCCAGCGTGCTGCAGGTGCGGCAGGCTATGTCGTGAGTACTACACGCTTGCATCTAGCGCACTGCAAATTAACCGTGACCTCGCACATAATCGTATTCATGACCGACAGGTTGAGCTTAGAAGAAACAAAGCGTGAGAATTTTGTAAAATAACTCGCCCTACCCACAATTTCGTTCCAAAGTCGAGACCGCAATCTGTGAATATTCGCAGTAAAATTTCCGACTAGATGCCGCCGCCGGCCAAACGAAAGGGCCGAAGTTGCGGTATTTGCTTACGGCCGAGTGGTAAATGTCTTTCTGGTCGGCATTGTGGTTTTCTTGCTACCTCTGATCAACACAACTACCAACAGGAGTGTCGAGGTTTGCTCCAGGCTGGAAGACCTTGCCGACTTTGCTATCAAAGAACCAAAGCAGCATTTCGAGCTTGTCTCCGTCTGCAGAACTGTAGACCGGGATGTAGTAGTTGCTCCAACCTACCTGTTCAACTGGGCCTTCCACAGACTGTGTCGTAAAAGGGTGTTTCTCGCCTTTGTTTCCCTTGATGTCCCACCACATGTGCAAAGCCATAGAGCGAGTGCTCCAGGTCTCGGAACAATCGTGGTTGCCAAACGTCAGTGCAAAAGGCTGATTCCGGCTGACAAGAGGAGGCACAACCTGATCAATGATGCCGTTGAACTTGTCGGGTGCAACGTTTTCGCACGATATCAGATCGCCATCGAGCACCACAAGGTCGCTACATTCGTCATCGAGGACAAAGTTCATAACTGCTGTAGTTTTAGGGTCCTTGTATTCGCTCCGAGCTACAAAGTCAGCATTCACTTCTAGCGAAATGGGAGAGGTGTTTTACAATCGCCAAAGCGGAGGTCGCTGAAAACCGTGATAGATGAGGTGCTATTATTGGACTGGATTCCCGGATAGTTTGGGATATATCGAGGCGTATGGTTGATGCGATCCTTGGAGTATGGAACTGCCCACGCCATAGTCTGGAGGATACATGCACTTGTCGAGATGATGAATTTTCACGATCAAAGGAGTGTATCCGCCAGAAGTCTTCCTGAATGACAGAGTGGTCTGGGTCGATTCGGAATGGTAGAGAAAGCGTGTCGCGTGCTGCACGCAGGCAGGGGACATGACTTGGAAGGAAATCGAAGGGCATACTGATACGGACAGGGCGACGCGTGTGTGGTACTCTGGGGTCAGTTCTCTGTCTTGTGCGGCAGTCGCCTCGTGTCAAAGTGGCACCACCATCTCTTGTAGAGGAGCAACGAACCTCTGGACTTATCCACATTGTCGAGGCTGCGAACTTATCTAGGCCTAAATGTCCTGGTGAGACTAGGGTGCTTCTTGGAAATATACTGCAGGTTCTCACCTACGAGGGGAAGCGACCAGTGTGCCTGGAGCTACAAACAGGGCTTTACTGTCACCATTGAAGTGTGGCGATACTGTGTATAGCTTCAGGCTATTCGTTACCCTTGTTTACTTTCCATCGTAGTTGACAGCTTGCAGTATAGACGCCAGGAATGGCTCGTTTGCAAGATCAATGCATGAACGATTCCAACGCAGGGGTAAGATTTTGCAACTTGCTGTATACTGAAGGTCTATCAGCTACAATTTATCATCCGAAGGGATGTCAAGCTGGTGCAACCGCCTTGGGTGCATCATGCAGAGTTTGTCCGAGCACCGCCACTATTGCAAAGTTAAGAGCCTCGCGAATGGGCAGACAGAAGGCATGTGTGGCACGGCTCAGAATCGCGAATCGAAGCGTCCCAGATCTAGAAGACAAGAAAGTATCGGTGAGATATGGTGTAGGAGTGGTCTGTAACAAGTCCCGCACTCGTGGCGGCTTGACCCAGCACGCTAGCTCTGGGACCCACCAAAATTTCCATCAGCGCCATTGTGCTCCTCCCACCCAACTTCACGACCCGCAAACGCAATGAACGCAGAGTCGTATCTGCGCAAGCAAGGCTGGAAGGGCTCTGGTCACTCGCTCGACACGACTGGCCGAGGAATCAAGAAGCCACTGCTCATCGCCCACAAGCAGGATCAGCTGGGGCTCGGCAAGAAAAAGGCTGCTTGGACAACGGACGACCAGTGGTGGATGCGCGCATACGACCAAAGCTTGCAGAGCATTGGCACAGGTCAAGACGTGCGACGAGACCCAGGTGCATAAAGGAGGCGCAATATGCTAACTTAGGCGACAGAGCACCCTCAACCAGATTCGAACCAAAGGCATCAACCGCGGCGGCCTTTATGGCTTCTTCGTAAAGGGCGAAGCCATTGCTGGCACTATAGACGACAGCTCAGCCAGCGCGACAGACGCTTCGATCCCACCCTCCGGCGTAAGTACACCTCCCACTTCTGACTCCGACTCGGAAGCGCCCACGAAGTCTGCGAAGATGACAGACAAGAAGACCAAGCGCAAGCGCCAGGACGAGGTCGAGCCCAAGGAGGCTAAGAAGGCAAAGAGGACCGACATGAAGGGTGACAGCAAAGACAAGGCGATTTCAAAAATACCTTCAAGCAGCGACCAAGCCGAAGTCGATCGAAAGATTGCAAAATTGTCGCCAAAGAAACGGGAGTGGTACGAAAAGCGGGCTGCGGCGAAGAAGCAAACCCTCAACGAATACATCCTCCGACGCGTCCAGAAGAAGTCGATCAAGCGCGCGAAGAGGCACGCCAAATCAGCACCTCCAGCCCCCTTCTTCACTGACCTCGAAGGTGATGCGACCCTGCTTGATCAAGCCACAACCGTCGCCGTGGATGCGACCGTACTCGGCATACAGCAAAACCCACTTCCCGAGACCGAGTCCACGACACCAGACGTCTCCGAGCCAGCGGCAGAGGAAACGCCACCAGAGGCTGCACAGAAGAAACCGCACGGCAATAAATCGAGCGAGAAGGAACGCTACAAAGCGGCTATGCGGGCAGAACGGCTGCTGAAGAAAGAAGAGAAGAAAGCCGTCAAGGCGGAGAAGAGGGCCAACAAGTGCTCGAGCAAATTCGGCAAGAACAAGGACAAGAGCCGGTATAACAAGGGCAAGGGGAAGAAGAAGGGCGTAGTGGCGGTGGGGACTGCGGCGTAGGAGCCAGATGTGTCAATGCTCAGCGACATGATGCGAATGCGTTCCAGCCAGCGTTGAATATTCTGCACGAAGATACCCAGAAAATGACTCAACATGCAATTCACATCCCCAAATTTGTATTGGTATACATCGATGTGAGAAAGACATCTCATAAGCCCAACTCAATATGCTCCAGGCATACGGACATTCGAAAAAGAAAATAAGACATCCAGCAACATATGCAAATCATTTCCCAGGTATATATTTCCCGCTCATTGTGGTATCTTGCCGCTCAACAACCAGGGCCTCTTCTCCCAAAACTCATCCTTGATGATGTCCACATGCTCAATCAGGATCTTGGCTTTACTCCGCTTCTTGCGCTCCTTGTCTCTCTGCGTGCGACTCTGCGGCGCAGTACTTGCATGCGTCCCAGCGGCCCAGCCGCCTTGCTCAGTCATCTGCGCGCGCCCTTTGCTCGTGCTGATGTTAGGTTGTCTGCTTGCCGGGGCCTGTTTGGCAGCGACAGGCTTCCTCTCCACAGGAGCATCAAATGTAGCCTTGCCTTTTGAGTGCGGACTATCCTTCAGCGGCGCGGTGGGTTGGATGTCATCTGCGCCAATTACGGCAGAAGACCTGATAGCGGCGGAGGACAGTGCTTCGACGTCTGGTTGGTAGAAGGGCTGCGACAGAGTGGCAGACACGGACACAGAGCGTGCGTGTGTCTGGGGCTTTGCTGCTGTGGCTGGCAATTCTGCGATGCCGGGATGACTGGCTTCTCCGTGGGGCCATACTTGACCCGCGCGTTTGTGGAAGTCCTCGCTTCCATGCGGTGAGCAGCGGGTAGTGGGAGTGATTGGGCTGGTAGCCATGACCACCTTTTCTCGAGTTCGCATCTCCTCGGCGCGGTTGAGGGGTGGACTGGGCAGTGCTTTGTTAGTACGCAGTGGTGGACTGACGCGTCGGGGCGTAGTCAACCCTGCCGACTGAACGCCCGCCATGCCATACCCCTCGTCAATGCTGTTCTTTCCTCTCAAAGTACAAAAAGAGCGCTGGTTCTGCAGGGAGAGCTTCCGCGGCTTGTTGTTGGCTGGTATACTTGACATGCGAAGAGGGATAGGTGGCGTTTGTTGCATGTTACTACCTGCAAAGTAACTGGGTAGATGAGGTTGGCTAGGTGAGCGTTGCTTGAGAGTTGAAGTCTGTGTTGCACCAGACACATTTGCCATAGTCATTGCAGCCGACGCAGAGTGCGATGCCGAGTGTGATATTTGTCGTCTCTTGTCGGCAGACAGGATATGTTGGTACCCCGAGATGGGATACCCTACTGGAAAATCATATGCTGGCGAAGTGGGCGAGAAGTTGGTACGCGTCGTTGGGTTTGGTGCATTCAAGGACGTTGGAGGTTTGGTACTGGGTTTGAGTATGGGTGGCGAAAGCGGCAGGAGCGTCAAAGCGGGAGGATGTTTCGCGGGACCAGAAGTAATGTAGGAGCCGTTGGTTGCATAGGTCGCTGAATATGGCGGAGAGAGCGGCATTGTACTGGATGGATTTGAAGAATTCCTCTCACTGACTGGATTAGACCGAAGGGGGTTGGGCAAAGTTGGTCTTGACATGGCCTGAGGTGATTGCGGAGGTGAAGGTGTAGAGGCTGGCGAGAGGAATGTCGAACCTCTGTCGGCTACTGGTGACTCAGTTTGGTCTGGCAGGAAGGCAGCAGTATTATCGATAGCTCTCCTTGAAGATAAGCGTTGGGGCAGAGATGTGGCCATATTCGTGTGTTGTTCTTGAGGCTGAGCTGCTGACACTGCTGACTTGTCGGCTGATGTGGAAAAAAACTAGGACTGTCAGACTTAAGAATTACTCAAGCACTAGCATATGATATGAGAATGGCTTACATCGCGGTATAGTACAGTGCCTTTCTTGAAACATTCGGGTTCATTATTGTAGTTGATGCCAAACTCCTTGAACAGTATCTCGTTCTTATCAGCTGAGTAAGTGCCGGATAGCTTCTGTTCAGCCGCACGCGGTTTCCATGCCACCTTGCTGGACAAGGGCCCAGAAAAGTGGTGTTGTATAGATTGTTAATATGGCCTGCATCACTATCAGATAACTGCAATTGGTCCAAGATGCATTGCAAAAGATATATTTGCGTGAGCTCCCCTTCGGTGGGTTTGAGCGCCATGGTGATGTTGCTTGCAAGACTTACAATCGACCTGTCGCCAACTCATATAATCTCGCAAATTAAAGTCACTTGGGTAGCATACTGCACGCCCGTCAAATGAAGGTAGCGGCGCCGTAAGCGGCTTGTCCGGGAAGTACTGCGCCCAGAGAAAGACATAGTAGCTTGTAAATGTGGATGTGATCGTCGTAGTCAGTTTGCTATTTTTGCCTTAGTATCGTGTACGATAAGCGATTGCATGAGGTTGCGTGCACGGATGAGGCAGCTCACATACCTGGCGCGTCGCTCAAAGAGGACACAGTCTTTGTGGAAGACGAAACTACAACACACGTCAGCTAACTCTGTACGGACCAATCGCCGGCTACCCCTGTAGGGTGCCGATCAGTGGTTTTCGGCATTGGTTTGCCAACACGTGAACGTCTCAGATGCGCAGGTGCAAGATGAAAGGTCTGAACGTACCTAAATTCGTCGCTGTTTCCGTATGCGAGCACAAGATCTGGCAAATCCTTCATGACAGCCTCAGCCGCGGCGTTCATGAGATCAAGCGCATTGCGGTCATTTGGCTTTGTAAATTTGTATTTGGTTGTGAGTCTAGTCCGGGGTATTAGCTAAGGTACTATAGGCGTTCATGCGTAGTCTTAGCCTGAGGCCGCGAAATCATATACTGTCAAGACCTTCCTCTTGTGACGGGTACCTGCAGTCCCAGACACCGGAAAATGACAACTTGGCTCGATGATGGAGAAAATGCAAATAACAACATACTTCGAGAAACCACGTCCATCGATCCTCACCACGATCCAGGTGTTCGCCAAGAGGGTATCGGGCTGCTCAAAGAGGCGCACATATTCGTACCTGAGTTCGTCAGCGCAGCCCGTCGAGCTCATGCAGGTGAAGCTACCCCACCCGGCGGCTGGATTACTTACTTGGAGTTAGCCATGGATTCCCGTGCTGTGCCTGAGCAATATCTGCTAACAGCATTACTTGCGCTGACTGGGACTTTGCGCGCGAGAAGGGTCGAGAGGTGACAGTCAGCGAGAAAATCTTCGCCGGTCAGACCGCACCGTCTGGTTATGAGTCCTGGAGATCCGGGGCTAAGCTATGGTTCCGCTGTGCGCGAAGACGGTGTTTCAGGTTCGCACATGTCATGCAGCTAGCACCGTGAGCCTTGGCGGCCGAATCTAGTGCGGGAAGGCGAGTATCCAGGTGGGATACTCCGAATAGCTCTTCATGCGTTCAACTGAACGCGGTGTGGTGTTGGCTGTGATTTCTTTCAGCGTGGGTATGGGCTCCACTTTTCCTTGCGGAAGATCGCCGCTACGGCAGCGCCCCTGCCATGTCGTCGCTTCCCTCTTGTCTGTCGCGAGACCATCTTCAACAGACACCTCGCCACGGCCAAAATTGCACGCAGCGCAACACGTTGCATCGTAGAGCAGTACGAATCCATGTATACACGCTCTCAGTGAGATCTTAGGCTACCATGTCAGGACGCAACACTGGATCTGCCCCGCAATGCACGAGCCGACATGCAGGGAAACGAGCTGGAACGGACAGTTTCATCTTCCCAGGAACCCGCCATGCGGCGTCTAGCGGTGAGTTAATCGCGGCTAACTGGCAAACTGATAGCACTTTTCTTGATGTAGTCTGCTCGTAGTCTCCTCGGACATCAAGCTTCATGCCTGAGCGAGAGCCATGGCCAGACACGCTCAATACACCGGTCCACGTTCACGCCGATGCATGTCCCCATGACCAAGGTGTCATGACGCACATGCCAAACACCAGTCCTTGCGCATAGGCGGTCCAAATGCCCACTCACCGGCTGCTGGATGTTTGCTTACTGCTCTGTCTGCAATCTTTGCCGTCCCGCACAGGATCGTTCCGTTTCCCAGGCGCGCAAGTTGGAAAGTGGAGCGAATGCCCGAAGCGTCCTTGAAACACTACAAGTACGGACTGCGTATTCTACGCCGTCGACCTGTCACCTTTTGCCTTGCCTCGAAGGTTTGATCTTCGGCACCAAGGCTTTCCGGAGAGTTCCTTCGGACCGAGAGTTTATATCACCGTACCTGAGAGGGAACCAGGTACAGCCCTACAGATCCTACGCAGACGACAGATGTAACTTCTTTCTGGATCTCATGGTCTGAACTCTACCGCCTACCCGGCCACTGGAAGGCTGTGCTGGTGAGCCGTGATAGCTATGCCTGTACCACTTCAAGGAACGAATGACAGATCATCTGCGACTGATATTGTCGCATAACGAGCGATGAGAACCGATTCGACATCGTGATCGGACTCTACCCTGCTTGTTTCTCATTGGGCATCGAGAGCCAAGACTTCTCAAAGAGTCTTCTGCGACTTCAAGTACGCTACCATCACCACATGTACCAGGTAGTCGGTCTCGTTCCCGAAACACTCCCAGTTTCTCTCTCGTCCCGTGAGCCTATCACTGTCCACCTTGGTTCATCTTTCATGAGGCATGACATGAGTCTAGACTTTTCGGGGTCTAGAGAAGCACGTTTGCGACGATAACCGCGTCTTCGCACGTCGTTCAAGTTTCCTCTTCCGCTGTTGCAAGGTACTACAGTCCATTCATCATGACCCTCAGTTTTACGGCTTCTCCCCCGGAAACACCCGTCGCAGATCTGACCCATCGACACCGTACGTGGAGGTAGGACCGCGATGCGAGACGCACGTCACATCAAAACGCAGCCCAAATTGGCACACCTTCTACCAAAAATCTTGATCAGACTACACAAAAACGTACAGCCCAATCTTGGCACGCGCTCAGTAATCGTCAATCAGTCCATATTGTAGAGTTTCTCCTTGGCATATGCACTCAGACTAGGACTCTGCTCTTGGCATCACAGTACACCCCGACCATGCTAGCCGTCGAACTTCACTCAAATCGTGCTAGCCGTCGATTAGTCCATCATGCAGGAACTGGAAGTCCCGAGGATTTGTTATACGCAAAGTCTGGGCTCATTTGGGAAGTTGTGATAACCTCGCAGCCCGGAAACATGTCCGCTCATTTTCATCAGCGCCCAAGGTTTGCCAGCAGACGTGTACAAACAGGTAAGAGCTTCAGCCAAGAAATGTGTGGCGCAAGTTTTGATTGAGAAACCTTACGATTCGTGCTGAACATCCGCGTCAGAGGTTTGCTGTGTGTGGGCCTTGGTTTCGAGGCACTGCGCCGCAGGATCGATTGCGCCGACGGCCGCAAACAGGAGTCTCGGTTCCGGAACCCTCAGCAAACGATAAACGATATAAACGTGCTGCTGCATCTCGCATTGCATAATCGCGAGTCTGGCCCATAAGTCCGTTCCTGGTCCACTGACTCAGCAAACGAGCAACAGCACACAAACGTACTGCTGGATCTCCCATTGCATCATGTTAAGTTTGGCCCACAGGTCCAACACTTGTCGACTGGGTAATGCACAGCGCAACCAAGACGACTGAGAAGTAGGCATAGGCTGGGCTGCGACTACTTGGACTACTGGGGGACGTCTCCGCGTCTGATGACAAACGTTTTGCTAACAACCAGACTCACTGTACATGTACGTTTAACGGTCATTTCCACGTGATGCGTCAATCTCTATTAGAACGTCAAAGTGAAACAACAGAATCTGATCACAAGTAGGCAAAAGTTTTGCACGTTGACCAGTGCACACTCTCAGGTTACAGAAATAGCGAGCTTCGAGAACTTGACATCCAAAACCGCTTTCCTAGCCTTTGTATAGATAGCTCTCTATCTTGGAAAAAATTAAGTGGAAAAACATTCCCAGAGAATATTCGCAGCTTGCTCTACTCATCTTCCTGCTTTCTTAGACTATTGTCGCAGTCTTGCTATACTATGTTATATCTCCCTTGATCTGTACCTTGAGAGGCACACATGGGCGAAGCCTGGCTGCACTGCAATCTTCAGCGCGAAGGAGGAGGGTACGAGACGATGAAGCAGGACATATGGCACACCCTCTCGAGCAAGAAAGAACTGTTCTTCGAATCAATGTGTTGAACCATGATAATCATTACCCTTATCTAATCCATCTAGACATATTCTTCCAAACGCCATACCAATGCCATGCTATGCTATGCAACAAGGAAATCTCAGAATACCTTCATCTTACTTCCTCGGACTCGCTCTGGGCGTAGGCACTTCATCCCGACCATCCAAATCCAGTCCCCTCGCCTGCTCAACCATCTCTGTCGTCGGCGTGACGCCCTCAGCCTGTAACATCATCTCCTCCTCCTCCAACTCCTCTTCATCATCATACACTTCACCCTCAATATATGTCTCCCCATCATCCCCCTCGATGCTCTCCATAACAGAATCGCCCAGGCCATTATCCTCCATATCGAGCGATTCGCGGGAGAGATAGCTAGCCTCCAGATCCTCGCCGACTTCAGAGCCTTCGTCTTCGCTGCGGATACTAGCCGCCTCGGTGCCCTGGTCGTCCTCATCACTCTCGCTCTCGCTGTCGGTGAAGTCCTCGATATCGAGCGGCTTGTCACGCCAGTAGTTGAAGTCGGTGTATCCCTCGCCGCCGGCGGGCACGAGCAGGCCGACGGGCGGGAAGAAGTGGTCTACAATCTCGCGCATACTCGCGTATCCAGTCTTGTAGGAATTGAGGGAGAGGACGTCGAGGCTAACTTCGGCGTTGGAGTTGATTGTGAAGATGCGTGTGGATGGGATGTTGACGCTGCGGTACGATAGTGCGTCTGTGAGTCTGTTGCCGAAGCCAGCGTAGAAGGGTGTTTGGTGGCCTGGCTTGTCGAAGAGCAGCATAATGTCGCGCAGACAGGCCATTTTGAAGACTTCGGGTTTGCGGAGGTAGATTTCTCGGCGCAGCGCGGCGATGGTGCGGTCGGGACTCATTATCACGGGGCCCTTGGGGAGGCGGTAGTTGTCCTGTACCACGCCATTCAGATAGGCGCGTGTGGTGTCTGCCTGGCCCACGGAGCGAGAGGTGAGGTAGAAGATGTTGTATCCGTTGTTTACAATGTCGGTGTACAACTTGGCGACTCCTTGATGCGTCCAGTCTCGGCCGATCATGGTCAGGACGTGGCCCAGTGCGTCAGACTTTGTAATGGTGCCGTCAATGTCTGAGATGACAATGGGCACGTCGTGCTTCCAGTAGAACATGTACGCCTCACATTTGGAGCGGTTCACTGTGAAGCTCATGGTGTTGGCGCCAGGCTTCAGGTTGAGGGCCTTGAGCTGGTCGCTGGTGAGTCGGAGCGTCTTGGCATAGGTCCTCGTGTCGCCCTTGGATGCCTCTGGCGAATGTGGTGCTGACATGCCCAGGGCGCTGTCCGAGTCTCTGCGGTAGTTGGTATACTGTGTCCCGTCATCGCTCTGGTTGCTGTCGCTCTGGTAGCCGGGGTCGGACACAGCAGTGGTCGAGCGCAGGGCTGCTTCGTTGAGAAGGGTCATGGATGACTTTTGCATGGCTGCTGCCTTGGCTTCTTCGCTACTGTAGATCCACAAATTGCCATTCTCGTCTGCTCCTATGAGCGCACCGATGTCGTAGTCACCGGCCAGCTCGTCGGACAATATGTTCCGCGCAATAACTTCGGCCCGCAGCGCCTCCTCTTCACTGGTCTTGTAGCCTGTCATGTCCAGCTCCAAGTCTCCGCTATCTGTGACTTTGTTCGGAATGTTCGAGGTGAGAAGCTTCTGGGATAGCTTCAGGGCGCGCGCGAGGGCTTCGCTGGGTGAGACGGGCGGTGGACTGGCTGAACGTGTCGACCTGTTCCAGGCCGTGGCATCCTTCCTGCTGACGGTGAGCGGCCCGCTCTCGCTGTCGTCGTCGAAATTCCTTGCAAAGCTCTCCTTGGTGGACGGCAGCACGTCGTCTGTGTTGGCCCTGTGGATATGAAGGCCCGACCAGTCCCCCGATCTGGGCCTGCCAAACTCGGCTTCCTCGTGCATCATGTCCGAGCCGGGAATCGACATGGACATGCGCCCCCGCCGTCGGCCCATGCTGCTGCCATCGAGATCGAGGGGGTCGGGCTCGTCGAAAGCCTGTTCGGACGGGAGCTCGGTCGGGCGCTGTTCGGGACTGGAGGCGGGTGACGCAATAGGCGAGGTCTGCATGTCTGCGGGGACAGCGTCGGTTGTCTCGAAGACGAAGAAGGCCTCGCCGCCCTCGCCCAGCTTCATCGACTTGTCTTGCAGCTCGCCATTGACTCTGAACTCGACCTTCTTGTCCGACGGGCGCAGGATCTGGTACTTTCCGAAGCGGACGTGGAAGGGCGAGCATGCGAGGGTGCCGTCTTCGCGCTCGACGACAATGGCGTCGATGGCGCCGCTGAGGGTGGCCGGGTTGATTGAGTTCCAGCCCTTGCTCACGCTACCCGTGATGGATCGTACGTAGTTCATGGCTGCGCAGCCCGGGGGCTGTTGTGGTGTTTTGCTCGGTGGTGGTGGTGGTGGTGGAAATATGACGAATGCGGCGGCGGGTAGAGGGTTACGGCTCAAACTGCCCCGGAACGTGTGAATGTGTGTCGAGGATCGTGTTCGGATACCGAGGCAAAAGAGTCGTGTTCGCAAGGATGGTCATATACCTATGACGGAGGTTGGGTCAGGTCAGGTGCCGTGCATACAGACAGCTGAGCGCAGCCGATTATGAAGAAAAGGAATGCTTTCGCTTTCACGTGTCTGAGGGCAAGGTCGCACCTGCATGGTGCACCAAACAAATGTTGGGACCGCCGAAAGGCTCAACCGCAGCTGTTGCATGATTATGCCGCATAGCCGATAGAGAATACACGGACAGTTGACATGCTCCTGGCATGTGCAAGTACCTGACTAAAAGGCCTCTCCCGGCGTGTCTACCACCCATTGCAGGTGGCGTCACGCTTGGCACGGCACAGATTGCTTAACTAACTCTGGCGCGAATCATGCCGCATATCCACTTTGACCTCCACGTCCACCTGGGCACTGCACGACTACTTGACCATCTTTGAAGACGGCATCCGGGCTGCGACGCCTGACCACATGCCAACATGTCTTCCGAACCCCTCTCGTCGCTCTACTGGCCGCCGGACGTCGCTCGCTACAACATGGAATCCGTCCTGCACTCGTCCTCGGGATGGCTGAGGACCGCCTGCATTGTGTTTGCCCTGTTCTGGTACGCAACTTCTGCATAGTGTCTCGCGTGTAGTCGCTAATGCGCCGTCAAGGGTCGCCTTTCGCGCCTACCAGGTCCTGTCCCAACCCGTGGAGAAGCTCGTGCAAGTCCTCGGCCTCGAGGTTCCCGTCGCGCCGCTCGTGTCGCTCGCTGGCATCAAGGCCGACGGCGTACTGCTGCACTGGAAACCGACCGACCAGCGCTTGACCGTTCTGAAATACGTCATAAGGATCAACGGCATTGACAGTGGGTAGCCATGGAAGGCACACGAGCAGCACTAACAGGCCACAGTCGGCGACATATCGCCCCAAGAGACGTCCATTACTATCGAAAATCTGCAGCCCGACCACCACTATGTCATCCGCATCGTCACCCTCAACTCGTCCAACTTCCAGGCTCCCAGCATCCCCATCCGCATGCGCACCCTGCCTGCCGACTCGGATCAGTACTACAACCCCAACGCGCCCAAAGACTTTCAGGCCCCCACCAACGATGAAAACTACACGCCCACGCCAATCATCCGACCGAACAAGAGCCTCGCCGACGTCGTACCCCCATTTGTTGCGCCTGTCATGACACGAGAGCACAGCAACAGCATATCTCGGCGGAGACCGGACACGGGAAGAAGGAACTCGCCTGCATCGCAGACCTTGGATCAGGCTCGATCAGCTCTCGAATCTCCCGAATCAAGCGACTCTATTCGCCAACTCACAGAAAAGCTGAACAGCCTGAGACAAGAGCTGGACGACGTGGAACGCCAGATCCAGGACGAGGATCAGGATTTCGTGACCCAAAAGGCAATTCTCATCGACAAGCGCGACGACAAGAAGGCGGCGCTCAAGGAAAAGGAGGATGCTAGCCGTGATTTGAGAAAAGAGGTGGCAACACTGGAGAGGCAGAGCGCATCGGCGCAGACTCGTCGCGTCCAGCAGGAGAGGGTGCTGCGTCAGAAAGAGGCCGAGAGAAAGAAGCTCAAAGACGACGTTGCGAAGTGGACGCGTGAAGCTGGAGAACTGAAGGAAGCTGCTGAGCGCATTGCCAAGGAGCGCATCGAATACGAGGCTTCGTCTGAGAAGCGCATCCAGACTGTCAAGGAGAAGCATGCCGAGGAACTGCAAGCGAACAAGACTCTAGAAGACGCTATCCGCGAAAAAGGCATCCAGATCAAGGCGCTTGAGGAAGAGAGGCACGCACTGGAAGAGGGCCAAGAGGGTGGAGAAGCTCCGGATGGCAACGACAACGCTGAAAGAGAAGAGGACAATCGATGGAAGATGACCCTGGGTCTCCTCCAACAGCAATATGCACAGGCCTGGACCCTCTTCATGGAAGCGGAGCGTATCAGTGGCGAGGCTTCTACCCGACTAAACTACCTTCAACAGCGTCGCATGAGCCAACCACAAATGTTCACTGGACCACCAGTCCCTGAAATTGGACCAGTACGCAGAGGCAGCCAGCGGGCGCGGCCTCTCTCTATGCGCGAGGGCTTGTTGGCCCAAGCGACTGGTGGATTTGTGCATACGTCAAGTGCACCCTTCAACACTATACCCACCACATCTTCGCCCTCGTTTGCGAACATTACACCCTACTTCAACCCTGTTAATGGCATGGCTTTACCCCCACCACGAACTCACAACTCATCTTTCTCTCAAGCAGACTTTGAAAGCCTGACTGGCGGCGCACCTATGAGCCCAACAGCTGGCGCCCTCTTGCCCGCTGGTCTCTTCGCCGATGACCTAGGCTTGACAGACACTGAAGATGAGAACGACCCTGGTCCGCCGCAAGCGCCTTCACTTGATCCATCCCCGAATCTCAGAAATGTGCTCCCAGGTCTCGGTGCTCCAGGAACCATTGATCGAAGCCAGGACCCCAGCTCGCCCATATCCCAGTCTAGTCGCCCACCGAGCGCCTTTGCAAGTCCCCGCGAAAGCGCTGGCGAACTACAAAACTTTCCGAACCCGAACCCCGACAACATCGAAAGTGACAAGCGTTCGATACGTTCCACATCAAGTTCCTTCCAGATCCCGCAGGCGAGCCGTTTCGGCGGTCTATTCGGTCTTCATAGGCAACGCGGCAAAACCTTCTCTGATGATGGGCCAGCTCTTGGCTCACTCAAGCCATCACAGAGCCAGTCTCTCCCGCGACAAGATCACGGTCCAGATGGTGTAGGGGGCTCACGACGCCGTGGAAGTCATTCTGAAGGCGCGTGGTATGACACATTTATTCGCACAAAGACTCAGCCAGTGGAATCATCTAGTAGTCCTAATCATGTCACGACGCGTAAGCGTCCCTTCAACATGTTTGGCACGAAAGCTGATCCTTGGCTGACATCAATGCTAGGTTTTGAGAAACCCCCTTCGCCGCGCCAAGGGTCGACCAAATCTGGAGAGGGTACGGCCCTCCCCCGACCTTCCACTGAAAGTCAAACTCAATTCGGATGGTCGGTAAACGCGTTTGGGGCACGAAGCAGTCCACTTGGCGTCGATTGGAGTGTCAACAACACCAATACTACTTCCTGGTCACGCATGCCATCGCGACGCCCATCTGTCCAGTATGGCTCAACGACGAATCTAGCCAACGAAAACTTCCATGCCGACCTCCTGGACTTCCCTTCCAACACCCGATCGCCTACGCAAGCGCCGATTGGTACCCGTCCGCAGTCTTCGGCTTCACACATGCCGCCGGTATCTGGTCATCTGCCACCTGTTCCTCCAACACCGCCACGGCTGAACCCGGCTGCGGCAGCTTTTACCATTCCCATTCTTGGTAAGAAGACAGAAGAGGACAAGGCTGAAAAGGCGAAGCGAGCTGCGGAGAGGGCAGCCGAAAAAGAAGCTAAGAAGGCTGAAAAGGCTGAGAAGAAGGAAGAAAAGGAAAAGAAGGCAAAGGCTGAAAAGGCTGAGAAAGCAGCTCGCAAAGGAAAAGAAAAACTGACCGAGTCTAATGCGTCCATCACCAGCGACTCGAGAGATGCCACATCGCCACACAACTCACGTGTTTCCCGCGACACGCCATCTATAATCTCAACAGCAGACGCCTCGGAAGCTTCGCCCCGTGAATCACTTGAGCGTAGCGTATCACACACGCCTTCAGAGCTCAATGCATCTATCGGAAAAGAGTCTTTCATGCAGAAGCTGACCCGCAAGGGCAGCACCAACCAGTTTCTGACACTGGGCATGAAGAGCACTCTCTTCTCGAGGGCAAAGGCCACTGACGCACCTGGAACTCCAGAGGAGACGAACGAGGACAGTGGTTTCTTGGGCTCGGGTCGCGGCACAGATAGTGTCGGAAACAGCCCTAGCATTGGTATGCCAAAGGATAAGACGAGCGCTCTTAGTTGGAGCTCTATTAAGAAGTTAGGCAAGAAGGACAGGACACCGAGCTTGCATGAGAGCGTCGCTAGCGAAGCGACTGGAGACGAGGACGATCTTGTTGCAGGAAGCTCGAAGGCCTGATCTGTAGATAGTATGAGATGTCTAACGACGTCAGCCATTGAGGCCTTGAACGTATCCACAACGTTTCGCTATTGATCCAAAACCTGACCGCACTACTCTAGCTCCTGATTTTGAACTTCAACCCACATTAATATTATAGTTTCGACGCCTCGTTCAACACTTGATCAATCTTCTTCTCTAAATCTGCACCAATTGCCCTCTCGAGCAGCACTACAAACACCCGCCGCTTCCTAGTCTCTAGGTCATGACCATCGCCTTCTCCAGAGTTCAGATCAGTCCACCTCGATTCGATCAACTTCTCAATCTCCTCTGCTCGTTTAGGCAACCCCATTCTCCCCAACGCCGCTTGTGTTCTCGCATCAACGAATGGAAATGCTTCGTCCCATTGCCACTGCACTCGTCGGTAAAATATGTCCAATCCTGTCTTGCCCAAGCCTTTGACACTCCGCCTCAGCACCTCGCGCTCTGATTCTACACCATTCTTGCTCTGCGCTCGCAGCTTCGACAAATCGTTGTGCCAGTCGTTGTTTGAGACTGCTTCGGCAAGCAATGAAATCTCGTCTGCTGTCTTGTCTTTGTGCTGCGTGCACGCAGCTTCAAGAGCTTTGAGGACTTTCTTGGGGCCCGCGGTCTTGATGGCGAGGGGATCTCGCAACGAGTAGGGCTTGTTGAGAATCGTGCGGATTGTGCGGAGTCCAAGGCGGTGGGAGATTGGCCGGGAAAGAACGACAGCGCATAGGAGCTCTTCGAATGGACTCAGAAGTTGAGAGGAGTAGGTGATCATGTCTGCGCGATGGGATTCGATGTCTCTAGCTTCGTCATCCGGGCGGCAATATTGTAGCGCGGCATCCGACAGGAGGTATTCGAGAATTTGTTCCGGAGTTGCTTTTTGATGTTGGTTTGGCAATGTCTCGAGTTTGATCGCTTTGATGATTCCTTTTGGCGTCGTGCTCTTCTTAGACTCATCACCCGCTGGGGACTTGTCCTCGTCCTTTCCCAAATATCCGCTGTCCACCTTCTTCACCTCTCTCTCGTCCATTCCATTTCTCACACCATGTCTTCTCGCCGCAGCTCTTGTATCCTTTGGGGGCATGTAGGTACGCGTCAAATTTGCATGCCAAAAGATGTGGTTGTTGCAGTGAAGGACGTACGACGCAGACATGGTAAATGTAAGTCACGGGACTTGTAGACTACATGCAAGCTACACCATGATGAGGTCGTCGATAGCACTATATATCCAAGGAACCTGCTCAGGGGATGTGACGACTGGGCGTAAGCGTAGCCTCGCCTCGGACCTGCATTAGTGTTTCGCTTATGCTAGAGCCGCGTTAGTGCCGGCATCGTGGTGAACGCCTGGGTTTCGAGCTCTCGTTGATCAACATGCCATGATCGTCAGGCCCTGTGGACTAGAGCCTAACTCTTGCAGATTATGAGTTTAGGCCCATGATAAGGTTTGTCATTCCGCCAAACGACCCACAACATGTCCGGCCTCGAAGCGAGGAGTCTCGTGTTACATTGAGGCGGGACAGAATAGCCCCAAACGGTCCGTCTATTTGCTGTTCCTAAGCCGCAATCTCGTAGCGCAGTTCTTCAGCAAAGTTAGTTCTTCTTCAGACATCCGCAGACATCCGCTGATGACACGGTACAGCGAGCATAGCATTTCAAGATGTACTCCCCTTGTGGAAGCCGAGATTCAATCCTCAGATAACTCTGGAGTCCGAAAAGAGAACTCTGTCTCTTGGTTTGAAGTGCTCTTGATCGACGAATAGACCATCCAGTGATTCCCCCCATAATTCTAAGCTGCTTTTTTGTTGTAATCGGCCCGCCTTCGGAGAATTTCGACAACACAAGCTCACACCAAGGGCCGATGAGGAAAAAGTAACACTTGATCGCCAAAGCATTCATGCACGTATTGTTCGTGCTAAATACTGCCTCAAGGTTTACATCAACCTAGTTACCGTAGGTATCGATGATCTGAAGACCAGGATTCGTGGAATTGCAGGACTCCATGCGCTTTCAATTCCTCGAAATGCCAAAGGGTCTCGGGATCGCGAAAGCCGATGGCTGGGCCTGAAGCAGTACGTCACAGTCTGAGCTGTCACAGATAGGGCATGATTAACTTTGATGTCGACTCCATTGCGCTGTTATCATTCATGTGACTTCACATGCCATGACTCCAGATGGATGCCGAAAGAACAAAACAAACCATTCTCCTCTAGCTTGCATGTCCCCGTACGTATGCTTGAGCCAATGGAACGGCCTTCCCCATCAACATAACGCGTTAGAAGTGTTTCCACCATTACATTAAAAGGCAGCACCTCGAGGCATGATTTCATCAGCTTATATGATGCTTGAGAGACTGACAAATTGTCGAGAAAAAGTGAAGGTAAGGCTACAAGGCGATGTGACATATGCATTGTGGCGTGGCGATCAATTTGCGTCGAGGCAAGACATCTTCTTCTTCCTCAGATAATACAAAGACAGTCCATTGTAAATTCCGAGCATGAGGGATAGTGCCGTTGGATCGATCATCCGACAGCCACGTTGAAGGCGGCACGGAATTCAGATGTTCGACAGATGGGGCGATAGTCGCCGTTGGCGGTGTTGATGACCTTTGTCAAGTAGTTGCGGCCAAAGACATGATGACATGGTAGCACGCGAACACCAAGATGGATCTCGTCGTCTGGAACCTAGCAGAAAGAGCACTTGTTGTCGTTGAATGCATCTCTGTTATTCCCCGGGATGATGTTGTTTGCGATGAGTGTGTTTTTCTCTGGGCCGAAAAGAGTGTCGAACATTGTGATATGTATCTCGGGTGAGACGTTGCAGGATGTAGTCCGGTTGAACTATGATAGAAGGGCCTGAGTTAATGACGAGGGAGCAAACATGTCCGCGCAGGATCCAGCTGTGTTCAAGAGTGAACCATGGTTGAGATTGACATTAGCTTACTAACACCCAAACCTCTGTTCCAACAAGGTGCGAGGGGCCTACATAGGTATATGCTTAAAGTGCGTTTCCTTTCGTCATCTATCCACCGGCTCGAAGAAGTATTTGTGATGACTGCAACTCAGATACACCGAACACGTTGCCCATTGCTCCACAGGCTTTTCAACAGCTGTCAAAAGCTCTTTCCAATCAAGATCTTCAATGGGATCTGTCAAATCCCTGCCACTCAGATTGCTCGTGCTCATGGCACATGCTTCGAAATACCGCAGATTGCCAGGCTGCAAATGCGCAAGGCGCGAAACCGTGGAACTCCAACTGCCAGCATGCATGACGGGATCTTTCAAAGAGAGCAGTATGAGTTCAGCACCGCGTGAGGCAACAAAATCGAGAAGCTGGTCTTCTGAGTACCACCAGGTGCCTCGTATGGTTAGATACTGCAAGTGCCCCATAGGTCTGAGAAGGTCTAGGAAATGGTCCATGGCATCTGCGCAATACTCGAAGTCAGTGACTTGCACCATCGACAGCGTAAGATGCGTTATGTCGCTGAGAGCTTGGAAAGTATCAATCAAGCAGCTGTAGTAAAAGCTTCCACTTTCCATGAGATGGGCAGGGTTCATAGGCAGTCGTAGATGGCGTAGACTCGATGCGATGTTGATCTTGTCGAGCGTCCTGAAGAGCTCGTTTGGTGCCGGGGCGTTGTTCAGCCCAAATCCCAAGTCCTGCAAGACAGTCTTTGTAGACTTCAGAGCATCGAACACTGGAGCAAGACAGGTCAGGAGATCAGTAGTCCTTAACTTGTAGTTGTCATCGGTGACTGAGAGCGTTGATGTACTCTTAGGGAGCTCCCTGGCAACGATCGCTACTATACCGGGGTCAAGCCACTCCCCGAGATAATTGATCATATCCCAACTGTCAAGTAGAAGGATGCGCACGTTTCGCAAGTTTGATAATCTTCGCAAGAGCTGTGCTAGGTCCTGGGTTTGAAGGCTCGCACGGTGACTTCGATGCCACCGATAATCGTCCGTATAAGAGGCACGAAGTCTGGTCCTGTGCGGCTCGGGCAGCGACTTAAGAAGGTCTCGCACGATGGTAACTTCGTCAGATCGAAAAGTTCCGAGCGTGAGTTTTCGAACATGAGGTCGCAAGCTCGTCGTGCTAGCAATTGCGAACAAGTCCTCTAAACCGGTTTGAGTGATACGAAAGACCCTGTCTCCCAGTGTCTCGCCAAAGGAAGGGAAGCTGCTGTTGTAGAATTTGCGACTGACGAGTCGAAAGTTGCATATATCACGGCGTGAAGCGACAGTGTGAATCAGCCAACCATCTACCCCTTCTTGTGTCGTTTCTGTCAGGCGGTCCAAGGGTCCATCGCTGACATTCGATTGCTGTAAGCCTCGTATAATAACAGAGATGAGCTCGACTGGGAGGCGATCCATGGCGCGATACTAAACGTTTCGAACCACGACGGAAACTGATAGCGTGTAGAAGCAGGCAGCCAAACAATGGTCTGAAGCTGTATACACGGATTTTCTATCGCGCAGAAAGTCTAGCAGCAATGTGTACAGCTTCAGGAAGTGAATTCGACGGCAAAACCCTGCTTGCGTCCTATCGTAGTCTGCGACCTGTGGCGCAACCTGTGGATGTGTCTAAGTCAAATGTGGAAGCATTTGGTGGAGGTATGTAGCCAGAAGGCTTTGGATAGGTTGAAATGCAATATGATCGGCAATTTTGGCTAAGTCTAGGTATATAGCTACAGTTAAATAGACTACTGTGGCAAGCCGCCCTTCTTTGCCCTTGTTCGAGTCGGCAAAGGGCTAGTGAAGGGCGTGCTGGCCGAGAGACCACAGGATCAAGCGGGTACAGTGATTATGTTCGAGAGGTTCAGCATATGAAGTCATATACGGATGAACATAGCAGTCTGAAAATACATACCGCCACTATGGTGGTCTCATCAAGTGATTGTGCCCCACTCTGCGCGAGCCGCGGTTCCCCCGCACTAGCGCGAGCCGCAGCTACAAAACTCCATCAGCTCCCCTCCGCTCTCCCTTTTTCTTTCCAACGGCCTGCCTTTCCAACGCTGCGTTTCTTTGCATACACATACAGACGCTTTCACAGTTGTCTTACTACGCAAATGAGAAATTCGGAGTAATCTTCACCTTTCACACCTCAGGGTGGTACTGCCCGTAAGGGCCTGGCGTGACTCACGTCTGCACTCGGCATCAGAAAGCTCAGGGCCCAGGAAGCGCATTCTTTGCGTGGAACTGGTGTCCCTATGGGAGTCGGTGCGAAGATTGTGTGCCGCAGACTTGCAAGAGGACGCGGTGACACTGTAGTACAATACGCGGCGTACTTGACCTCGAGTAGCTTCGGCGAAAGGGCGATGGGTATCATTCGATTCTGATTACTCGGGCGAGGCAGGCCGTTCAATCCTTTTTTTCTTTACGTAAGTCGCTTTGAGCGTGGAGCCAGCTTCGGTTCAAGGATACTGCTAACGAAGAACAATAAATAAAACACAAAATACAAGCGCCAAACACTTTTCGCTATCGTTGCTTCATGACGCATACTCAAGTCGGAGTATCCGTCTCCGTCGGAACCTTTTCCTCCTTCGTGTACATCAGATCCGTTCGCATCGTCAGCTTCAACCCACGTATAACGTCGTCGCCTGAATGGAGGAGATTACGGTGCTGGAACATAAGGACTCGTCCGCATTTTGGAGTTACATCGATGCGTTCGCGCATGTTCCAAGAATAGAATGTCGTCGCACCACCCTCGAGCGGCTCCTGGCCATCCTTTACGGAATTCCGGGTCGTTGAGATACAGATGGAGAGTGAAGTACGAGCGTTCCTCGCCATCAGGCGTTTCGTAGCAACCGTCACAGTGCGCTGCACGGTCAGATATCGTCTAGTAATGCGAAGCTTTGCTTGCACATACCCTTGAAATACTCTCCTCCAACATACTTGAGAAATCTCGCGCGCTCGTTCAACCGAGTGACTTTCCACACTTCGTTGCGCTTTGCTGGGCCGTTACCGGTGATGTCAGCCTGTTTGTACAGGCTGTGGATCTCGGGTACACTTCCCTCTATCCTTGCCCACAGCTTCGCCATGATCTCCTTGGTGTCCCATATGATACGCCCGCATTTGCGTGTATCCTCATACATGGCTTGCATTCCGCCGCCGATATTAATTAGTGCTCGGGCCCATTCTCCGTGGGTTGTTGCTTCAGCGGCAGCGACAAGTTGCTCGCATTCTTCTTCGCTCAGGACGCCGTCGAGTATCACTGCCCATTGGCCGTCATACTCGTGCAGACCTTCCTTGGCGAAATCGATTTGTGACCGTTGCAGGTTGCGTGCGGGACCCTCGAGGAAACCTTCGGGCAGCGTGTACGTAGAAGCCATGGTTGCAGTGGATATATCCTTGCCAAATGCTACTCTTCAATTCGAAGTCTAAGTTCTAAACTCAGTGTACTCCAAAAGTGGCTCTTATGTGTGGATGAGAAGGCTGTGCAAGCTGTTGCCTGGAGACGCTGTGGATCATCCTACCATTGCGCCAGCTACGCTCCGCGGTATACCCCGACTGAGTATGCGGAAGCACAATGAATATACATGATGTGAGTCAAGGGTACAGTCAAGCAATGCTGAGAAATCGGCCCGACGGCGATCAAGTCGTTGCCATGCAGGCACGGCATCACGTGATTGTTCGATTTGTGCAAGCCCCGGAGATCCACCTGGCAGTCGCGTTTCAGCTCCATGGTCAACCGTACCAACGCTCATCACGGAATCAACGCGTTGCACATCCCGACTTAGACTGTCGCATCGATAGCGAGACGTCAGATTCGTTTGCCGGCTCAAAAGCGCGATCGTGCAAGCCACCCGCTGCCCGGTTCCCACGTTGCTGCGCCAGTTGCTGCGCCAAGCAAACGCTCCTTCACTGCTAATCTCCCGAGTTCACCTTCGCTTCCAACCAGAACGAGTTTCAACCGCCTCACCACCCTCTCGCTCTCGTCACTCGCTCGCAACTGCCCCGCTTACGACGACCATTCTTCGATCCTTGCACCCGCCGCGCCATCCCCAAGACACGACCACCATTCCTCGATCAACGACAATACTGTGCGCGCATCGATAGCACAACATAGGCCAACACCGACACCATGTCGCACGATCACGACCACGCTCCCGAGCTCTCTCGCAATCGGTTCCCAACACTCTTCGAGGTGCTGAGCCGCAAAACAGTCGCACCGCTCGATCTCTTTTCCTTCTACATCTACATGCGCGACTCTCAACGATCTGTAGACTACCTCGACTTCTGGTGAGACAGGCAGCCAGCTCTCACTACTGCGCAACACTAACAGACGACAGGCTGGATGTATCACAGCACTTGCAGTTGTGTCGACTGTACGTCCGCCGGCTACATCGCTCCATGATTGAAGAGACACCGGACCCGGAGAAGGCGTCGAAGCGATCATCATACATCCTCGACAATGCCGGAGAAGGACCCTCGAACAATGAAAAGACAACCGGTGACAACTTGTCCGACCAGCGTCTCTCTGCGTTCCTTAGATCGGACCGCGGAAGTCGCAACCACTCACCGCAAAACAGCCAGGGTAGCAACCTGAGCGGTGACCTGCCACGACCAAGTCTCCAGATGCTTGCGACGCCCGGTGACTCCAGCTCGCCCGGCCAAAACTCGTCTGTCGACAATACCCAGCCGCGAAGGGAGGACCTGCGCGCCTCGGCCGAGAAAATCCTGTACACCTACCTGCTTCCAGGCTCCGAACGGGAGATCATCATTCCTCAAAGCATCCTGGCGGAGATTCAGGACGCCATCGAAGGCCCGGAGCAGCGAGCCGATCCTGAGCTGTTCGACCCCGCCAAGGACTATGTCTTCCAGGCGATGGAGCGAGATGCCTACCCAGGATTCTTGCAAGCCAAGGGTCTCGGTAACCTGGTCACGCAGAGTATGATGCTGCGCCTTATTATCGGGCTGATTAGCTTCTTCGCGGCCGTCTGGGCTGCCTTCATCCTCATCTTCCTGGACAAGTCTCGTTCGACACGATGCTGGGTACGTTTGGAGAGTATACAACTTGACGCTACGGGCGACTAACAGATGCCCAGCTCATCCTGCCATTCACGATTGCCATTTATCTCATCTTCACGCACCAGTACATGCTTGATCCCATCATTGCTCTCGCGGGATATAGCGAGTACACTTTCTTCGACTTCAACAGGATCCGCGAACCGTTTGTCCGAAAGACGCTCAACAGGCGGTCACTTACGGTGCTGGTCATGTTCTTGCTCCTTACAACAGCCATTTGCTGTCTCTTCATCTTCGTCCCAGGAAAAAGACTGTGAGCATGGTCGTCTTGTTTCCTTTTGTTTGCGAATGTATAATGTCTACTTGAGCTGCCGGCGTTCTCAGTACCGAGTAACAAGCGGAGAAGTGGGAGACGTGGCACGGCAGTGCGTAAGCGGGCACACAACCTTGATACCCTTCGCCCTTTGCTAGGTCGCGACGATCAGCCTGATCACTTTTCTTTGTTTTGGTAGGGTAGGGTAAGGTAGGGAATGGTATGGTATGGTTTTGGCTTTTGCATGATTGTCCTTGTTATAGCACGGAGTTTGGGCGATGGGGAGATGGTGGACTTTCACGTAGCAGTACTTGGGTGAAGCCTAAACATTCGAATCATTCTTGACTATGTTTGCGATGATTGTGAAACGCTGCGTATGCATATGTAGTCGATGCAAGGCTAATGTCAGGAGCCTCTAAGGTGTGGAGATGCTGCACGTGCCAGCTGCGGGCTTATGACGTGCACCGAGACGTGAACCTTGTCAATCGCGAAAGGAACATTGAAGCTTTCGACGGCGACATTGCGACCATCACGTTCAGCGCCTTTCCACTCGAGACAAGCATCCGGAATCATTGCGCGTAGATAGCGAATCGTGATCAGGTGCTATCCACGACGACACTCGAGCGCAGCTCCTCCCCATCGACGCGGAACGAGCAAGCAAAAGCAGCAAAAGACTAACGTTAAAGTCAAGATGAGCGGTCCAACCGTGAAGAGCAAACGCGGCCCAACCGTCCTCATGACCGACACTCGAGATGCGCCGCCTCGCGGGGCTCTGCAGCGCCAGCCAACTTCAACTTCAACTTCACAGAGAGCTCCAGCGAAGCTCATTTCAGTCGACAACATCCTGCAGTACGCCTCGGACATTCCCTCCCAACAGCGCCGCGGTCCGCCCAACGCTCGCCCGCTCAATCATACACGCACCCCCAGCGGCCGACACCCTCTCGACCCAAAACTCGCCGGTCGCTTGATCCCGGCGCACATGCCCACGAGATCCAGCAAGCTCAGCGAGAAGCTTGTCCTGCTGCCGGAAACCGATGCCGAAGAGGATGAGGACGAGAAGGGCGAGTTCGATGAAGACGAGTACGAGGGACCGCCCACAGACGAGCTTCTCGCGCGGCGGACGGCCAAAGGCGGCCCCAAGGACAAGAGCTACGCAGAACGGCTGCCCAAAGCCCGCCGGACGGACAAGCTCGCGCGCGTCACGGCCTACTGCACCGCGCAAGCCTACAAGATGAAGAGCACGGCCGAGTTCGTCAAGGACCAACACAATGCCCGGACCAAGCTCTACGACGACTGCCTCTACACCGTCTACCACCTGCCCTTACTCGCCGGCAGCGACGGCTACCGGGTGCGCAGCAGTCCTGCGCTGAAGAGCCCCGGCGGAAAGACAGTCCTGGACGAAGAGATTGAGCGCAACGAGCAGCGCGACCACCACGAAGGCTACTTTGGCGACGAAGAAACCTACTTTGTCCACGGCGACGACATCCACCCCGACGAGCAAGCTGCCTTCGATAGTCTCGCACCGCACCAGCCGCGACTCGAGCGAGAACACACGTGTCGCGCCCAATGCCATGCAGTTCGGCGAGATGTTCGTCTTCTCGTACGGTGTTGCTGTATTCTGGAACTTCACCGAGAAGCAAGAAAAGGACATCCTGGCTGACTTGACCTTCTCGTCCACCGCGACTGGCGTTTCGCTGGCCTCCCGACCATTGATCGAATCCGACTTTGAGACGGAGGAATTCCATTTCGAATACAACCCCGAAATACAGAGACCGAGGGTGTACAACGACATGATTACGCTCAAGAGTGGCGACCACATGATCAAACTCGCCATGAGCCACGCCATCGCCCAGAGCACCAAGCTCAGCTTATTTGAAGAGGGCATGAGCCGGACTATGCTCGCCGCCCAATACGTCCCCAAACGTCTAGCCCTCACAGGCAACCTGGGCATGAAGCGCAGCGACGTGGTCAAAATGATCGGCTCCCTTTTCACATCTCGTGTAAACGTCAATCTATGTAAGCTCCCCACTCCACCCGCCTTCCTTCATGCTTCATCCGCTAACCCCCCGCAGCATCGAATATGCTCGACACGCCCAATTTCTTCTGGGACTCTGAACCCACTCTGCACCCCCTCTACACCGCCGTCCGCGAATACCTCGAAATCAAGCCACGCATCCAGGTCCTCAACGAGCGCTGCCAGGTCTTCCTCGACCTTGGCGAAATCCTCTCCGACAGCATCAGCGACAAGAAGATGACGCGCATTACGTGGATCATTATTGTTCTGATTGTCCTGAGTATTTGCATCACGTGTCTCGAGGTGCTGCTCCGCTTTGCAATTTTGACCAAGCAGGGCAAGGGCAGGGTCGCTGATGGCATGCCTGTTGATGGTATGCACAATAATGCATTGCAGGGAATAAGTCCTCCAGCGCTTGCGGGGCCAGGGCTACTTGCGGCGAGAGGGATTGTTTGGGTTGGGGGTGGAGTCAAGGGGTTGATCATGTGAAGATGAGGTTACAGAATGAGTGTGTATATAGGTTAGTGGTGTTGCTGAGCATAGCGTTGGCGTTTTGGGAATCAGTTCTCCAAAGAGATCTCAGCTTTTGGGTTTAATATACTTATTCACGAACATTAACCGCTGGTTCCTCGCTTCGTATCAATGTCTTTATAGCTCAACCATGGCAGTTGGACTTCTGCCATTGACCAAATGTTTCCGAAGCCCTAGCGGTGTCCTATGCAGAGTACAGGATAGGTTGAGAATGGAGCGATCAAGCAGAAATCCGATGACGCGGCCACATTGTGTCTTACACATATACCAAAAACTGTCGAGAAAGTCTTATTCCTGCTCAGTTTCCTCCTGTTCTGACCGGCTTTCTTCTTTGATCTGCTACTGAAGTTGTCGATATTGTCCTCGTCTTCTTCAGATAATTCATTGTCAGTATGTTTGTTGGCTGTTCTTTTGTAGAGATTTTTTACAGCCGTTTCTCTGTCCAAAGATCCTTGGTCTCCCGCCTGAGAAATAGGATGACATGTGTTAGTGCTCTGCATGTTCTCTTGTTTCACGTCTACATGCCGTTAGGCGATATATGGACCCCTCAGAGATTACGTGAGATCGAGGTAGCACGATAAGATACCTCGTAGTTTACAAATTGACGTCCCACTTCAAGCTCGAGCATCGTGACGAACTGGTTCCCGCTATAGACAAGCGACAATGTTCCGCACCCTTGCGCTTCGATGCTTTGACGGCGCCACACCTAGACGTCACGTTCTGACTTTCTGACTATCACCACAGATTACTCATTATACCTGTAACAAGAAACTTACTCTTTTTGGTTTGTGTCTGCATCAGCCCTACGGTGTCATCCGAAGACTGAAGGATGGTGCTGTGACAAGGTTGTCGTGGTCTGTCAGCTAGACGCTAAAGTATGCCTCACCCCTCACTCCTGTTTGCCTACCAACCTCCGGACAGCATCATTGGGGTACAACCCTTGCCTCCCTCCTCACCTTTCATCCTGTATCGTCAAATAAATATGCCAGTCAGCTCGTTCGTCTCACGACAGCTCGACTGAAGATCTGCAGCGCGCAGCGCCGAGCATGCATGCTGGTCAGGCGCGTCTCTCTCGTGGTAGGCGGAACGAACAACGAAGCAAACGCGTGATGAAATTCCCATGGAAAGGGGCACACGACCCTCTCTATGACAACTGGAATTAGGTGAGGGGCCTGTGATAGGTTGCTGTTGAAGAGGGCGAGCGGAGTCGTTCCCGATTCTACTCATCACACCTGCTCACACAGTTGCTACTCTCCATACCAGTGGAGCACTTGAATATGCATCGCATCTCACCCGACATTAGAACCTCTATTTAAGCTCCTCGCTTAGACGGACCGAGGCTGTTCTAAGTTGACCAGGCGTTTCACACCGCAGGCTTATATCCGATACTACCAATAACCTTCTTTCGCAACTTACCCCATAGAGCTCCGGTCTCTCACGCCAGCGGTCAAGCGGATCTACACATGATCGGATGTCCTTAGTAGTGCAGATCCGGAGCAGGTAGTTTACATTTAGGTCGAGATGAGATTATGATGGGCAGGTCATGAGGTAGGTGGTTACTTCGACATAGTTGGCGCCAACTCACACAGCCTTGGTGACGGGCAAACACTGGATCATGGTTTACAACACATATAAGCTCGAGCTGTCTCTGTGTCCTGTCGGTTGAAGTCCAAGGGTCATTTCATCAAAGTATAACAACGTTTCAGCTCATCTCCGCTTGCCACGTCAAGACCCGACCAACCACAACCTCGTTCGCGCCTGCAAACTTGTCATACCCTGGCACGAGTCAGGCTATTTACCACGCGGCGATCAGCAAGGGACGTCTTACCAGTGTTCTAGCCTTGATCGCGTTTGTTGATCCCATCTCATTTCCCTGCATTTCTCGTACCTTATTTGGATTCCGTGTCACCGCATCTCTCAACTGCACACTTCTTACAATAATTTCTCAATACTGCTTAATACAACAATATGATACTTGCGCGGGCTCTTGCTGCGCTATCAGCCTGCGCTGCTGCACTTGCAGCTCCAGCTCCAACGTAAGTTACGATGTGGTCAAGTTTTTAGGAGGAATGCGATTTGCAAACGTCGCAGCTTCCATCACAAGAATGCATATGCAAGTTCGGGTCACTAACGAATGACAGTGAGAAGCGCGGTGTCAATTTTGGCTGGGGCCAAGAGAAGATACAAGGCCTTAACATTGGTGGTTGGCTTGTTTTGGAACCGTGAGTACAAGGCGACCAGAAGGGGGAATGAAGGCTGATTGTGCGACTCAAGATGGATCACGCCCTCAATCTTCGAGGCTGCAAACGCAAACCGGCCAGCAAAGGACATTGTCGATGAATACACATTGGGTCAAAAGCTAGGGAGGGATGCAGCTCTCCAGGTTCTTCGTCGGCATTGGGATACTTGGGTCAGGTGGGAGGACTTCAACAAGATCAAGCAATCTGGATTCAACGTGGTCCGCATTCCCATTGGTTTTTGGGCCTACGATACATTTGGCTCGCCATATGTGTCTGGAGCAGCCCCATACATAGATGCCGCCATCGACTGGGCTCGGGGCCTGGGTTTAAAGATTATCATAGACCTTCATGGTGCTCCTGGCTCCCAGAACGGCTACGACAATTCCGGTCAGCGAACAGACAACCCCCAATGGACCACTGGCAACAACGTGGACAAGACAGTCCAGGTGTTGAGGACCATCTCCCAGAAATACGCGCAGACCAAGTACCAGGACGTCGTCGTTGGCATCCAGCTTCTCAACGAACCAGCTCTTTACCTCTCTCAAGTGAATGAGGATGCCACTAGACAATTCTACCGTGACGGTTACGGCCAAGTCCGTCAAGTCTCCGACACCCCCGTCATTCTTCACGACGGCTTCAAAGCTCCAAACACGTGGAACGGATTCCTCACGCCTTCCGACAACAACGCACAGAATGTTGCAATGGACCATCACGAATACCAGGTGTTCGACAATAACCTCCTGCGCAAGTCGCCACAAGAGCATGCCCAATATGCGTGCAGCAACTCTGAATCCTACAACGGTGCTGACAAGTGGAGTAAGTAATCATCAAACCCCCAGTAATAACGATGCTAACAGGTAGTTCAGCATTCGTAGGCGAATGGACCGGCGCAATGACCGACTGCGCCAAATACCTCAACGGCTACGGCCGCGGCGCACGCTACGACGGGACTCTAGCCGGCAGCTCTTACATCGGCGCCTGCGGCTTCCAAAACGACATTTCGAAATGGAACCAGACCTTCAAAGACAATACCGCCCGATACATCGAGGCCCAGATCCAGGCGTACGAATCGAAAACGCAGGGCTGGTTCTGGTGGAACTTCAAGACTGAGGGCGCAGCGGAGTGGGATGCATTCCGCCTCATTGATGCTGGCGTGTTCCCGAAAATACGGAATGGGCAGGTGCAGTACAAGTTCGGCAAGCTTTGCTAGGAGCAATGTGTGGAGGGGACTGCGCCGTGGTTGAATCTGACCACGCCGTACACCGGCACGATTGTACGTGGTAGAGATGGACGAAATATATATCGAAGCGCGAGTAATTACGCGCAATGAAAAAGTTTGATCATTCGAAAATGCTTCATGTCTCGAAGATTGGAGGATGCACTACTTGTTCGTTTTGACGCCGGCTCGACTTTGAGGTCTAGGTGAACATGTACCAGCCAGGACGCATGCTTGTCAATCCTCAAACAAGTTTTCGACATGACTGATGAATAGCTGCAGACTCTACCTTTTAGTAGGATCTGTGGAAGGGGGAGGAAAAAAGATACAGGAGTAATGTTCCGCTGTGCTTTCAGTAAAAACGTGGCATAACAGAGTGCAATGATGGTATATCGACGTTCATCTTCAAGGTCGCAGAGTCCCACGTTACAGACAGAGTCGAATGTACAAGGCGTGTTTTCTTCAGTCTCGAGATTCGTGTCTTACTTAGCGTATCACACTTATTTGGTCATGTCCATGAATGGAGGTTGTTCCTTCGATCGATGAAGATCTTTTCCGTGTATCGCTTCCGAATTCTGATTTCGTAAATAGTGGTGTTGCATGTAGCAGCCATATTTCGTTTGTTATAGAAAGCTCTCTCGCCCCAGGGATGTGGATTGACAAGCGGCGAACATCGGCATTGTGGTTACAGGAAGCTTGGGTGCGGTGCTGTTCCGCACTTGACAGGGCTGAATATTGAAGGAGTATTACAGTGTAATTATGCTGAAGAAGTGTTGAGTTTCTCAGCTGAGTGATGATGAGCACTACGTGAGGGACATGTGATAGATTTGTTGCATGTAAAATGTATATTTCGTTGACATGTGAAAGCGTTTGAGGAGCGAGACTCTCCACAACCCCAGGAATCGGTTGGTGGCGGGCTAACGATTCCCTGCCTGCCTCGGCAACAGCCCTGGAGCGACCCATGAGCCAGCTTCCTTCACACATTCACTCACACTGCCATTATTACTTTCACTCGAATATTATAGCACTATGGCTTCAATCTCAAGATCACTCAGGCCGCTTCTGCGTACAGCAACGGCTTCATCGCGTACTCTGCGACCAGCAGCACGCGCCGCCCCGCAGTATGTTTCGAGCTCGGAGAAGAGGCAAATGTATTACAACTAACCCACCTTGCACAGAATACGATGCCTCTCAAAGACGGCTGCACGAAGGGAAGCAGTCGACATCTCAGACGTACCGCCGACACCCATTACGCACCTCTCCGAGACTGAGATGCTCATGGGCGACTCTGTGTCCAAGTTTGCCAACGACGTGATCTTACCAAAGGCACGAGAGATGGACGAGGCAGAATCGATGGACCCAGCGGTAGTCGAGCAGCTCTTTGAGCAAGGTCTCATGGGTATTGAGATACCAGAAGAGTACGGTGGCTCAGGCATGAACTTCACATCAGCCATCATTGCCATCGAGGAGCTGGCGCGTGTGGACCCCAGTGTCAGCGTCCTGTGCGATGTACACAACACACTTGTAAACACAGCCATCCTCAAGTACGGCTCCGAGAAGCTCAAGAAGGAATGGCTGCCAAAGCTGGCCACAAACACAGTCGGCTCGTTCTGTCTCTCAGAACCTGTCTCGGGATCGGACGCCTTTGCGCTGGCAACCAAGGCTACAAAGACGGACAATGGGTACAAGATCAGCGGGAGCAAGATGTGGATAACGAACAGCGTGGAGGCAAACTTCTTCATTGTGTTTGCAAACCTCGACCCGAGCAAGAAGTACAAGGGTATCACGGCCTTCATCGTAGAGAAGGGTACGCCCGGCTTCTCGATTGCCAAGAAGGAGAAGAAGCTCGGTATCAAGGCCAGCAGCACGTGTGTGATCAACTTTGATGACGTTGAGATCCCCAAGGACAACTTGCTTGGCAAGGAGTTTGAGGGCTACAAGTATGCTATTGGGTTGCTGAACGAGGGCCGCATTGGTATTGCTGCGCAGATGACTGGTCTGGCATTGGGAGCGTGGGAGAACGCTGCTGGGTGAGCTCACTAGATCTTTCTCCAGAGGCATATACTGATGAAAACCAGCTACGTATGGAACGACCGCAAGCAATTTGGTCAGCTCGTGGGAGAGTTCCAGGGCATGCAGCACCAGCTCGCACAAGCATGGACTGAGATTCAAGCCGCCCGCGCGCTCGTCTACAACGCTGCGCGCAAGAAGGAAGCCGGCGAGGACTTTGTCATGGACGCGGCAATGGCCAAGCTCTACTCGTCACAAGTCGCTGGGCGAGTGTCAGGCTCAGCAGTGGAGTGGATGGGTGGCATGGGCTTCGTGCGCGAGGGTCTGGCAGAGAAGTACTTCAGGGACAGCAAGATTGGCGCCATTTACGAGGGCACCAGTAACATCCAATTGACGACGATTGGAAAGCACCTGCAGAAGAAATATACCAAGTAGAGAAGAAAAAAAAGAAGAAAGTAGACTAGACGGAAAAATGAAGCGAGATGCATTACCCCTCGATGATTTTCTTGACGCGGGACATTTCGGGCAATCGTGGCACATGCCAGACGATGAGATGGCTCGCATCCAGCTGGCTGGTACGAAGTCATCTCTGATGCGGGACGTCACGCTCCGCAAAGGCAACTGGGACATGGGATGGAACACGTTTGCGTTGTACACAGTGTTGTCACAGAAGACGCATCATGCGCTGCCACGAGCGCAGTCGAATCGAAGAACAGCTGGGCTGGTGATGACGACAGGCGGCTGGCGGCCACGATGCGGCCGTGTTTTCCAAGATTTGGTGCAGGCGTTGAGCAGACCCCACAACCGGGAATCCATGCTCGGGCGCTGTGTGGCTTGCGGCTACTGGCTCACGCACGATCCGACATGTCCACTCGTTCTGCAGACGAAGATTGTCCCGCGGGCCCAGGGAAGGGTGACGGAGGGCAGGCGGGTTGCATGCCCGAGTCGGAGGAAGCAAGGCTTTTCGCTGCGGCATTATTCTTCTTTGCATCGAGGGGGATCCGTCCGCACCACAGAGTCCGAGTTGCATCTCCTCTGCGACGCCTCCTGAGTGTTAGTGTCGAAACACTGCCAATCTCGATTTTCGAATCCTGATTCCCGAGTGGAGTCGTTCGATGCGGTCAGACCATCACGACACCTCTGCACCATGCGAAAGCGAAAGTCGCGTGGCTGCATCTGCGTCTGCGTCTGCGTCTGCGTCTGCACTGGCCCGCCCCCCAGCCACCATACCAACAGCGAAATTCTTCGAGAAGATCCAAGGCCACTGCTCCGCTCCGGCCCATGACTATTTTGCTGCAGAGCACAACAACGGAACCATGGCGTCACACCTGCGACCGCCAGACGCTTCCGATGCCCGCCCTAACGCGCCCAGTCGCGCGCGATCCGCTGTCGAGAATCTCTTGCCCGCAGGTATTGTAAGACGCAGCAGCGCACGACCGCCTGCGACACCGCACATGGAGCGCTCCATCTCGTCCATGGCCGACAGCTTCACCGACTACTGGGGCGTCTGCGCGCGGAACCCAGACCCCGAGGGCTCCAAGACGCCCGAGCCGCCCGTCCAGGAGGACGAACTCAAGCCCATCTCCAACTGGGCGCATCTCACGTACATGAAGAACCAGCGCAACAATCTGCGCGCCGAACTCAAGGCGCACCAGATTGCCGGCGCCGAAGCAAAGCGCTCGGTTGCGTCATTGAGGCGGTTGGCCTTTCGCATGGCTGTGAACATATCTGCAAAGGAAAGACAGATAGCCACCAGCGCGCGCAACTTGGCCAACAGCAGACAGAGCCGCTATGTCGAGGGCAGAGATGCCGAGAAGAGGGTCGACGCCCTGAAGCGGGCTCTGCGCGTCGAAGAGGGCAGGAACAGGGAGATACTCGAGGCGTTGGAGAGGGCTTCGATGCTGACTTTGCAGTGTAAGTGAAGCATCTTCACCAAAACTCGACTTGACTCATCTTCTGCTTTAGATGCAAACCCGCCCGAAGCCCAGCAACGCCCGCCACGCCCGCCACGCAACCCCCTTTCACCCCCGCCTTCACCACCTACCCGGCTCTCCAATCTGGCCATGACCACACTGTCCACACCTCAGACACCCCCGCGCTCTACATCCTCCTCATGGAACGAGACTGATTGGGAACTCACTCCCGGCCTCGCGTCGCCGACTGAAGTGCGAACTTCCGACAGTCGTCTCATCCGCGCAAAGCGCGAGTCCGACCAAGCTCTGTCTGCATGTCGCCGGCGTATCAGTGAGCTCCAAGCCGAATGCGCAAAGACCAAGGAGGACGGCGAGGCGCTGGAGGAGTCAAAAAACGGTCTCCAAGGAGACATCCAAGAACAGCAGGAGCGCATAGCCACGCTAGAGGCAGCTAGAGCAGCCATCGAAGAGACCCTTGAGTCGACGAGACTACAGCTCGAAGTATCCACCGGTCTAGAAGAGAGCCTCAAGCAGAAACTGCGCATGAAGAACAGAGAGCTGGCGAGCTTGGAACAGAGCAGCGAAGGCAGACAGGCGGAGCTTGAGGGTTTGCACGAGGAGAAGGACTCTCTCGTCTCGCAACTTGCAGAGCGCGATGCACAGCTCCAGGAACTCGAAGCTCGCACCACTTCGCTGCAAGAGACACTGACTACCTTGCAAAACAAGCTGCAAGCCGCTGAGCGCAATGAGGCGTCCCTGCAAGATCAGCTCAAAGAAAAGGACCTCGCCAACGAAGACTTGAAAAAGAGACTCGACCGCGGCTCCAAGTATGAGCAAATCCTACAGAAGAAGATTGCTGAGCATGAGCAGGAAATCCTGGGCAATGTCAAGAAGATTGAGGTTGGTGGCGGTCTCATCTCAGCGCTGCGCGCGCAGATGAAGCAGTCGGAGAGCAGCAAGAAGGATGCCGAAGATGCTCTTACAACATTGCGGACTGAGCTGAGTGGCTTGAAGTCTACTCAAGCCAAGGACGTCCAAGTTCGCGAGGCCTTGAGCTTGGAACTGGACGATACCCAAAGCGCAAGGAACAAGATGCAGAAGGAGCTTTCTGGCACGTTGGAATCCTTGAGCAGAGTAGAAGCTGAAAAGCAGAGTCTTCAGTCAGAGCTCGACTCTCTGCAATCCTCGCACGATACGTTACTGGAGAACCTACGAGCGGCTCAGCGTCATATTCACACCCTGGAGCTCTCGGACGAGCAACAAGCTGAGTTGGAAATGCTCCGGGACGAAAAGGCTTCAGTTGAGGCGGATCTCAGGGTCGCCAGGCAAACCAATTTCTCGCTTCGCGAAGCCCAGCGCATGAGCAAGTCGGACCTGAAGGAGCTGCGGGCATCCGTCAAGGACCTTCAGCAACAGCTGCACGAGTCTCACGAACGCGAGACAGTCCTCAAGACACAATTGGACTTGGCTCATGGTGCTCAGGCTGAGGTAGAGCGACAACAAGAGGAAGAGTCTCAAAGACACAGTGAAGAGCATCGTCAACTCCAACTCTCCATGACAAGTCTCCATGCTTCACTCGAAGCATCCGAGAAGCTCAAAGCGTCCCTGCAGGAAGAACTCAGGCAGCTTCAATCGGCCAACATTGACTTGGATAAGCAGTTTCACGACACATTGCGATCCAAGGCAGACTTGCAAAATGAGCTCGACACCGTGCGGACTAAACTCGAGCACAGCACCAGTCACAGCAACGGCCTCCGAACTAAGCTGGACGAGTTGGAGTTGGATCTCAACGCCAGCCGACAGTCTAAGGTTGATGTCGAAGCACAATTGGGTCATGTGCATAAGCAGCACGAAAGCCTCGCAACGCGCATTTCTGAACTGGAGCAGTTCCTGTGTGAAAGCCGCGATGACACATCCAGGGCTGAAAAGGAACTGCGCTTGAAGCAAGAGAGTAGCGAAGCTTCGGCCACGGAAGTTGCCGAGCTACGCGAGACTCTGCACACCACTGAAACCTCCAAGATGGAAGCCGAAGCCAAGCTCTCTCTGGCGATAAGCCTGCAGAATGATCTAGAGAGTCAATTACAGATTGCACAATCTAGATCGGCTGAACTGCAGACTGAAGCAAACAGTGTTCAAGCACGACTATCTACTATGGAGGGGGAGGCTGCGCAACTTCATCGCTCGAAAGAAGAGCTTACAGAACAACTCCAGGCATCCCATCATGCCCAGACTGAGATGCAGGAGCAACTCAAATCTACCGAGTTGCGCCTGCATGCTGTCGAGACGGAAGTTACCGGACTGAAGTCTAGGGTTGCTGCAGGTCAACAAGAACTCGAAAACGCCCGCCTCAGTAAGGTTGAGGTTGAGAACAAGCTTGAACAGGCGTTGCAATCACATGCACAGGTCGAGGAGGAGCTTAGTGCGGCTCGAGGCAGCAATGCGGCAACCGAAGCACTGGAAACGGATCTTGCGCTAGCTCGCTCTCAATACAATGAGCTCGAGAAGGCGCACTCAGAAATGATCTCACAATCAGAGATGAGTGAAGAGGAACTTGGCACTTTGCGAGAAAGCAGATCAGATGCTGAACGCAAGCTGGAGGACGCACTCTCTTCGACGAAAAGCTTGGAGCATGAACTGGAGCTAACCGTTGGAAAGCTCCGTGACTTCGAGTCGAAACATGCATCGCTTGTCACAAGGATAGAGTCGACCGAAAAGGCTCTTGCTTCAACTCGAGACGAGAAAGCTCAGCTTGAGCAGTCATCTAGTAGCACCGCTAGTGATTTTGCGTCAGTCCAGATGCGTCTTACTGATTTGGAATCTGAGAAGGAGAGCATCAGCACAGAGGCCAAGGAGATCAGACAAAGAGAAGAGAGTCTGCGAGAGACCAATGCTAAGCTTGAGCAGCAGCTGAGCGATGCTACGCAGCACGCTTCTGATCTAAAGAATGACCTGCATGCCGCCCGCGCGCGTCTCGAGACTGCCGAGTCTGAGAATGCGACTCTCAAGTCTAGGATCTCAGAGGCTGATGAGAACCTCAGCTCACTTCGCGAGACAAATGCCACACTCACCGCATCCGAGAAGGACTTGCATGAGCGCTTAGAGTCTGCAGAAGAAAACCTCCAGGCCGTACGCGAGACCAACAAGCGTCTTGAAGCTTTCCTCGAACGCGTCGAAGCCGACATGCAACACGCCGAGACAGCATTCGAAGAAAGCGAAAAGCGTCTAGAGGAGTTTGTTGAGGAATCCCAAGCTAAACTCGACGCTGCAAGGGACGCGAAGCTCAAGTACAAACGCAGGCTGTCCGAGCGAAACAACGAGATCGAGCTATTGACCACTGAGAATTCACACTTGCAACAACAGATTGGCGAGAAGAGGGAGGAAGTCAACGCACTCGCCAAGGGCAAGGAAGAAATGCAGGAGCAACTCGAGCAGAAGGACAAGTTTGTCAGTGACCTTAGATCGTCAAGTGACCGAAGGATGAAGTCGATGAATCTGGCATACAACGAGCTGAGAACGAGGTACGAGGAGCGGGTTTCAGGCCATCCAGGCGCTCGACCTAAGCGGGACCGCGCCATGACAGAGATTCGCAAGCCCAATAAGGAGGAGCTAGCTTCAGCTTATGCAGCGCTGGAACGCGAAGTCGAGGGTCTCAGAAAAGACAAGAAAACTTTCGAAAATCTCGTCTCCACGCTTCAAGATAAGATCAGCCAACTCCAACGCCTCGAGGAATGGCACGATGCACGAGAGCCAGAAGTTAGGCTTGAGGCGGACTCTACCCCTTCAACTCCAACTACTCAACACTCAGGCTCCCGAGTAGGCAGCACATTCAGTCGCTCACCCAGCATCGCCATTAACGACCGGCCAACGACCGGACTCAGTACAGCGTCCAAGCAAGAGTGGGCAAATGACATCGAGCGACTCCGCATGCTGCGCAATGAGCAAGCGAACCAGTTGAAGAGTAACAAGAAGGCGCGAAGCGATCTTAGAAAGAGCTTGAAGGAGAGCAAGACTATGTTGCATCAACTTGAAAAAGCGAAGCAACAGAAATCGTGAGTGGAGCCCCTCAATCAAAACCATGCTGTCCTAACCCACTGCTAAACAGGTCTCGACCGCGCGCCTTCCTACGCAAGAGCCGCCCTTCCACTGCCAACATGCTCGATACTACGGATCAACAAGACTACACTAGTCCAACCTCACCGTCTACGCCATCACGTCCTGCGACCAGCCATGCATTCCTCACGCCCGATACAGCGAGGACAGGAACGCCATTCTCAACGCCTGATAGGGCACAGACCACCACACCTTTCGCTTCAGCCAGGTCTAGGCATACGATTCATTTCGCGCCTGACTCTGATCCCGTGGAACACCCACAGCCGTCCACATCTCCGCTGTCCGCAAGGCCTCATACACCCCATCGATGGAGTACGCTAGTCAGGCCGAAGTCCAGACAGCGGCCAAGCACGAGTGGTGGTCTGCTGGAGGGGACCGTACAGAACGAGAGGCCTACTACGAGTGCTGGAGAGAGAATGCTGGGTGGTGATAAGAAGGCCGATAAGAGGAGGAGTTGGAGTCTGAGAAAGCTGTTCAAGTGAGCGTTGACTTTTCGCGTATGCATTAGCGTTGATGCTGTCGTTTTTGTACAGCGTGTTGTTGATACAATGATACGAATAAGACATGTGCGTGGAATTGTTTAGTTCGTCCTTGCTGGTCAGTACAAAAGTCGTGCTTGAAAGGACACCCCTTGATAGATTACCATTCGGCCGGTAACTGCGGCACGCCCTCATTTGACAAGACCATGATCTACAAATCACAAGTGCACCCTTAATACCACATCCGGGAGAAGACAAGACTGTATACCCCACCTCAGCGCCTTCGATAAACATCGGGAACTCCGTAGCACCACATGACGCCAATTCGTGCACAACCGACTGAGAAGAGGTTTAGAAGCGACGACGTCTCGTATCACCGATATCGTTCCAGCATAGCAACCTTTCTCATGCAATCTAGATGCATGGATAAATTGCGATATCACTGCTCGTATGGTAGGGTTGACCCAGAACAACGAGTGTGGACAAAGAACCACGGAGAGACAAAGGAACGCAACGCAACGCAAGGGATGAGAATGGTGGCTTACGATAATACTAAGCTGCACCTACCGCGTCTCTGGATCAAGGGAAAATACTGTAAGAACTGACGTAGAAGAACCGGTGTTTGGGCCGTGTGTGCAAACCTTTCAACAATATTGAGAACGAATTGTATGTTCGGACCCGAATCACACCGTTCACTGCCATACATATACATATATATAGTCTTCATCATTGAAGCTTTCAATCTTAACAGCAATTTCCACATCTTTGCGAATGCACACATCCACCCTGACTCTTCACTGACCAGCACACATTGCAATGGCAAACTCATTCCGTACAACCTCTTTCTCATACCATCTCCAAACCCTGTTTCTCTTCACCTCCGACCAAGTCCTCGACACCGTGATCCCCGGCACTCTGTTCGGCCTCAGCGCCGCCTTCTCCGGCCCCGTCCTCTCCCTCCCCACGCAATCCCTCTTCACCATAGCGCACAGACTGCCTGCAACATGGATCTGGCTGTGGCTCATGATCCTGCAGTTCTGCCTGCAGAACCAGCACCACACAAACTCCGTCGAAGAAGACAAGATTAATAAACCCTGGCGCCCGATCCCCGCGGGTAGGATTAGCCAAACGGGTGCATTGAGGGTCCTGACGGCCGTTTACGTGCTCAACGCCGTGGTGAGCTGGCACCTCTCTGTCCTGCCGACTTACATTGCGTGGACTGTTCTTGGCACCGCGTACAATGACTTCGGCGGAGGCGATCACAGCGGACTCTCGCGTAATGCGTTCTGCGGCGCGCTGTTCTGTTGCACGTTCAGTGGCGCGCTGAGCATTGCTTTGGGAAGCGCCACATCAATGAGCTACGAAGCGTGGCAGTGGACGGTTCTGATGACATTTGGCATTATTGGCATGACAATTCATACGCAAGACTTTCGCGACGAGGTTGGCGACAAGGCGAGGGGGAGGAAAACACTGGTTTTGCAGATCGGCAGGAAGGTTGCGCTTTGGAGTGTCATATGTGCGGTTACTTTCTGGTCGGTGTATCCTCCGTTCGCTTTGTTCAAGGGTAATTGGGTGGCAACCGCTCCGTCGGTAGTGTTTGCTGGATATCTGGTACTTATCGCGTGCCAGGCGATGGGTGGTTTTGACGCGAAGCGAGATCGGCGGATGTATAAAATATGGTGTCTCTGGATTGGTGTATGCTGCGAGCTTCCTGCGCTGGTTCGCGTATCAGAGGAGATCTTGCGTGTGTAAAAAACTTGCTGAGATTCGATATCTCGAAAGAAATGTACGTTTCGTTGGCTATCTCGGTTTCGGCTCAGCATATTTTCCCACTACTTTGCATTTGTTTCGAGTAAGAAATCAGCATATGTACGATGACGCGATTAAGGAAGTTTCAAGCCGGATTTGACAGACAGACTACTGTATACCACAACGTTGAAGGTGCTCTTTGATGTCAGGCACATGCTTCCCTAATTCCTCCATGATTTCATCCCATATCCTTAGCATAAGCTTCTGATTCTCTTCTCCTACAAGACTCTGCGCATCATTCTCAATAACATCACTCGCCCAAAACCTCCCATGCAATTCTTGGTTCTGCGATGCGCCACTGATGTACGTATTCGCGCCCTGATCTGCTGTCCGAAAGAACATGGCTCCGGCCAGGGCATATATAATACTGAAACCCGGGAACTTGATATGGCGGTGAATATTCGAGAAAACAATACCAGGGCACACGGAGGTAATGATGAGCTCGTTCGATGGCGTTGCAGCAGCGAGACGGACAGCCACCATCCTCATGAAAAGTTTGGAATAGCCGTATCGTATCTGAGCAGTAGAGTTGGTGTAATTGTCTGGTTTGTTGTACTGGGCCAAGATGTTCGGACTGTCGCGAGCCTCGGCGGATATTTCGACAGTCTTGTGTAGGCCCGAGTTCACGAATTGCAATACTGGTATTTTACCCGTATATTTCTGCGACTCTTTCAACTTTGGCAAGAGAAGAATACCGAGTAGTGATGTGGAAAACGTATTGACTTGTAAATCCTCCTCCCAGCCATACTGTGTAGGCCTGTAACTGGTATTGAAGACGCCGATATTTAAAATAGCGACGTCTAGATGATCGAGCTCTGCGTTGGCCCTTTGCGAAAAGTTGACGACGCTATCGTACAAATTCATGTCGAGGGTCCATACCTCGAAAGGACTTGGTTGCTGGCTGACTTCTGCTTCGAGTTGCTTCTTGGTCGACTCGCCTTTGGCCTCATCTCGAGCTGTGATGATAACCTTGGATGCTCCCAGTCTCGCAAATTTGGCCGCTGCCGCGTATCCTAGCCCAGAGGTTGCACCAGTCACTAGAACAGTGCGCCCTGCGAATGATTCGGTGGACTCTTTGGGAAGAGTCCCCCATTTGTTCTTGATTACTTCTGCGATCGTCATGGCCTGTCTTGATTCCACGCTGCTTCTTCTTTTCGATCGTAGGATTTGATGAGGTGTGCTACTGATGATGGGGTGTATACGAGTTAGGAGCTCTGATGGGTTGATATAAGCACAGCTGCCGACGAAGGACCGACCGCGGCTCAATCGCGAAAGTTTGTACACAGTAACCGCGAGAGACCAGGTCTCATGAGGCGTTCTAGTCTCATCACCTCGGGTACATAAGTCTCTCGGCAGGAGGTCCTTTACTTTTCCTTTCGACGGTGCTATGCATGATAACGTCCAATACAAAAACCGGCTTCACGAAGAACTGTAGAAAGGAAGCTGACTGCGGATCGACCGGAAGCTGGGATCGCGTCGTCGATTACGCAGTACGTGAGGACATGTAGTAGTTCCGCTACGGTATGACGCATATTAGCTAACTTGCGCCGGCCTCGTCTCCGCTCGATGGTACATGTTGAAGGGTCTGCCGTCCGGTGTTACAGTCGCACCGTCGGTTAATGCTGTGGTCCTGTCAGAAGCGCCAGAAAGATAGAGTGACGATGAGGGACATCGAACACTATCGTGCGATAACAGTTGGAAAAAGGCACATCTTATGAGACGTGACTGAATCGTGACATGTTCGCGAGAGGCATGCGATCAGTTCAATGCCTCGGTCGTCATCGGGCCAAGCTAACGACCTAGCGTCGAGTCAGTTACTAGCCTGCTCCTGACCGACTCTTCAATTTGACATAGATACCTGATCACCACGAGGCGGTTCCCAATTCCTCTGACCAGACTGCAAATCGTCGGAAAGTACCTCTTCTTTCTATAACTAAATTACCATCATCTCAGTCTCAGAGTGAACCGTACTTACTAGCTTGAACAACCCTGCTCAGCAGCACTAGTGCACTTCGTCTCTATCGTCGCCTACCAGCACAGCACGACTACTTCAGCACCATGAGAGTATAGCTATCTGGAGCCTGCCACCAGCCATATCCAAGCTTGCGAGGACAATACAAAGATTGAGACTCTCGCTCAAGATGACATGGTGGAACTGAGGTCCATTTCCAGGTGCGTTTGCTAATGTTCGGGATCAGATACAAATCCAACAACCGGTATATATTCAGTCTACTCATCTACGTCTATATCGTCGCGCGCACTTTCTAGTCCAAACTCTGAATTTGTACTTTGATAGCCCCAGTCTTTGGATCCGCCGCTGTCTTAAACGCCTGAACCGCATCTTCCAACTGGAACCTATGCGTTACTAGCTTACTCAGCTCAATAACGCCGCTCTTGACCAGCCTTATGGCCTTGGGCCAAGTATTGCAGTATCTATACTGGAACTGAAGATCAACCTCGCGGGTCGACAGGCGCATGAAAGGAATCTTCATCTCGTTCTTACCCACGCCAATGACGAAGACCTTGCCGCCGAACTTGACAGCTTGGATGGCGCCGTTAATGCTGGATTCGACGCCCGTACATTCCATTGCGATGGCGGGTTCGACGCCTTCCATCTTGGCAATGACGGCGTTGCGGAAGTCGTCGACCGAGTGTGAAAATTCCACTTTGTGCGTTGCAACGTTGGGGACGAGATCCTTGGCAAACTTGAGGCGGCCCTCGTCGATGTCTGTGATGACGATTGGCGCGGCACCTGCTGCACGAGCGCAGAGAAGGGTGACAAGACCGATGGGCCCAGCGCCGCAGATGACCACGGGATCTCCAAGTCGGACGTTCGCGCGGTCCATACCTGCTAGTGCGACTGATAACGGTTCCAACATGGCGCCGTCTTCGAAGGTGAGGTTGTCGGGCAGTTTGTGACACCACATAGCTGGGTGCTTAAGGTATCGGCGTAGAAGACCAGTGACGGGTGGTGTTGAGAGGAACTGTACTTTCTCGCAGCCGTTGTAGCGTCCCGTCAAGCAGGGCTCGCATTCGTGGCAGATGACATTAGGTTCTATTGCTACGCGGTCGCCGACTTTGAGAGTAGAGACGGAGGGGTGGACAGCAAGGACTGTGCCAGCGGATTCGTGGCCAAGGATGTGTGTGTCTTCAACGATCATAGGACCAATGCAGCCCTAGAAGCAGTGTTAGTATGCTGTTGCCAATCCTTCCTTGCTTGCGAGTCGCGACATATGGGCCATGGAGTAAGAAGTGAACATACGGCATGCCAGAAGTGAATGTCAGATCCACAGATTCCAGTACTCTTCACGTTGAGCAGAACCTCTCCCTCCTTCAAATCACCACCCTTCTCCACAACCTCCAGACTCGGTTCAGCTTCCGCAACCCATAGATCGTGCGCTGGATTCGTGTAAACACCAATGTTTGCCTTGGACGGCTTGACCTCTGTGACCGTAGTAGAACTCATCTTGTCCTCCAGTGAAACAATTAAATAGGTATCAGTGGAGTCAGAATACAGATGAGAAGTAATAAGTCAGTCAAGAAAAGAACGCGTGCGAAAATAACCTTCAGATCAGCTGCCCGTCCCTCGGACCTTCCACATCGCGTAGTGCGGGGCAGGAACCATAACATCGTGGACCCCTTTGGAGCGTCACTCGCTTCAGCCCCGCCATCTCCGTGTTCTTCCACGAATAGGAACCGGATAAAGTCCGCATGCTTATGCTTGAATACGCGCAAGCTATACCGAGTGCAGTAGCGTATCCCAGCAAATTATCCGAAATTGATCCAGACTTCACGATACTGCCGCTTGGTGTTGAGCCGCCGGAACTGTAGGGGTGGAAGATCCACCGGGCGGAGCCCCGGGTAGCTGCGTGAGGAACATCGGGAACGGCTGCTATATCTAACTTTATTGAACGATGCGGATATAAGGCATATATCCTTGTTGCGACTGTTAGCAAGACCATAAACATAACTCCCTCGCCCGAAGCAACGCACATGAGGTTCCTTTCGTTTAGAGCTCCTCCTCTTCGCGTTCAATTTGGCTGCGTGTTGAGGTCAAGCCGCCAAAGTCTGCCCACGTGAGACATGTACCAATCGCAGCATCGTATGCAAGCTGACGATTCGTCAACTTCCTCCTCTTGCCTGCCGTCAAGCTTGTAGCCGGTGATGATTTAGAAGCATGTTTAGATGAAGTGGTTCTTGGCGGTGCAACCAGCTGAGCAGTGGGTGGCAATGGAAGCTCGAAAGCCACGTGCCTGGATAGTTCAGCCGATGGAAAAGAGTCATTCACGACTAATTTCTTTGATCTTGCTTTTTTGTACTGAGTTGTTGTCAAGACTTTATTAGATCTTGTAATGTCGTCTATTTGAACGCATCCGGATTCAGCATGCTCGAGCACCTCAGCTGGTGACTCTGACTCATTATGCAAGCGTTCCACATCTCCTGTTGCATGCAACTGCTTGATAGCGGACAAACTTGAAGTCTGTGAGTCTTGCTGGGTATTCTCGTGGCAGAACTGGTCCTTTTTTTGCTGTTTTATGTTGAACTCATAGGCCTCGTTCATCTCGGCATCATGGCGGAATGTGCTTGTGCTACAATACTGACCGAACAGACTCTGCATGCTCAGGTCTGGCGTCCAAGCAGCTTCGTTAACCGTACAAGGAAAGACATCTTGAGGTCGAAACGCTGCAACAAGCTCGCAAAGCTCCGTATAAGATGAATGTCTGGAATACGGGAATCGAATCGTACGATTTTGGGACCCGTCGGTAGTCCCATTCTTCGTAGCTGTTGTCAACAAGGCTGATATGAGCGTGGGTAACGATAGGACATCCTGGCTCTCCGCACTAGCCTTCTGCAACTGTAATTCGAGACCGAGTTTGCCCTCGTTCCCAGCAAGCGCTTCCTGCAGCCGCGCAAGTACCTTGGAAAGTAGTGCCTCGTCAGGTATAGAACATGCGCACAGCTCCATGAGTTTACGAAGTTCTGCCATGTCTCCGGTCTCCAACTCTTCTTTTTGGTCAATATCACCTTTTCCGCCCCCGGCACCAAGCTCCTCAATTTCAATCCCGCTGGCTCGTGTAATGATGGGGATGATGTGTACGACCTTTGCTTGGGTATCTTGGTCCATGACAGCGCAGCCCATGCCTCGCTCACAGCTATGTATGCGAACATTTTCCAAGGAAGTCAGGCATCCAGGCTGAATGCGATTACCATTCCGGAAGCCACACAATGCGGCGGCTTCGCGGACCTCAAGGCCTGAGTCTCGTAGAGGCTTGTTGTCAGTCTGAACAGCCAGCCCAATCCCTCGCAGCTGTATCTTCTCCAGCGTGGACAAAGAGCCATAAATCCCCGCACGATAGCTGTCTAGGTGGATTTGAGATTCAAGGAAGACGGACAATGCAAGCCAGACGTTCTCGTAGCCAAAAGTCCAGGAGTGAAAGTAGAAAATGGTGTCATGCGAATACTGGCTCACCTTATCGAGCAACTCGTTGATACCCTCCGCTTTGCTAGGGAACTCCCTGTATGGCTCGTGTTTTGTTGCAAACGTAGTGTCCAGATACATGCAATCCAGGCGGCGCTTTCCAAGAGTATATGGCAATAATACAGGGTTCTGTACAAGTGAGTTCACCCACCAAGTCTCCGCACGTATGTCGCCGGTGTAGAGAACTGCTTGTCCATCACCCTCGATGAGGAACATGACTGCTCCGATGCAATGGTTGGCATCAATCAAGGTCACCCGAATTGAGTTGCTAGGGGCGAGTTCAATGGTGGTCGGCGTGTCTAGAGGCAGTGGTCTCGCCAGTTTGCGCATGCTGCGGTCGTAGGTGACATTACGACTCTCCAGGACGCCCTTGGCGAAGTTGATCCGATAGTGATACTTCTCTAATCTCAAGAGGATCTTAGGTTGCCGTCAGTAAATGCAGAGGCATATATTCAAATCAGACATCGTAGAACGAGGCCAAAGGAAATACGGAACATGATGAAGAAATGTCGCAGAGACGGACCTCTTTGGTTGCCGCCGAGCAGTACACAAACGGTGCGCGCATGGACTCGAGCCCAAGTAGGTGATCGGAGTGCACATGACTGAGAAAGCACGCTAACGGCGGTGTGAACTGTGGTTGCTGTCTGAAGTAATCGATTCTAATCTGCGGGAATTCGGCTATGATGCCTTTAAAAGTGGACATTGCCAAGAACCAGTAAATGTTTAATTGCGGTTTTGCTGGGTGAAATGTTAGGGTTAGAGAAGGCAATGTCAAGGCACCGGTTGACGGTTGTGGCTAGTGGGTCTTTCGCTCGAACGTCATCTCGAGTCCATCACAGCACCATTGATGACTGCGCTTCACTCAAATGCCAGACTCTGGTGTATGATGAGCATATCGCATGAGATCCCCAGCCTAGCATGACAGTCTCACCCCGCGGCTTCCTCACCAGACAGCTTTTCGGCTTCAGCCCACCCTGACAGCTTTCAAACGCGTTCGCTCCGCCGTGAGTGAGGCCAACGCAGCATGGCACCTACCACGGTACCCGACATGCTCACACCCCCCGCCTCTTCCACCACAACCTCTCAGCATGCGTCGACGCTTCCACAACCGCGCAGACAACCGCTGAGGCCTGGTGGGCCCAAAGAGAGCGAGCTCATCCGCTATCTAGACCATGGTGTCAACAGCATTCAGAAACGCGTCGACAACCGCGTAACGAACAGGAAGAGCAAGTCCGCGATCGACGGAGAGGATGGCTACAGCGCCTTTCATGAAGTCGCCAAGGATTTGGACGCGCTGGTAGATGTTGTGTGGGTCTCCGGCTCGCGTAAGACTCCGCCAGATGGTTACTGTGAAGGTTAGACTTGCGCTAATTCCATGTGTCGGTGTAGCGAACCTCCAAACGCCTTACCTCCTCAATATTGCCGTCCTCACCATCGAGTTCTTGCCGCTGTTCCCCAACTCGGCTCGCTCCACTTCTGCCACCTTTCGCCTGCTTTCCAAGCTCGACGAAGCCTTCACCGCCCTGCTCACGGGCCACGACAGTGCGACTGGTGAAGTATTACCGGGGTTTAACAATGGTCGGATCATATCCACGACAGACAAGGTCCGCCTGAAGGGTGTCGTTGAACGCACGCGGTTGACGGTTGCTCGGGAACTGAGCCGTCAGAGTGTAGCTGGCGAGGAGAGTGACGCTGGCGAATCAATGGACACCGACACTGAAGTAGAGACGACTCGGCCCGAAGGCATGGTGAGGTTTGAAGGATTTGGAGACTATGATGAAGACGACGACGACGACGACGATTGGGAAGAGCGGAACATTGGAACTGTATACGAAAAGACAATAGGAGAGCTAGGCGATGTCCTCGGTGGCCCGCCGATTGGCATCATCACCGATGACTGGAGTCCAAGTGGAATGGGACAGCAGCGAAGCAGCGAAGGCTTCATGGGATCTGAAGACGTCATTGAGTTCTGAGACCACGATTGTACATGGATGGATGTGTGAACGACTCCCGATCACATGATGATGCTATTAGGAACGAGGTGCAATTAGCAGAAGCTTGATTAGGTATGCGTTTCCCAAAAGAATACCCACATCTCAATTTCCCTACTCCCCATGTTTCCTACTATATTATTAACTACGATGGAAAGCGACTAGGGTGCCTGAAGCTATACACAGGATTTCACTGTTGTAATCGAGGCTTTTGCATACTGTGTAAAGACATCCCCTTCTTTGGTGTACGTCGTTGCTGACAGCTTGCAGTGCGCCTGTTTACATGGTCTAGAAGCGGCTAGTATGCATGTCGCGTCACACGAGAGCTGAGGCACCAGCTTTACAGTAAGGCTGAAGAGCGATCGCGGGCACGGAGGCGCACTCTCAGCGATAGCAATAAGCCTTTAGACTAGCCGGTGTGGCGGTCGTACCTGCCTCCCAGGCACTTTGTACTCTTTCGGTGGGCACGTCACGAGACCACGCGTGAGAACGCGATCTCATAGCCCGCCAAGCTCGTCGCCCTCAAGACGATCCCCGCTATCTCCATTACGACTACTGGACCGCGACAACCGTGCGTTTCACGGTGGGTGCGTATCGATGCATACCCATTGATACTTTCAGTCGACATGCCTACATACTACGCGCGCGGCGTCACAGTGCGCCTAGGCGTAAATCCCCTCGCCGACACCATCACGCCCAGTATCACTCTGAAGAAGGGCGATGTCGCAAAGAAGCAATGCGAGAAGCCGGAGAAGGAACTACTGAACAGCCACCTATTGCCCGAGCAACGGGTCGACTTTCCAGGCGATGAGCATGGCTTCGAATTGAACTGGCTGGGTGATGCGCCTTTCATGCAAGCTCGCGTGGGTGACAGTTTGTTCGAAGGCGCGACGAGTAGCAATGCTGTACAAACAGCTCCCCTGGCCAATTCCGCCCGTCTACGCCGACAGCCAGCAAAAGAGAGCTATAAGGCCTATGGATATGAACCTCTTGCGCTCAGCCTGCACGTCATGACGTCGGACACGACCTTTGTTTCCGGCATGGACAGGCAGAACAAGCTCCAATTGAAGATCGAGGTGTTCTTCAATGGACAATTATCAAGCTGCTTGTTTCTTCCGCCCTACGAGATCCGAAGCAACACAAAGACACATCACCAGGTGTTTGCCGGTTACAGGATAGACTACCTCGCAGAGAGGCCATGGGTCATTCTACCGCCACACACTGCTGCTGACGGCAGCCCGGTTAAGTCCGATAAGCTCCTATCTGCAAAACAACGCTGGAAAGACATCAGCACAGCTCTGGGCAGAGAGGCAAGCCAGCGGGGCACGGATTCGCAGGGCAACATCCCGCCGAGCTCACACTTTCTGGGCGCTTTGGCAACCTCCAGGATGCCGGATCAAGTGGTAGCCTGGCAAAAGCCAGGATGTAGGCACTTCGGTGTTATTGACGTGGTCATCACAGCTGGTGAGGGTAGGAAAGTCACAAGCGGAGCGACATACCTCACAAGGCCTCAAAGGTTCACAGATGAGAACTTTCCGCTGTCCAATGTGGGCGGATTTGACGAAGATGCTGATGGCGAGAGCGACTCTGACTACGAGCCCCTGCCAAAGCGACAGGCTTTGAACCATCAGTTTCCAGCCATGAGTTGCGGACCTGAATATATCCAGGCCCCATTGTCACACAATAAATCAGTCTTCCAGTCCATTCAGGAAACCCCAATGTGCCAGCTCTCGTCTACACCTCCACAATTCCCATCCACAGAAACACCGCCTTTCGGACCGGACCGATCGATTCATGAACTATCTAGGTTTAGTCACGATCCATTATTGTCTTCTGAGCGCGGACCTGCCAGCTACATGAAGCATAGCAGCAACACGGATCCTACTGTCCATATGGGTGCAGCATCGATCGACTTCCAATCTCAGGTGCCTATGCGCTTTGGTGAGCAAGAGCGCAGAGCCTCGGTGGACTCTGCATTTGCGCCATCTTTTGTTCCGAATGCATCCTACCTCTGGCCCCCTTTACTAGATCTCGGAAGACACTCACACGTGCCAGCTTCATCACCTCGTCATGTTGCGAACATGGTATCATCCACGACACCCGTAGCTCATCAAGATGTTCTAGCATTTAGCGGACTGCCATTTTTAGCACCTCATAATCGTCGGTTTTCTATGCCGCTACCTCCAACCGGATTCTTCACTGTCCCCGTGAAGCCCCGTCCGAGCTTATCACCAATGAAGAAGTCGCATCCAACCAATCTGAGGATGCCGCAACGCGGGTTTTTGCTCAAACGACTGATTATAGTTGGCAAGGGTGGTGTAATGTTGGTGGATTACGAATGGTCCATCGCGCAACACATCGCTGTAAACGAGCATCCTGCTGGACACTGTGGCTCAAACGTGCCGCAAAAGTCAAGCGTACTTGCTAGTTCGGAAAGAGTCCTCTCTTCTGACACACTTTTCCATGATCTACCAAGTAGTGGTATGGCACAATGCGACCTCCTTCCAGCAAAATGCTTCTGCTCAAAGCCGTAAGGCTCCCTACGAGCTCACAAAGGATGGAAATAAGCGAGCCAGTTCCACCAGGGCCACCAACGGCCAATCTATACCGCAGGGACATAGATCGGACATCAAGGACGGAGGCATCATGAGTTTAGATAGCGTTGTGAGAACCGACTCTGCTCTACCTTCGCAGAAGGTCGAGGGCAATGCTCGCGATGTAGCACATTCTCCTTTGCCACAACGCCGCACAACAGCTGCGACTACTATTCTCGGGGTTCAAGGACCGAAAGCAATAACCTTTCTCTATGACGATCCTGAGGCGATGATACGAGAAGAGAAGAGAAACGCACGTCGATCCAAGTCTCCGATCAAACCGAAAGACAAGCCTTCCACTACTAGAAAATTCAAAACATTAGCGCCAGATGAGATTGCTGCTCCAGCCAAGGACATGGGCGCCTTATCTTCGCCTCTGAGCAGTCTCGCAACTACCCCGGAGGTCGAGTATGAACCCAAAGCCAAGTCCATCCCCATCATCTTGTCCAGCTCAGCCGAGACAGGACCTCTTCCGCAAGTCGATGGCTCGCCTGCACACAAGATTGACACTATATCGTCGCCTACAGCAGCCAACATCGCCCGTTCGGCACCTCAATTCTCAGTCCCTCCAGCATCATCTACACCGAGGAACTCACCCTCTCCCAATGCAAAAAAGCGAAAGAATGAGTCAGGTCGCTACCTCGCCAAGCAACCACGCAGTCCTGATCGACTCAAGACAACCAGCAATCCACTGCTCAATCGCGACTGCGTTATCGCATTTGCGGAGAGTCAAGATAAGGAAAGTGAGAGGGGTGTGTTGAGGCAGATCAAGAGTGAGCGCCAGGGCGTGTTTGCTGAGGTGCATGTAGTGTTTGCGACGAGGTTTTACGTTGCTGGGAACTGAAATGGATCGATGCTTGTGGGTACATCTACCTGTCGAGTGTACTACATGATCATGTATGGTTCGCGAACAGTTTATGAGTTCCTGTGAAATGGTCGACCATGTTCGCGATGCCGACGAGAAGAGATATAGGAAGACAGATGTTTACAACGAGCTCAACTAATGCCACTAACCAATCCTTCTCTCACTTCTTGTCGATGCCAACGCATCTACTGTGCCTTCCCAATACGCGCTACAAGCTTGTCTCCCTCTGCGGCCAGCGAAGCTTCGAATGTCTTAGCGTCATTGGCTTTCCACGAAGCATTGGCAGGTGCCTTAGCGCCCGGGAACGCCAAGTAAAGAACGTCAGCCGCACCATGGCCCTTGTTGCCACTCAGTCCTTCATTGGGAAAGCACAATTTCCCCAGGGAAAGTGAAGCCTCGCCCGTGACTACACCGCCGTTCTGATCTCCATACACGCCGTAAAACATCTGATTCCCACAAATGACGGCAACAATGGACAGTGGCTCAACACCAGCTGTCTCAATGTCGAAGGGCTTGCGGCTATCGCCTTGAGCATCGTTGATGATGAAGTTGCTGAGCACAACGAAGGTGTGTTTGTTGGTGTTGAGATCCTTGACAGCTCCCTTGGTCAGATCCTGCAGTTGGCTCTTGAAGGACGTATCGCCCAGACCAGTCGGGTCGTCACTACAGCCGCCTTGTCCTTTGCCGGCTCCGTCGCAGTCGATATCCATATCCGCGAATCCGCCTTGTTGGTTCTTCAGGAAGACGATATTTGAGGTTTTGTCCATGCAGTAAACACTGTTCTTGGACTTTCCGCCGACGCCAGTGTCGTATGCTGGTGAAAGTGGATTGGGGCAAGACTTGCTCTGCTCAATGTTAGATGCATAACACTTTTTGGACTCTCTACTGCAACTTGTCAACCACGGCGTAAAGTAAAGAAAGGGCTCCAAAGGTGTGAGCAGTATCGTCAGGCTTCGATTACGAAGGCAAGGACCATTTTATAGCTTCAGTCATCCTATTCGATTTCCGTTGTAGGCGTCTAACCTGTGTTATAACTTACCTTCCATGACTCGTAGAACGTTTTCACGTTTTGTGGAATCTGGCGGCCAGCGGCCAGCCCTGCAAGCAGAACGACGAGGGATGTTGAAGAACGCATGATAACGGTAGTGGATCAGGCTGGAAAGCCACCACTGGACAGAGTACGAGCTGCATTTATGAAGTTGGTCGACGGTAGTCTTGAGATTTGCGTCAAGGTGCTGCACAGGATCGATGGAGGTTCCCGTCCCTGAGACAGTCCTTCATCCTGCATTTTCAATCGTTTCGAAATGTCATGTCACTAGCATCGGACCACCCAGATGATCTGTAGTTAGAATGCCCGCGACGGGAAAGACACGGCGTGCATATCTCCGCGCCACTTTGGGGCTAGTTTACACTAGGTGTGCCATGATTCGGACACTAGCTTAGGGGCCGTTCATTATGGTTGGCTGGGGGCGAACTATCCCAATGGTCAGACATGGACCCCACTGACTTCATGCCCGGACCTCGCAGGTAGCACAAGCGCCTGCAGACTGAAGGACTTCAATGTTCTCCTTTTTCCGGAGTTGCCGTCGCTGCAAGTGGAAGGTCGCAGCTTGGGCGAATTTTATGGCTAACTTACTTGACACTTGTTGACGCACTTTGAATCACTTGACCGGTCATACCACCATGTAGTCCTGTCTATCTAGAAATAGCCAATAGCCACGCCTCAAAGACACTCCGTAGAAGGACCTTTCTCGTGTACTTATTGACCGCAACTTGTCCAGGTTACCCTCCGATATTCACCAGCAATTCACCGACATTCAGATCACCATTACACAATTACGATCGACATGAAGGCCTTCTCGTATCTTACAGCCTTGCTGTGCAGCTTGTCAACTACTGTACTTGCTGCAAAGTCGTTCTCGGCAACCAACCTATACTACGCTGCTGGGCTTACTGACCAACAGTCGACATTCTTTCTTAATGGCCTCAAGAGTGCTGGTGTCAAGGTCTTGCGTGTGTGGCTTGATGGTTAGTTTCCCTACATACTGCAGGTTCTGAACTACGATGGAAAGTGGACAGGGGCTCTCAATAGCTTGACGTTGTGCACAAGGTCATGAACACTGCGTATAATTTCAGGCTAGAGGCTGGAATGCTACTTGCTGCACCCTGGTCACTTTTCTTCGCAGGGGAAGACCTACGATACACGTATAATTCAAGTTCAATGCTGACTTACCATTTCCTTTGTAGGCCAGTCTGGCAACACCAAGGGAACCGAGATCGAGAGCTTTCCTGGTCTACAGGCAGACTCGCCTTCATCATATGACGACACGGTTCTGAACCGTCTGGACAAGCTTATGGTCAAAGCTAAGGGCTACGGTATCAAGCTCCAGATCTCTATCCATAGCTATAACGCCCTGGAAGGCAACCGTGACTTTTACGGGAAATACTACGGCACTGGCGACTTCTACACGAACTCCAACGCGATCAGCCAATTCAAAGACCGTATCGCTCATGTTCTTGCACATGTCAACCCCGCAAACGGCAAGACCTGGGCTCAGAGCTCTGAATACATATTTGCATTTGAGGCCCAAAACGAGGCCATGCACCCACAAGTAAATCACGGACCCATCCGGTGATACGACTGAACTAACATCAACACCAGGGTAACCCTACCGCGCTAGCATCATGGCAATGCACCATGGCCAAAGCGATCAAGGATAACATGCAAAACAACCCGAACATCCTTGTCACCACGGGAGGGGGAGCCTACCTTTCCAATTCCCTCCTCGAACCCTATTTCTCCTGTAGCTCTCTCGACGTGCTCGCAATCCACGCCTACGGCGTCGGCGACTTCAAGACCTCTGCGCTCCAACCATACGTCACCAAAGCCAAGAATGCGGGCAAGAAGCTCATCATGCAGGAATGGGGCGCATGCTACACGGATGCCTCCAATAACAACTGCAACGGTGGTTCGCCAGTTAGCTCTGGGTCTAGAGACAACAACATCAAGATGTGGGCGTCGCAAATCGATGCTGCGGGTATTCCGTGGTTCTATTGGCAGATCCTCCCCAATCCTGATCCACATTACGGCTGGGACTACGAGGTCGGCATCAATGATGTCAACTGGAACTCGCTGAAGGCAGCAGGTCTTGCTGCTGGTCAGGCTGAGTCGGCGTTTGACTTCAGCAAGTGGCTGTTGTGAGGAATGTCGCATGATGCTTGTCTGATACGGTTTGGCTGGAGGAGCAAGTACAGGTGCTTTTAGGCTGCCTTTCACTGTCTTTACATTTATAACTCACGTAGCGACACTTCGAATTTTCGGATTATAGTGCATACAAAACAGAACTTCTATCGATACTTTGTACACTTTTGGGCTTGACTGTTCACCTTTCACGAACTTGATCATCCCTTTATGGCATAGTGCTCATACGAAAGACATTTTGTTCAACGAACAAATGAGCCCGAAGAAATCGTCTGAGAGCCTTATCCTCAACCAGCTATTCACTCCGAAGTCCGCCTTGCCGGGATCACAGGCCCGTCCCGACGTTTTGAAACACAAGGCTGTGGAGGGGACGGCCACTCCGAGCGACGGCTCGGGTCTTCTACGGCGGCATACCAATCTGAGGAAACCGGACCGTGGTCGAGGCTGAACAGCAACCTCCTATGAACATGATCAGTGGCGTTTTGGATCCGGATATCCTAGAAATATATGTCCAAGAGAAGTACGAGACAGGTATGGTGAAGTATTTAGCCACAAGAGTCTTGTAGAGCATTCTGATATTAGCATTGGCATCATTGGAAAATAAAGTAATACTACCATGAAGGACGGTTGAGCATGCGCAGCCTTTAATTACTGCACTCTTATCAACTCTAGATCCGTGCCAATGTCTTCATCTTCTAAGGAATACCACTCAATACTGCATTATTGCGAATATATATGACAGCAAAATTCAGTCATCTAACAGCACTTTCCAGCCTTACATTGTAAGAATTTTGGAAGCATCTTCTCTATTCGGGGGGTGATAGTCTAAACAAGGTGGCTAACCAATTGTTAGTGAGACTTAGTTCTAGGTCTCGAGTCGAGATGAGCACATTCAGACCCCAGAAGCTTAGACTCTACTCGAAGAGAGTTTAGCCATAAGAAGATACAGTGCCCAGAGTGTGTTTGTTGAGCTAACCGCAATGATTCAGTCCCCAAGTAAGAGATGGTGTACCAGCTTATCAGCTACATTGGACTGTTGTCTTTCCGACTACATCACTGAGCAAGCCAAGGATGTCGAAGGCAAAGCTGGGCGTCAAGTTGATATCTCCAACATGTGCCCAAAGCGAGTTTCTCTAGAATTGAGATTAGTTTGGGTCTAACTTCGGTGATCCGCAGTCATGGATGCCGCACAACATGAGATTCAAGGTAGGAAATGATATTGTGGTGGCGCATTGAGACCCTCAAGCAACTCAACATCGGCTGTTTTCCTTTGGGATATCAACAACTCTGACGTAAGTCATGACGTTAAGACTGCTGAGAGTACAATGTACACGTACGCTTGCTTTATGGTTTCTGTAGTGCTTTGTGATTTCCGTAGTGCTTCATGCTTTCTGTAGAGCGTGAACAAGTTACGAGTGTACAAGGTAGGCCTCGCGTTGTGTGATCCTTTGATGTCTCCTTACATTGCTTCATTAGAGCACACTAGTTGCCCGACATATCGTATGCGATGCTCCATAAACCGAAGCTTGAGCTGTAGGTCTTCATGCAGCCTTCGAGGGGTAGCGTAAATTATATGAACCTCTAGGGCTTGGAGCAATTCTCCGACGTGCAACAGTCGCCCAACAAGCACGCGTTTCCGATCGTCGCTTGCGACATTTCATAGTTTTATTTCCAAAAAGCCCAGTGCAATCGAAACCTAATGCTTTGTTCTAGAGCTTCGCACTAACAGACGCCGGGAGCCCTGAAGCAGCGCGCTCTCACAGAATCTCGGCCCATTTGGGAAACCTACTATCGTTCAAGACACGATGCTGGAAGACGCTTTCGGGTGTATCTCCAGCCTTCTGTTGACTTTGAAAGACACGCTTACCTTTTCGATGGCATCATCGGGCAAGGTAGACGTAGTTGCAGCTAGCAGAGAGCTGGCGGAGCGGCGTCTACAACACTACAAGCACGACGCTCGCGGCGGCTACTGTGGTTTGAACTTACGCTATGAATATTTGGCCCGTAGCATATGATGGCCAACTACTTGGTGGTGTGTGCCTCGTGGTGGACTATCTGGAGCAGTGTCAGCCATTCACAACCCTCGCGCTCTCTCCGCACTGACCAAGCCATACAAATTGGGGGTTAATTTGCTGCATAGGGTCAAGTCAGGCGATTCCATTTGGCGAAGGAGACGTGGAGGCAAGATTTGGTGGGCGTCCAGAAGACTTCCAGACAGAAGAAGCAAAAGTAACACATGAGGAGTATTCGGCCGCAATGAGCCAACGACGGCGCAAAGCACTCGTATGCCCGCAGCGGCGCCCGGGTCGTCGGCGAAAGTATCGACGCAGCTGATGATCCTGGCAATAGAGGCAGAGACAGAGACATGCTACATGTTCCCAGACACGACAGAACGCGGCAAGAGTGGCAGCCCATGCAATAGCCTGAAGCTATACACAGTGCTGGTAGGTCTCGGGGTTGAAGGAAGGGCTCTGTGTATAGGCTCAGGCTAGAGGATGCCCATGCATAATTTCCATCAGAGTTGGAGATGTTGTCGTGCTGGTTAGAGCTACATTCTCAACACGGGGTATTGGCCGACTAGGGCTGCCCGTGCTTTGTACCTCGGCGGCACTCCGCATGCAGGTGAAGGCCTGTGGAAATCCAAATGTCGAAGAGGCGCCACATGTCGCGATATTATCTTGCGCACCATTCTCGTGGTTGGGTGGTGGCGCTCGGCCCGCTGCACGTGTGGCGCCGACCTCGTTGGCTCCCATTGGCTGGGGATTCGTGGAGAATCGCACAATCCTTGGCTCGAATGTCGTGCTTGCTCAAAGACTTCGCTAATGCCCGGACAGGGCTCCACCTCAGGTCAGCGAGGGCGGAGAAGACGAACATGAAGGTGCAGACAGCGACAGTATCTTCCACGCTCTCCATCGCCACGGCGAACAATGGGTAGCTTGCGGGACCCGTTCTCGTCGTGGTCGCTCACCTGGGGAGTCCAAAATACAACCACCACGAACACAGGATCTTGGTTCCAGGACAACCACCGTCCCCGGATCCCCCACGCGACCAACCGACGCCCTAAGAGCCATGTCTCTGGCCCAGACTGCACAAGCTCAGCGCCTTCACTCAGCCCAGGCTGCCAGTGTTCTTGTCCTTTATCCAACGCAACCTTTTCAGCAAGCACGTCATTGATGGCCAGGTTCTGTAGTGCCGACACCAACCTGTGATTGATCAGAACCCCCCGCTTCTACGCTCTTCCCACGCCAAGTCTAGCGTGCCGTGTTGACGGACGCTGGTCTCTTGGGTTCGCATCACACCAAGCCTTTGCGGCTGGCCCCCGACCTGCATCTGGAACCGTGCAGCATCTGTTGACAATTGACACTGAAGCCTCTGTTGCCATTTCTCCACGGATCCAGTTGCTCCTTTAGTGTCGAGCAACCACCTACTTAACCTCCCCCAGGCCCACCTTGTGTTCAGTACGCAACACCATCTAGGTACCCAAGCTTACCTGGATCCTCACATTGCCTGCTTGCTATTTCCGTCATCGCCGAGGAAGTGTCTTGGTCCTCCGACTCGTTTTTGCTCGGCACGCGTGGCACTTGATACCAACGTTCCCAAGTCATCTTCAAGCACTTCAAGCACTTCAAGCACTTCAAGCACTTCAAGCACTTCAAGCACTTCAAGCACTGCCAAAATGGCCGGAGCAGGGCGCACAGCGGCCAAGGTTCTTGGCATCAACCTCGACTACCGCAAAGAAGAGCCACTGTCTGGTGCAGCATCCATCTCCTCTGTGGAAACCTGTAAGTTGACCCATCTTGCTGTCGAACGCTACTGATGCAGAACTAGATGTCGAACATGAACCAACCGCAGCAGAATACCTGTCCAAGTTCAAGCCCTCAGCGAGTGCCACCAAGCGATATGTTCGAAGCCTGTTCCCCTTCTGGAATTGGATCTTTCACTACAACCTCACATGGCTCTTCGGAGACGTGATTGCGGGTGTCACCGTCGGTTTTGTCGTTATCCCCCAGGGTATGGCTTATGCTCTCCTGGCCAAACTGCCCGCGGAATATGGTCTATACACCAGCTTCGTCGGTTTCATCTTGTACTGGGCTTTCGCAACCTCCAAGGACATCACAATTGGAACCGTGGCTGTCATGTCCACCATTGTCGGCAACATCGTCATCAAAGTGCAAAAGACACATCCTAAACTTGAGGCTCCGGACATTGCCCGCGCCTTATCCGTCATCGCTGGTGCAGTCCTCTTATTCATTGGCCTGACTCGCCTCGGTCGCATCGTTGAACTCATCCCGCTGGTCGCTATTACGTCTTTCATGACAGGTGCTGCAATCAGCATCGGTGCTGGTCAGGTTCCTGCGCTGATGGGTATTTCTGGTGTGAACAATCGCGGACCAACATACCTCGTAATCATCGACACGCTCAAGGGCCTTCCACGAACTAAGCTGGATGCCGCCATGGGACTTTCGGCGTTGTTTCTGCTCTATGCCATTCGCATTTTCTGCTCGTGGATGACAAAGAAGCAACCATCCAAGAAGAAGCTTTGGTTTTTCGTAAGTCTCTCCCCGTACGCCGTACACTTGTAGAAGCCACCGTGTTAACTTTGACCAGCTCAGCACCTTGCGCATGGCCTTCGTGATCCTTCTCTACATATTGATCAGCTGGCTCGTAAACCGAAACATAAAGGTCCTCCATGCTGCGAAACCCAACATGAACAAGGCCAAGTTCAAGATTCTTGGAAAGGTTCCTCGCGGCTTCCAACACGCTGGAGCGCCCAAAATGAACACCGAGCTGCTCTCCGCGATCGCGCCCGACATTCCCGTAACGATCATCGTACTGATTCTGGAACACATCGCCATTTCCAAGTCCTTTGGCCGCATCAACAACTACGTGATCAACCCGTCTCAAGAACTGGTGGCTGTCGGCTTTACCAACCTCATTGGGCCCTTCTTGGGAGCTTACCCCGCCACTGGCTCGTTTTCGAGAACTGCAATCAAGTCCAAGGCTGGTGTCCGTACGCCACTTGCTGGTATTTTCACCGCCGTCATTGTTCTCTTGGCGCTCTATGCTCTCACGGCAGTGTTCTTCTATATTCCCATGGCTACGCTCGCAGCAATCATCATCCACGCAGTCGGAGATCTCATCACCCCACCCAACGTTGTCTTCCAGTTTTGGGAGACTAGCCCGTTGGAGGTCGTCATTTTCTTCCTGGGTGTCTTCGTCACAGTGTTCACAAACATCGAGAATGGAATCTATTGCACCATCGCGGCGTCATTCGCATTGCTGTTGTGGCGACAACTCTTCACGCACGGTGCGCTCCTCGGCAAAGTCAACATCTACCGCGCCACTCCTGATACCGTTGCTCGCAAGGATGGCGCATACGGTCCAGGCGCCGAAAATGCCAGCCGCGAGGCATTCATCCCCATTGGCCACAAGGACGGTTCCAACCCTCAAATCGACATCGAGTCGCCATTCCCGGGAGTTTTGATCTATCGATTTACTGAAGGATTCACATACTTGAACCAGCAAGGCTACATGGACGAGCTTGTTCACTTCGCACAGAGTATTGCCCGGCCCACCACGCTCGATCGCTACGCCAAGCTAGGTGATCGTCCATGGAACGACCCTGGTCCAAGGCGCGGAAAGCAGCTCAATGTAGACGACAACCGTCCCATTCTCCGTGCCATCATTCTCGACTTCAGTGCCGTGAACAACGTCGACGTCACATCAATACAAGGTCTCATCGACGTTCGCGCACAGCTTGACCGCTACGCCACGCCAGAGAGTGTAGAGTGGCATTTTGCATCTATCAACAGCCGCTGGACCAAGCGTGCCTTGACGACCGCTGGCTTTGGATACATCGATCGCGAGCGTTTCGCATCCCGGCAGCATTGGAACCCCGTGTACAGCTACGCACCGCTCGACACACCCGAGCCAAGGATCGGAGACGCCGAGGCACAGGATGAAATTCACTCTTCCGGACACAAGGGCTTCCCCTCCGGTAAGGTGACCACAGTCCATGGCCAGAACAGACCATTCTTCCATATTGATGTTGCCGCGGCAGTGGAGAGTGCGATTGCGGGGATTCAAGCGAAAGTTGCGCATGAGAGTACGGGGAGTTCCCGAGAGCACGTAGGAATGACCGAGGTGCAGGGCAAGCATGACTAGTCGAACATGGGAGGTGATTTCTGATAAGGATTGTTTGTTTCTGATATACCATACCCCGTGGTTATTTCACCACTAGTTTAGTCTCTCGCGAAAATTAATTCTGTCTTTTCTCACTCTGGTACTCCACGCGTAGTCTTCTTTTTCTCACCTGGTGAAACTCAACGATATAGTTTGAGAGCAGAACTTACACGCTGGTTGAAATATTTGTCCATAGCTTGGACTTTCATTTGAGCGAAAGCGGACCCATGGTTTCACTATATTTGTCTCTCAGACTCTCTTATGTCCTGCACTTTTATTGTCTTTCCTCGTTTCTTTTCGCTGATTAGACAGATCGATGCTTGTTGCTGTTAAACACTTTCTCAGGGCAGTAACAATCCGTCATTTCACATGTTTGGCGATTAAAGTCATCCAGGATACGGGAGATGTGTATGACGAGAAGCTTTGAGTTCGAGTCTCGTTTTTCCCTAAGTTCATCTTCGTTCACCAGACATTTCGTTGATCCGTGGGATTGATGTTCCATCACGTTGGTACAAGCGCAACTGTGTGTTCTTGTCATTGTGCTGAGTGCCGCGGTCCTGCCCGGTCCCTTCCAGATCCCGCGACCGACTTTCCATAGCAATCAATCCATGCATCGCGAGTTGAAATGATTAGACCAAGTTCTGATACCACAAGCCAGTGAATGTGAGTTCTGGCACGTGATGGGGTGACCTCGGAACTCTAATGCTAATTTACGCTCAGTGTACAAAGTTCTCTCTCACCCACGCAGGTACAAGATTAAACAAGCAACCGCAACCCAACTTTGTAACAACAACCCCACACTCGAACGAAATGAGCCAGCCTCCAATCGAGGATATTGTCAGGCAAGTTGCGGAAGCCTTTAGGGCAGCTTTCCCTCAGTCAACAATGCCTCAGCAGCAGTCGCAGCAGCCGCCGCAAACCCGCGGAAGATCAGACACAAGACCAGTGGCTTCCAGACCCGCAGATTCGCCATGCCAGCACACGGTGTCAAGCGCGCTGATGGAATTGATGACTGACCCGCATATGTGCCCAGAGTGTACCATGGCCGGCCATATCAAAGCTACCCAAGACGTACAGCGCGACTTTGCCGATCGCGGAGGTGCTTTTGCATCAAAGGATATGGCCCACCACAAAACGCTCCGGCAACGATGGCGGAAAGTAAAGATCCCAGCGATGAGTGCATTGACCTATTATGAAGAGTTGCTACTCTGTCCGAGATTGTCCGCAGATGATGTGCGCCAGCTCAAGAATGCTCTGGATCTCTGGGAGAAGAAGAAGGTTGCGCTCACGAGGGTCCCCGGTATGGAGTATGTCCCAGGGGCGGAAGAAGACGAGCCGACTGACGAGGAGCACCAAGTTGCGCGACTCATGATGGAGCTTCTGAAGATGGTGCTGGACAAGGAGATGACTGATGAAGACAAGAGATCATTGAAGAAGTCCAAGAAGAGCGAGAGCCGCCACGTTCGCACTCGTGGAGGAGCGTCCATCATCAAAGGATGTGCGGAGACACAGAAAGACGCAAGCCCGCAGTCTCCAACACCCTCGACAGACTCCCGGAGCAACCCAACCCATCCATTGACTGGAGTTCCCCACAACTGCAATGATTCAGGATCACTCAAATCTATCCTCAAGCGCAAAGCCAGCTCACCAGCTCTCTCCAACGCCGAAAAGCGCCTCCGCGTCACCCCCACGGTAACCGTATCCGCTCCACATCTCAACACCACCAACCCATCGCCATTCATCAAGCTCGCGTCCACGTCCACATCTCAGCCTCACAACAAACACGCGTTTGTCGCCCACAGACGATCTAGGCGGGCGTTTAAGCGGGGCACTCCGCACCACACAGCGGGTGCGTGGGCGTCGGGGGCGGATGAGGATAAGGCCGAGACAAGCGGACTCAGGAGAAGCTGGGCGGACTTTGAGAGCGATGTTGAGCGGGAGATGGAGGAAGAGCGAGAGGAGAAGGCAATGGTAGCAGAACTGGGAGTTGTTGCGGGTGCTTGGATGGGAGTGTGGTGGGTGAGGAGAGTTCTGGGTGGCTTGGATTTGAGGTTGATGAGGGAAAGGGTAGAGGGCGGTTAAGATAGTGGTTGGAGATGGGGAATAGAGAAGAGGGTTGAGAATGGGGAGGAGTCTAGACCAAGGTACGTAGTATTACTAACGCAGTTCCACTAACGCAGTTCCTCGTCTGTAAGAATGTGGAGGCATGCGGTATTTGTAGAGCGAGTCTCAACCGATGACAGACATTGCATGTGGATGCAAGTGAACAACTACAAACGGAAGTAAACAGGTTGCTCGGCGCACGGACAATTTGCGGGACCTTCACTCGTAGGCTTGGGTTTGGCAGTAGAACGGTTGTAAGGGTCATGATTGCGATAAGCTGGAAATGGCGGTGCCAGCATACTGGAATTCATTTCGGCAAGTTGAAGGGATCCAGCCTTGCGGATAACAACGGTGGAAATGCATGTGGCTCAAACTGTGGCTCTCGCACAGGAACAGCCACGACCGTGCGCGGGATGCCGGGATGCCTGGAACAGATCGTGGGGCCAGGTTCCGTCGTGGGCTCGCTCGCTAGCAAAGGAGCCGAGATTGTGGCGGCATCGCGAATGTAACCTCACAACGGGTGTCACCCAAGGCTCGAGTGGCGCGCAAAAAGCAAGTGCCCCGTGATGCCGGTAATTGGGCAACGGGGAGAGACTTGTATGGGCAGCATAGACCGTTATTGGCGGGTGAGGCCGAGTGACGCTGGCATTCGGCATTCAGGAGGCCCTTCGCGTGCAAGAAATCCACAGTGCTGCGCATGCGCAGGGTACATGGTCGCTGGAGTTGCGCGTGCAGAGAGTGGAGACGCTAGAATCAAAGTTGAGGGCGTGGGATGTTCCGGATGGCGTTCCATGGCACCAGGGCTGAAGTTTGCTGCGCGCCGCGACGATCTGGAACTTGCCGTGGGCTTCGCCTCCGTCTCGAGCTGCGCGATTGGTTGCTGATTAGACGAAGGCATGTGAAGGGCGGGAATAACGACAGCCGCGTCCATCTGAGACATGGTAGTTCTGTGCCTGGGAATCTCTAGACCTGGGAAACAGGAGAGAGGGGCGAAAAGTGCGGAACGGTTGCGACCCAACCGTCGGGTGCAGTTGGCTTCGAGAAGGGAGAAGGCTGCTCGGGGCGGTTGGACATGTCCTCTGAGACATCTCCCGGCAAGCATTCAGCCTGCACACGAGCCGTTTGACAGGCGGGAAAAGGGATGCTACCAGCACAGCGGGCACTCTGGAGTATGGAGTGCATGTGATGCCCCTGCTCCTGTCTGATGCGAGATGAGGACGGGGAGACGACGACTCGACTCGACAAGTGTAGCGGCAGAGCGCCACCGAGCGCCACCTGCACATCACTACCGCATGCAGCGAGGAACCAGACTCGCGGATGAAGCCCGTCATCTTGGCTCTCCCAGATTGCATATACCCTCGCCGCCCGCACCTTGGGCCACGCTCGAACGTCTCGACATTCGTGTTCGTCGCCGTCGCCGTCGCCGTCGCCGTCGCCGTCAACCCACAACCCACAACCCACAGCTGGAGCTCAGTCATGGCCGCCATGTTCCGCGACTTCTCCTTCGACCCGGCTTCGCCACCAGCATACGATGCATACGAAGCTGATCGCGCTGCGATGAACGTCTCGCCGACATCCAAGCCCAGTCGCCGCGATTTCCACCTCAACCGCCCACCGACGCCGCCCTGCTCGATGGGAGATTTGGCCTCGCAGCTCAACCAGCAGAGTCTGCGCATCAACACGCAGGTGCACGACGCATCCTACTCTGGCCCACTCACGCCGCCAAGCGATGACGATTGCGCCATCGCTGTCCGGCATGCCCCAGCCGCGCCCCGGCCAACGTATTCGCGCGTCTCTGCATCGCTCCTCCGCATGCAGCGCCAGTCCAACTCGCGAATGCAATGCAGCGCGTCGCACGTACGCGACATTTCACGACTGGTGCAGATGATCGAGGACGAGGAGCAGTGCACCATCAGCGAGCTCACATGGCGCGCGTCGTCTCCATCGGCGCCTGCAACGTGCCGCTCCTCGCCTGTCGAGGGTGACGAGGGCATCGATATGGAGTACGACGTGCCACCGCAAGACGTCGAGCCCATGGCCGACATGCCGCAGTGGAAAACTGGCGACCAACGCGACAGCTGCACGCGCGTCGCCAGGACTGTGCGCATGCGCAAGCGGTCAGGGCATCGAGTCGAGAAAAGGAGGTCATCGTAGGCATTCATCGAGGACCCTAAGGATTATTATTTTTTGGTTTACAGCATAGCGACGGCGTTCTGGCTCTTTTGGGCGGGGTGGTCTTATGATACCCCACGGTCTGCTGAACCCCAGCGACTTTGGTTATTGCTCCCTTCGGGTTGAGCCTGGCGTTCTACGATGCAATGCGATGCGATGCGATGCGAAAGCGCCAGCGGCTTGCATGCATGCACCTAGCTACACATGGTTGTGTACAGTAGCTGTATAGTCATCAATACCACGACATGAAGTCGATTGTAACTTGTTGCATGCCGGGACGTGATGTGTGATGGGTGATGTACGGATCTGCATCCCAAGAACACGGCCCTGTCTTACGCCGCACGGCAGACATGCGCGCTGGTAAATTTAGGGCACGCCCCACTGTGGATTGCGGATTGCGGACTGCGGACTGCGGACTGCGGACATTTCCTGCGCGGCGCTCCCAACCCGTCCAACAACAACATGCCCGTCGACGGTTCCGTATACCGCGTCCCGCCTATCGACCGCCTGTGGCCATGTCCGTCCGCAGAACAGCACCGAAGCTGCTGGCCAGCCGCTCAGTGCACCTGAGGATCGTGCCGCGGCCCGCCAACCTCTCCGAGAGCCGCGAGATATTCCGCGTGCTGCAGCGCTTCGGCGAGCTCTCCATGTACAAGTCTCTGCGCTTCGAATACCACAATCCCGCCGACAACATTGCCCTGGTCATTTTCCGCGACGCGAATGCCGCCCAAAAAGCCCTCGATGCCTCGCCCATCCGCTTCGCCCTCGACAAGGTAGTCGACCCCAACGACGAGGACCACCTCCTAGAGCTGCGCAGCCAGGACAACGCAGAAGACACCCACGAGACAACGCCAGCCACCCAAAGCGGCATCGACGAAATCCTGCGCCCCTCCGTCCTCACCACCCGCGCCTCGCCCCCCGCCAGTCCCCCTCCAAAACCGCTCACACCGCCACCCATGCCCTTCGAGTCACCCTCCGCGCCGCCGCAGACACGCACAAAATGGTTCCAAGTAACCGTCGACCGCTCGCGCGCTGTACACCAGGACTACGTCGAGCGACAGCCTTTCTGGAAGCAGTTCCAGCCCATGAAGAGCATGGCCCAGGAAGACTTGGCCAAGCAGGTGCCGCATTCAGGCTTGAGTGATGTGAGCAAAAGGCCCATGAACCAACACCGCACACCTGTCAGGGTCCTGAAAACCATGAACGAGTACGTCGAATATAGGATGCCGAGCTTAAAGGGTATGTTTGAGGGCAGTGATAACGAAAAGAGGTTTACGCAGAGAAAGGAAATATAGATATAATATAATAACTATAGTAGCTATAACGTCTATAGTTTTATAGAGTAACGTATTCTACTATTGAGCTGGCTACTCTATTAAGCTAGCTACTTTTTCTTAGTATTACTCTTTCTGCTATAATTCTTTTAGTTTTTAATAACGTAATTAATTACTAAGCTAGCTATATTACTAAGCTAGCTACTTCTTCTTAGCACTATAAACACTATGTATAAAATATAAAAGAAGTCTAACGTAAATTACTACTAAGCAGTCTAACCTTACTAAGTAGTCTACTTTTTTAAAGTTAGTCTATTGCAGAGTACCTTCTGCAATACTACTATAATTTATTATAATTTGCAGAATATAGAAATACTATTTAGACTTATTACTATTAGATAGCTCTATAATTTTAACTGCATAAGTATAAGTATTATAGCTAATCTCTCTATAACGTCTATAGTTATTAGGAAAACTAAAAATCTATTAAATATTTATTTCTATTAATACTATAGAATTAACTATGTTGCTAGCAAGTTAATTAATTTAAGGAATTTATATTTATTATTAAATATACTTTAAAATAAAACTTTATTAAAATAGTTAATACTATTAAAATTATTAGAACTATTAACGTAATAATCTAGCATATAACTTTACTATCTTTAACTATTATATTTTCTTTTTTTCTATCTACTTTATCTTTTTATCTATGCTATTAAAGTTTACTTCTTTAATATACTTTTCTTAGTATCTTACTATATATTTACTTCTTTCTGCATTATAACTAAATATTATAGATATTACTAGAAAGAGCTTTATTAGAATTATTAGTAATATAAGAATTATTCTATTACTATGCTAGTTCTGCATTCTATATAGTTATCTACTATTAAGTATTATTAAGCACTATTAAGTACTATTAAGTACCTTTTCTAGCAGTGCGCTAGATCTTAGTAGAGTACTTCTAAACTTATAAAAATTAGTTTAATTTAATACTAGTCTATATATTAATCTATAATTATTAATTCTCTACTTTATAGTTTATCTTAGAAAGTTATTTTAATATTTTACTTATTTAGTACTTTAAGTTCTAGTTTACTATCTAGATTAAAATAGATAATGCTAATATATATTTCTGCTAACTAGCTAAGTTAGTATACTTAGAATATAAATTAATCTTATATATTCTACTTATCTTATAGCTCTATAATAATAATATGCATAGCTTCTATTAGTATAATTACCTCTATAAATACTATTAAAGCTACTATAATCTAAGGCCTATCTAGATCTCTCTATTTAGTAAGCTTAAGGTTAATTTTATACTATATTATACCTCTCTATATAACTAAGATACTCTTATTACTAAACTTCTCTCTTAAGCCTAGCTATATTATTCTCTATATAATTAGTTTATATAACTTTATAAGAATTTTAGCGTAGACTTTCTTTAGCAGTAGTAGTATATTAGCTGCTTTTACTATATTTTCTGCTATAATACTCTATATCTAGCTTAGCGTTACTAGAATTTTAATCTTAGAGTATAAATTTAATAAGTTTTAAAACTTTAGGCTACTTTTAGTTATAGCACGTGCCTCTTATATTAAGAAATAGTTCTTACTTAGATTAGTAAAGAGATTTTTTATGCTATTTAATATAAAGCATTTAACTTTATAGCTACTATATATTTTAAACTATACTACCTTTAGAGTAGTAAGCGTAGAGTAAAATACTATTACTTATATCTTAAAGTAGTTAAAGATTATATATCTGCTAGCTTCTAATTTATTAAAGCTTTTTTTTTCTAGAATATCTCTATATTATTACTTAGCGTTTTATACTATACTAAGAAAATCTAGATATAAGTAGCTTTAGAAGTAAGATAGAAAGTTACTCTTAATACTAGATATTAGTTTACTTTATAAGTTATATATCTTTAATATTCTTTTTAATATAAACTTCTACGCTATTACTACTTCTTAAGATATAAGTTCTTTATACTTATAAGATAACTTATATTTACTTATATTATACTTTATATTAGTAATTATATTATGCTATTATTTAGCTATTGCTAGGCTATTAAGAGCTATATTTTAGTAAGTTCTATAAGATAGTATCTCTATAATTAACTAGTAGACTATATCTTCTATCTTATAGATATAATTGCTAGTTATAAAGTCTCTCTTATTAGTAGTATTAAACTAGTTAGAGACCTCTTTTCTATTTTAAAGACTAATAAGTACTAGTAATATAAAGATTAAGATCTTATTTAGTTTTTATTCTATAAGTATTCTAGATAGAGCTTATGCTTTCTATTAGTATCTATAGTTATAGCTTTAAATATCTTAGTAAAACTTAGCTATAATTATGCTCTCTAACTTATAATTATAGAATTTATTAAATATAGTTTGCCTCTATATAGTAATATAACTAGAAAGTAGTATTACTCTCTTTTCTATATAAGAGCTATCTTTGCATATAATTATTTACTATACTATAACGCTTATAGTATTATAAGCTCTAAATATATACTTATTTTATCTTTCTAAAGCTATAGACTATTATAAATTATGCTACTAATAGTACTAGATAGTGCTTTGTAGCCTTAGAGTGCATAGTAGGTATATTTACTTCTAGTATTATCTAGTAGACTATTTCTTAATAATCTACGCTTTCTAGCACGTAGCTCTATAGAGTAACTAACTTATTAGTAGTAGTAAGCGCTTTAAAGATAGCGTTAGTAGTATTAATTTATATCTTTATTACTTTCTCTTTTATTAGTCTGCTTATATTCTCTAAAGAAGAGTTACTAAAGAAGTAGAACTATAGAGCTAGCAGATTACTTAGGTTATACTATATAAAGTTTATAAGATCTATTATAACTATCTTATTCTTCTAGGTATTAGCTGCTTATCTCTAACTAGTTATTATTATAGCTACTTATTAAAGTTTAGTATTAAAGAAGAAGCTTCTTTTATATATATAGTAGAATATTCTCTTGCCTTTAGTAGAATATAGCTTATTATTATTATTAACTATATTATATTCTATTATATTATCTTCTGCTTATATATTTTATACTTCTATCTAGTTCTTAAAGTAAATATATTCTATAAGAATAGTAAGTATTATTACTTATATTTTATCTATACTTATAGCATTAGTAAAGATTCTACTATTATTAGATAATAACTCTTTAAAGTAGAGAATATTATGCATCTATAAGCTAGTATAAGATAGAAGTTATAATAACTTCTCTAATATGCTAGTAGCTTTATTATGCGCTTATTCTAGAGGTTATTAATTAAAATACTAAAGAATACTATAGCTAAAGTCTACTCTTCTAGAGTATAGTATTCTATTATTATCTCTACTCTTATAGAGAGACTATCTCTTATTCTAGTTTATTTATTAGTAGAGTAAATAGTAGTTAACTATCTTCTATAGTAGATATACTTAGCGTTTAATAAAGCTTTAAGCTTTTTCTTTTATTCTCTAGTAAAGTTCTTTACTATTATTACTTTCTTATTCTCTAAGTTATTCTTAGAGTTAATATCTAAGCTACTATCTAAGTAGTAGTTATTACTATCTAGTAAGCTATCTAGCTAAGTCTTACGCTTCTAAGCTTCTTTCTTTTTTTTCTTTTTTTTAGCCTTAGCTAGCTTCTCTTTATCTTTAGTCTTTTTAAGCTATACTTTTTTTCTTAACTACTTTTTTTTAGCTAATTAAGTATAGGCTACTATTTTATCTCTTCTGCGTAGGCATAGAATATTACTACTAGTATTAGAGTTCTTTAAATCTTTATCTTTCTTAGTTCTTCTTCTATTTACTTTTATATATCTGCTATTTGCTATCTTAGTCTTATAGCGCTTAAGAGAAAGTCTATCTAGTATAAGTATAGAATATTAGCCTCTCTTCTTAGGTAGTAAGAGCTATTCTAGTAGTAAGAGCTATTTTAGTAGTTTATTAAGTTAGAATATTACTGCATATAGATATTAGTAGTATATATTTTAGTTTTAAGAGTTTATACTATATCTTTATTAGAATTACCTAGTAGTTTTATTATCTAGTATAATAGTATTACTACTCTAAGCTTTCTTAACTTAATATAAAAGTTAATAGTGCCTAGTAAGTTATTATTATTCTTAATAAGCGTTATTATTAATATATCTATAACTTAAGAAGTGCTTACTTAGTACTAATTAGAGTACTTAGATAATAATAAATACTAGATAAGAGCATTATACTTAAGGTGCTAGGCTTTAATCTTAAAGTAGTTCTTCTTCAATTTTAGCTAGCTTTTCTTTATTATTAGCCTAAATATAGAGAATTATTTAATAATAGAGTAATGCACAGCGTCTACTAAGGTAATATTAGCATTATTTAAGATAGCTAGCTTAGTAAGTAATACACTGCTAAACTTATTAGTTATTAATACTATAGACTTATTAGATATAATAGATAAAGACTATTACTACGCTGTCTTAGATAGTATTAGCGTTAGTATATTACTTAAGTTCTCTATCTTAATCTTAGCGCTATACTAATATACCTTAGCTAGCATTATTATCTAGATAGTTCTAGCTATAGCCTTATAAAAGACTTTAGATATTTATATATTTTATAGCTATATATATTTAGCTACTATAAGCTAGTTCTTTAATATTAGTAAATATAAGCTCTTTAGAAGCTGCAATTAGCTCTTTTCTAATTAGATCTTCTTAAGTAAGTTCTTTTTCTTAATATAGCTTATAAGGTTCTCTATAAGTTTAATAACCTCTAAGATTATAATCTTATATTCTTCTCTTATATTTATTTATAATATGCTATTAGAGCTTATTATATTAGCCTTGCTCTTATACTACTCTAGTTACTTTAGTAGCGCCTATTCTATATTACTATTATTATTGCTATTATATCTAGCTATAATAGCTTTGCGCTTAGAGTAGAAGATAGTTAGTAACTATATATAATTATTAGACTATTACTAAAAGTGCGTATTAATATATAGATAT